ACAGTTACCCATTCTCATATAATTTTCTAAAATTCATAATGTTAAAGCTATGTAGTATTTCTGTTAATATCTTTTATAATATGTTTAGACACGTTACTTTGCAATGTCAGATGTCTACTATATACAAGACTGTCATGATAATTTAGTACACTAAGTCCTGCCAACCGACCTTACCTTCAGTTCATACTACCTACATTGATCCCTAACTATATTGTTCTGCTGAATCTTGCTTAACTATTCACAAAACCTATTCTTTTTATTCTTTAAGGTTTTAACTTCTTGTAAAGTAATCCGTTCATTAGGACGCATGCATACATATATAATGTTCATAAAGATGTATGTGGAGACCTATTGGAAGCACTCATTAAGAAAGCTAGGGAGATGGAATATGGGGTACGAACATGTCTGGTACCAAGCAGTATATTTGCGGTAGCCATAATAATCATATTCTCAGAGCTTAACATCAAAAAAGGAGGGAGGGTGGCGTTAGCTGATCAGTAGATATGGTGGGGGTCACTAAGGTGAATCGCCCCATTCTGCAGGAACAGCAATATACAAATTAAAGGCTCGAGATATTTCTGATTTTTATGAGGGCTTAGATCTTTATCTTGAAAAAGATAATAATGAACGCCTTGACAGATCATGCTTCTACCTTTAAATATATACCATTCGCTCAGCCTATTGTTGAGATGCGACCATGTGGGATCTGCACAGATCTATTGGGCATCTTATAAATCAACTTGCTGTCCATTGTCGGATCTTTAAATACCACTTCACAATGTCTTATCTCATTCATTTTCTAATAACGTCTTTACTTGATCCTCGTTGTATCCCATTAAACCTAACATTTTATATCTCTTTATGAATTTGATTCGACTTATTCTATTCCTATTCTCTGTGAGGTACGGTTGTGCACCAAATGCACAAAAAAGCATAAAATAAAAAAGCAGACATAAGGAAAAAATGTATTAAAACCAAAAGTGGACATCATGATACTACCAGATATACGCGTAGCATTATACATTGCAAATGAACGTTGTCAGCCTAGGGAGTTTCCTTTATTCATGCATTTATTAGTGATACTTGCACTTACCCATTTCATTACACTTTATTGATTCACCTTAGCACTTTTACTTTTCTAAAATCAGCTTTCAATCCGTTGTAAACGTTGTACCTACCTCAATATTGGTTGGTTATCGTATGCCGACAACCACGGGATGAAAACGAAACGAAGTCGATTTTCCCGCTCAACCTGGAGGACAATTGTACAATTCAATAACTATACAGCCTAGTTCAGACAATGTGTATTTATATATATATCAAATATTTAACTGTTGAAACATTATTAACTTGTAGACAATCTACGATTTGATATTATATCATACTTGATCGTGCCTGTAAAAATGGCATGCATTTTCATGTAAATTTATATGTTTATATGAGAATATATATATTATTAGGTATTGTGTAGTTTAGCTTCGTTCTTTTCAGACACAATGCTTACACTCCATTATTGCTGCACGTTTCTCTGTGTGCTGCACTAGAGGCTATAAGTCTAGTCATTCGACTGTTCGCCACCCAGAATAGTGTAAGCAGTCACGTGTGGTACGACAATGCTTCAGCAGTAATAGGAAACAAATTTTATGAAGGGTTACTTTCGCTCTTTGAAGGTGGAAACTGAGGTTAAGAAATCAAATAAGGCGTATCCCATGGAAGACTGGGCCACTGTCTGCCTGAGGAACGAGCATTCCCTAGGATATCTGACCCATAGTTCGTAGATTATATTTCGTTTTTGGGGTTTCAGGTTGTTAATTATAAGAATGCTAATTATCTGTTCCAGACGGAGAAGCGCCTATCCTGACTAATGTGTACTGCCTATAAGTAGCCAAGTTGCACACTACAGGCGTAGCCTTCCAAAAGCTATCTGAGTGGTAGTAGTAGGAATATCTAATTGATTTAGCGGAATCAAATTCACTTGTTTCAGGCTATCTGAGAATAGGTATGTTTTACTGGAATCAAAGCAGGTATATTTGTCGTGCATAGATAGGAATGAATATATTACTACTATATACTTTCTGTGGCATAGTCGAATTCTAAATGTCAAGAAATGTAAGATTATTGGGATAAGAATCTACATTGTGATGGACTGTCAAGAGGACGCTGGATGAAATCAATACAGATTTTTGCAACTCCTTTTTTCATGGCTGGTGAGATAACATAGGTTAGGTTTACAAAGTGACCATTTCCGGGACTATGTCTAGACCATTTCCTGAAGTGTGGAATTACGTGGTTGGTTTTCCCGGTTCCATAGAAATCCCGCGCCACCATTTTTAGTACCGATACCAAGCATCGCGTCTTCTCCTTATTACATGGGGCTTAAGAGATATTATCTCATCTCTAACATTCAGGTTAAACTCAAATTCGGAGAATTTGTGAAACTTTCACTCTGTTGCTGCTACGACTTGGTGAATAGCACCGGTAAAAATTGCGAAACTGTGTCACTCATCTCACATATTTCAAAAGGGTGATTATATTGCATATCCCTTTTTGAAGTGGCACGACCTACTTTATCGCGTGCGTATCTCCGTGGTTGTTTGATATGAGCCGGCATTAATTTGCCTTGTTTAGTCCGGGCAGTTGTATTGACGTGATTTTGATGCTTATTTATCTTTTTAAAATTAATTTCCTTGAAAATCGTCGTTCAACACTTTTTCTCATTATAAATACATTCTTTATGTGGCATCATGTTCAAATGTAATTTGTGCAATAATTTTTCTGTATATCCAGTAATCTTGGCGTACATTTCATACGATTACTGCTTAAAGAATTCCTGCGAAGCATGGTGGCAGACTGAACTGGGCCCCAAATTTTTTGATTAGCTGATATCTTCAATATATTACTGGTGCGCTACTTCACACTTATGTGGTGTTTTGGATATAAATAACCAATGGAATCCGTTGATATCGACAAAAATAGCGCCGATAATTGAACATATATAACGTTTCTTTTTGACATAAATTTGAGATATCGACTACTTTTAAAAATGTTTGCTGACTAAAATACACCTCAAGACCAATTCGTTTCAGTCATCGGCTAAATAAATGGAAGTGCTAATTTCTCAATACTAGATTTAGTTTCCGTCCTGGTCAAGAATTAATATCGTTGAACAAGATTGAGTTTCAAGGTTTCCTCTCTGGAAAATCGACATTCAGCCAAGATATTATATTATCCTATGGCCTAGCCGACCTTATATGTGGCTCAAAATGTATAGATATGGTGTACTTTTCTGTAACAACAAATTTCGTTATCAAGTTTCTTGTCTTTTTCCATCAGAGTGACTCTTATATATGCGTCTTGTGAAATCTCGTTTCCGCTTTTAGTAGCTCGCCTTCTTGACATCTCTAAATAAACTAGATGCAAGGAACTCAATGGTATTAATATCAGTAAAAAGTTTGAGCACTGTGGATTAGATGAAATAAAGTATAATTATATTTCAATGGTTTACACACAATGATAAGTTTTGTCATTGGAATTTTTTGATTCCAACAGTGGTTTGAACACGGGCAGCAATTTCGCTCGAAATATTACCAATAACAAAACTTATCATTGTATGCAAACTATTGAAATATAATTAAACTCAACGGTACTCTATAACCTTCACCAAGTCTTCTTTGGGAGATATTAGCTGACATACTCGCCCCCCTGACCACTACATTCAAGCCACCTTTCCCGTAAGCGGTGTCACTGCATGGCAAGAAAAAAGCCGTAGTAACCCTCATCCACAAAAGAGGATCATGTCAGTGTTCTTCAGACTGGAGGCCTATCATTCTCACCAGCACTTAAATCAGGATACCAGAGAGAATTACCAAGGGAGCCATCATGGCACACTCAGAAAACAACAACTTGTCTAGAGCGCAGCATGGCTTCCTAGGAGGAATCTCACGTCTGCCAAACTTCGCTTTGAAAGAAAGTTGACCAAGGCAAGGGACAAGAGAGGATCAGTCAATACCGCTTTCGTTGACTTCAGCAAAGCCTTCGACAAAGTGTCTCGTGAAGACTACTCACGAAATCGGAAAGTCTTGGAATCAAATATGACCTACTAAATCGGACTAAGGAATTGCTAATTGGTAGGAGGCAGAGTCATAATCAACTACAAATTCTCCTCCTGGACGACAGTACTTAGTGGAGTGCCACTAGGCGCGGTACTTGTTTTCGTGTATCAGCGAGTTATCTGTGCTCAGCGGTTTCCCAAAAGTCCTATATGTAGATGATTTATAAATTTGAGAGAGCTAAAGGGCCATTATTATACTCTCACGTTTGAAGGAGATCTCAACAAAGTGTTATGATGGTGAGAATAATGGATGTTTTAAGTCAACGTAGAGAAATGCGCACAAACGCACTTTGGAAACACAAGCACCAGCTCCTACGAATTAGAGGGAATGACGCTGCACTCAGTTCGGACTCACTTGGATTTAGGTGTCATTGTAAGTTACGACTCAAAACCTACAGCACATCGTCGCACTGTTACTAGGCGTAATTTCAGAAATTTATGGGTAATTCGCAGGGCCTTTACTAGAATATGTTTACCGGAGAGTTGTTCACCTCTTCACATATGTGATGAGGCGAAGAAAGGGTTTAAAGAAGGCAACACGTATGGTTCTTGGCATGACCATTTTACCATATGGTGACAGACTCAACAGTCTGAATCTATTCTTATTGTCAGGGAAAAGGATTAACATAGGCTTCAGGCCTTCTACCCCCAATCAATAAATCTGAATCTGATAAGTTAGCCCAGCATAATCGTCGTACAAATACTATGCAAAGATATCGGTAATGAAAAAATATTTAGTCCAATAAAGAGAGGATTTTGTAACTCGGATCCATTGATTTAAATTTTATGTTCGCTGAATGCATGGGAGGTGTTCAATACATCACGATAACTCGAATGAAATTGGTATACCGTTAGCGCTCCTTTCAACTAGTTTTCAAAACCGCGCAGTATGACCTTTGACGTTGCTTTCGATTTAGAAAAAAGTCGCGTCGATTATCGTGAATATAGGTAAGTTAGAGACGGTGGATTTACATTCACTAAAGGTACATTCAGTTAGATAATGGATTAAGGGCAATACTGGTGTGCAACTTAAAGCCTGGTGAAGAAGTGCCTGAGGACACACTGTCGTGTTCCGACCTTGAAAGTGATGACTCTGAAAGCGTGGATGACGAAGTGGTAGCTGATGAAAATGAAGATTCTGTGTGTGATCAGGAGGCAAAAGTGAGTCTTACGATGAATTAGCTACCTCTCAAAAGTCATCTTTCTACATAACTGATATACCTATTCGACTTTTCAAAGTACATACAAAGCTCGTATAACAGCCCCTACTTCCTGATTCGGCACTTTTTGATATCATGTTGACCTCAATTATCAGAGTCTTGGGCATGTTCTCATCATTCTAAACAACCCAGTTGGATGAAAATGGGCAATAATCGTTGGATAATAGTTAAAATGGGGCCCGACTTTTGGCGAATGGTATAAATGGTTATGCAATGGCCATGTCCCACTCAGCTAATGATTAGATTAGGCAAATATTTCCTCACTACAGGTTAAAATGTGAAGGTAGTGGTCAAATAATGGTAAAAACGGGAAAATTTTGTATCGTATGACCGAAATTCTCCAATTTTTTCTACTATTAGCAATACGTATTATTCACCTATTCCTTACCATTTTTGACCGATTAGGAATTCACTGTCTCTCATCCAATATATGCCATCTGCTCACTTGTTTCGAGAGTTTATTGGCATTGGATTATTTTATTTTGATTTACTGTAGAGTATTTAATAATTGGTATTTTTATATTGGATTTTGAGAAGTCATGTGTAGTGATATCAATGAAATTCTCAATTTGCAAGTGGTAGTTTTAGATGAAAATTCATCACAGTATGAGGTCCGCTTGACACCATCAATAGCATTCTGGGAAGTAAACAGAATTGCATAATAGTGTACAGTAAAAGCAGGTTGAAATGTGCCCCTAAACGACCTAACATCCCCTTCCCCGTTGTAGTGCTTTGACCACTACTATCTGGCTAGTATGCACTGTTGGTTGATGTAGCTGTATCCCGACTACTTATACGTTACAGTTTAAGCGAGTCTGAAAAAAATATATATTACATTTTCATTCAGCATCTGTGGAAAGCAGTAAAAATAAAGCGAAAACGGATGAGGGATTGTTAAATTTATTTTTACGGATACTAACGACTTGAACGTTTAGAAATAAATATTTGCCACAGTAAAATATGCACGTATATTTTTGGTGAAGTGAAAAAAAATGTTTGAACATTTCCACGAGTCTTAAGGGCAGTGTCTTTAGAGTAAATAAATTAATTAATGTTCAAGTAAAAATGGCAATAAGTTCTAGTTCATTCCTCTCTTCATCCACATAAAACAATTGCACGCGACCCGTTGTTATTGCTCATTGGTAATTTCTGGAGATTTTTTGATGGTCCGAATTTTGTTTTATAAGATGTTTAAATGTATAGATTCTTGTAACTATTACTACCTTGAAATCTGAGTGGAATATAAGGCTTCAACAACACATCTCCACTCTCTTCTATTTTTCTACCGTCGTCTTCAGCTGGCTGGCTCCACTATCACCCATTATCTCTCATCTCCTCCCTAAACGTTCTCCTGTATGTCATTCCCGCACCAATGACACACTCGTCGCTTCCCATTCGGACTCCACTCCTTTGTCTCACACCTCTGCTCACTGTTTCTATTATGCTTTTCTTGTACTTTCTTCTCTTGCTTCGCGTGCTACACGGAATGTGGCGACTTGAACTTCCGCACATTTGTGCAAAGTTCTATGTCGAAAACAGACAGACAGACTCCACTCGAGCGATGTTACATGTGTTGATGGGTATAAATAAATATAAGGGCTGCATTACTAACTTTGAAGACGGTATATTGTGTGCATGTGTTGCGTCCATGACGCTGTTACGGTGTAAACCTAACGTGTAACTAACGTTGACTGAATAGTTATTTTCCACTGTATATAACGTCAGACTGAAAGCTGTTACGTGGACTGGCTGTTGGACTTACATATGACAATGACCCAACCAGTTACACTAACGAGAGCTGGTGTTCATGTTCGTCTTATTAATCCGGAAAGATTATTTGGTTGGGCGTTGGGCTGGCAGTTCTACCCCAAAAAATCTAAATCTCGTTGACTTAGAATATGCAGATGACATAGTCCTTCTAGATGAAGACGCTGACGAAATCCACCAGAGTCTTCTGAACACCTTGAGCTGCAGTCTACAAATGTTTACCATGCGATTCGCTCCCACCAAATGTAAGATGATGTTACAGGACTGGACTACACTGACTCCTAGTTTAGAAATAGGAAGTGAAGTGGTAGAGCACGTTGACCGCTTCACTTATTTGGGAAGTACCATCAGCCAACGCCAACGGGTTGATCTCTGACGAAGTCTCAGCACGGATACATAGGGCTAGTTTCGCGTATGCCAGTTTACACCTCCTCTGGCGTAGATGTGATATCCGGCTATCGACCAAAGGGCGTGTTTACTGCTCAGCAGTCCGCTCCGTCCTTAATGGCTGTGAGCAAGACATGACCATTGAGAGTGGAAGACATGAAAAGGCCGGCTAGCTGTCCTTGATCAAAGCTACCTGCGTTCTATCTCCCTTATGAAGTGGTATAAGAAGATGAGCAACATTGAGGTTAGGCGTCGAGTGCTAGGTAAGGAGGGGAAGTCAATCTACGAGGTTGGAAAATACCTAGTGGTGGTTAGACGAAAACATGTCTTCTTCAGTCAATGAAATCCACAATAGTTAGTTCAAGTCACGTAGGAAAATGTAGACTTCCTCGTTGGGGAGACCAGTCAGTCAGTCGGATTTCATGCGTATTGCTACAGTATTCCATATTGTTTTTAATGTATAATTGCATCCTTAACGTCCTTATTTTGAATCTGTTAGTCGGCTGCTGCACTGTGCATCAGAGTGGGAAGTTTTTCGGATCCTCCAGAAGCTCAGGGACTGTCTCACTTTTTGGAACACAGTGAGTTCTTAAAGTGATTTTTTTAAAACTTTACAGTATATTTTCAGATCGTACTTGTCGCTTGTAGTATTTCACTCTTTCAATCATCACCACGCCAAAGTTTGAAACAAGCGTATTCATATTAGTCTTCTGGAGTAGTAGACATCATTTAATATTTGTCAGACATACGGGATTCTCTTTTCAATAAGTCATCGACTATTTGTGTGTGTGTTCATGTGTACTGTGTTAGTTGCCATTCATACTAAATAACTGGAAGGATTAATCCGTTAAATGATTGATTGCTTGCGGGTATAATCCTATGTAATACGCTTAACATGACCGAGATCGTAAATTTTATCAATACAGGGCATTTCACCATCGGTTTCATCATATTAAGGATACTAGATAATATCTTAGTAATTGCAGACCAATGAATAAGTGTTTGTATGTGTTCGGTTGAACTCAGTCTCTCCGGAATAGGCCCAGCATATTCCAGACTGTAAGCCACACCTGTTTCTCCTGAGGTCTGATGAGATTATTTAGTTTTTCAGTCTGATGTAGGTTGTGTTGGATTCGAACCCGAGGTCCACTGTCTGAAAGTTGGGTGCCTACACCAATGAACTATGTCGCCAAATGTGTTTGGGTGCTATTAATATTATTATTTAAACACAGACGTGATGCATTATGTTCGCCAAGAGATGTTCCAGAAAAAGTCACATACTTTCTTCAGGGACTGGGATATTGCCCGAATGCACCGAATTAAGCAAGTGGTGTTGTCTTAAGAAGCCACCCTCGAGCCTTTGACTTGAAAGTTTGATCCATAGGGCACAGAACAGTGGAGCTGCGTTCCCATAGTTTCTGGTTACTAGAACAGGTTCACATTCCGTTCTATCCTTTTGGATTCTGGAGCCCATGTACACCATAGGTTTGAAATGTAGGTTTTTCAGCTTCTCATACTCTGGGTAGACCTGCTTATCCATCGATCTCATCGTGTAGGCGCGAAGAGTACAGATTCGCTTTTTCACTTTTGCGTGAATGCAGTGAATAGCACTCACTCGGCGAAGGGTATGAATGCATGGCCGCATAAGAGCATTTCAAGTGGAAGACTGATGTCGTCCATCCACTCTCAGTCGTGCTAGATCATTTATGCGGGGGAGGAGGGTGCATGTGTTTGGTTGATTAGCCACAAATATCCTGCTTGGGATATTTGCCTTCTAATAAGCTGTATTTCATTGTGTATGTTAGTTCTTTGTTTGTTTTTTCTCGATAGATCTAGTTGTACACCATTACTTAAAGCAACAATCTATGATTTTCTATGTGCTTAGAGTTGAGTTAATCAATTAGACTTAATCCCACCATCTCCAAAATTATCTATGAATACATTTTCGCAAGCTTGACTGTGGTAGAATTTGATCTTCACCAAACAAAGGACTACACACACGACACTAGTTAGTGTCCAATCCAAGTATCCAGTACAGTCCTACAGGATAGCACAATGTTAACGTCTATGACTGCAGCACTGGCTGACACGGCTTCCTTCAAGATTGATGACTAGTGACTGCCAACAAGCAGAAAACCTAGGTCAGACGAGGCTTCCTGTTGACCACTTCCAGGCATCTAGTAACGAGTTAGTATTTATATATATAATTGGATGGAGGATTTCACCATGAGCAGACATCAGTCAGAGAATCACTGGAAAACCTGGGAGTACTGTACAGCTGTTTTGTCCTAGTTTGGGACTCTTCATCATTACGCACCCACCGGAGTTCGAACCAAAGACCTTCTGGTTACAAGGCGAGCTAGCTCATAGACCACTGAGTGAGTCTCTTTATGTGCGTACTCATGAGGAGTCTCAAACTAGGACGAAACAGCTATCCAGTACTCCTAGGTTTTCCTATGGTTCTCTAACTGATGTCAGCTTATGATGAAATCCTCCATTCAATCAAACAAAATCCTTACAAAACCAATACTTGAAAATATATATATATATATATATATATATATATATATATATATAACATAATCATCTTATCTATCTGCTTATTTTTAATAGTGGTATTCATGGGAAGTGAAAAGTATCCAACAGAAAATGATTTTACCTCGTATGTAAGTCAACGTGGTGGAAGTAATAATGCCTGCACAGGAAGTGAACGTACCCTATTCCACTTTGATGTGAAACGTAAACACTTTGCTAGTTGTTTAGACAAATTTGCCAACTTCTTCATTTCACCGTTGTTGAGTAAAGATAGTAGTGATCGAGAGATAAACGCTGTTCATAGTGGTAAGTTGTTTTTTTTTATTTATTAAATCTTAACAATAGATTTTAACGGTATACAACACATTTTTAAGGCATACTACTTTTTGATAGGAATACAGATTTAGAAATACGTATCTCAGGTATATATATATATATATATATATATATATATATATGTAGAGGGAGAGAGAGAGAGTAACAACGGAAGACAAGAGCAACAAGGCAACAGATCGTTTATTCGGGGAAATCAACACATATTTATAGATTTTCATATACATTATTATAGATTATTGTTAGCAGAAAAACACAGTCTTCTGATTGGTGGTTGTTTCTCTCAGAAAGTTAACCTTTCATCTCTTTGTGACTGTTTCTTGAATGTCAGCTCATCTATATGTTAACTGTATCCGCCTACGCAAAGTCTGCTGTGGTTGGTTGTTGAATTAGTCTTTGTTCATATTTTTCTCACGACCAACATTTGGGATATAAACATTGACGTAAAATACTGTCTACCACTTTTGGCTAGCAGCCACCTCTCACCACAAGAGTATGTGGTAAAGACAATAAGTCATGCGTTGTCGATAATTCAATGATAGAATGCTCCTCAACTATACATGTGGTTCTGGGTTCGATTCTCTAGCCTATGCACTCGTAAACCTCACCTAGCCTGGTGGTGAAGAGAGAAGGTTGAGTATAAGGCTGGCAACTTCACTCCACAAAACAAACGCTACTAAAGCTCTATGTTCGAAAACCAATAAAGGCTGGAGACAAGTGGTGATATGGCTGAAAATCGTTCTCAATGGTGCAGATGTGTCCACTCCTTATTATTTTTAATAATGGATTGGTGAAAGATGTGTGCCGGAGAGGATAAAATGCCGGGTTCGTGGGCGGAAAGGAGGTAAACTAGGTTTTCTTTCTAACCCTTTTTCTATTTTCTTTTTTTAATTCCTTTCTTAGGAAGTAACCCCACTTCCAATGTTTTTTTTTATTAATGGTTAGTTTTTGATTAAGGTGTTTTTTCCGGATTAGGTTGCTAACGTCACGGTCATCCTCCCATCTTTATCAGACTTACTACTGGCCAGATTTAGGAGTGCGTTGGCTGGTGATCTTATCCCGGACCATGGGCATGGTTGCTGAGCAACTGTACAACTGAATCAATGAGGCAGTCATGTAGTAAAAATGAAATGTAATTCATACCATTGATGTTGTCCCTCTTATACTTGTATGCAGTTGGCGATGAGCCACACCCTATTGTGTTTGAAGTCTGGTGAGATACATACTACCTGGCTGCTGAAATCACAGTAGGGAAGTGGAGCAAGGTTCAAACCTATGACTCTTTAGTTAGAAGTCTAGAGCTCCATACAGCTCCCAATATTGAAACAGAGTTGTCGTACTTCCGATAGATTTATTGACATCTCATTACTATACTATAATGAGTGGAATAATAATCTCAAGTAGGTTTTTTAAAGCGTGTGTCGTTGGTGTTCAGTTGTAAAACACTTGCCAACAAAGCACCTGGTCCAGACTCCGGTTTCCTGTCGATACACTCCTTAACCGCACATAACCGATAGTAAACCCAGTAGTAAAGGGGGGAAGGTTGACTATGAGGCTGGCAACACTCCACCTTGTAAAAGAACATACATCGCCACGCTGAAACTTCAAAACTCAAGGCTTGAAACCCTGGTCTATGTTCTAAAGTATTAAAATATAAATGATAATCTTTTGAAAGAGAGTACACTGCACAGAGTTTGACTTCACAAAAACCACTGAATATTAACATACCAACGTGAAAGTAATCTGGTACACTAAATATAAACATAGGTTTGCATACAGTACAAAATTCTTAGCATTCCCTGTAACAAAAATGAGATCATAATAATTTTCAGTGTGTGTCATCTGATGTGATATTGTCCTATTAAAAGTAAGCTGCAAAGCTTTCTCCGATGTTAATCCGCTGGTGTGGGGAGGGGGAGTTGCTGGCTTCATGCCCAATCGCCCCTCTTCAATGGGCGTACTACCAGCTCTAGGGGAAAGGTTTACTGGTGTGTTCAGCTGAGAATTTACAATTGAAACAAGTGTGTCGTAGGCGAGGATTTGACTAGTGAACCACCAACGCCCGTGTATCATATTGAGAATTATAAATTTCTAGTAGTACTATCTGTCACAGGTTATTATTGTATTATTAGTGTTTCCTTTAATTCCTAGAGGAACTTAGGGTTTCAGCCACACGTCTCCATTGCGTTCGGTTCTTTGCAAACATTTTCATCACTTGGCTCCACATCTGCCCACATGCTTTCATCTCCTCTTCGCATCACCTCCTCCTCTTCCATGTCACTCTCTCACTGACGACCAACTCGCCGCTCTCCATTCGGGTTCCACTCGAGCAATGGCCTGGCGTGTCATGTCACTCACTTGATGGTTTGTTTCCTCAGAGTATGGCCAATCCACCTTCATTTCTTCTTGTGTATTTGTTGCCCATTTGGTTCCTGCTGGGTTAATTCGTGCATTGCCACAGATCCCAGTTGCTGATGTTTTCTGGCCGGCCATCTGATCTTGAGTGGTATTGAGCGAAAACAGCTGTTAATGATGAAGGTGTGTAGTTTGTTCATGACGCAGTGCGTCGCCAAGTCTCTGATCCGTATAGTAGCACTGACTGATTTCACATTGGAGTTGAAATTCAGGATCTTGTTTTTCATGCTGAGTTTTCTTGATCACCGATAGTATTCCTAATTGTAGTGAACTAGATCATACGAAAGACTTGGGGGAGCAAGAAGACGGGAAAATGTTGGACCAATAAGAAGACTCTAGAAGGTCTGAATTTCGTGGATAATTTCCATCTAATATCATGTAAATTGGAAGGCTTACAGGCCTCCAGAACTAACAAGTCTGCAGAAGAAACAGACGATAAAGACAGCACTTCAAGTGGAAATAGAGAAGATGGAGGTGATGAATATACAACAACAACAACAACAAGCACCAATCACTAAGTTTGAAAGAGGTCACTTCCTTCCTTCACTAATATCTAGACAACCAATATCATTTCAACTACAGGTGACCCTTATGAATGAACGATAGTGTCAAAATCGTCAGGATCGAAAAGGCAAGACAAACTTTCATCACTCTGAAATCAGTTTGGAAAGCTTCTCTGCAGCACTGACTTAGCACAAAGAACAAAATTGGTTGGATTTTCAACACGAATGACAGGTCTTATTCAGTCCTTCTATGTAGGTCAGAAACTTGGTGATCACGTCACGAAGAGCATTTTCAACAGGCTTATTCAAGACTTTTATCAACAGGCTTCCCACTTCACTGGCTGCTTCATGCAGACAATCAGATAGGTCGGTGATCAAGAATTGGTAATAAGAAACTCTGGGAACGAACCAGTCAATAATCTATTGATAAACAAATATTCCGAAAAAAAATGGAGACGGATCGGATACAAGCCATGGGGGGGGACTGTTGGGTGAAATCACACGCGCCGGCCCATCGGTCGATTGTGAAATGACAAGTTGAGCATCATTTGGTGGAGGGTGTAACTTGTAGAAGATCGTATGAAAAGTGTCGTCGGTCCAGATGAAGGGAACTGTAGAAAACATGACAAAATTTGGAAGTGTTGTTGAACCCCTATATTATTGTTGTACCATACTTTGAATTGTTTATTAGTGTATTTGTATTGCTATTATTATTATTATTATTATTATTAATATTATTACAGAGTTCGAACTTGAAACTGCTAAAGATTCTTCACGTCTATATCATCTGATTGGTCATCTATCCTGTAAAGATTCTCCATATCGACTCTTTGGCTATGGTATGTTTATTCCTGTGTTTGTGTGATTGGCCTTTTTTCATCTCAAGAATTATTTTGTAGGAATTTGTTTTGTTTCATGTTTGACCATGGATCGATATCAGTTAGAGAGAAGCACTGGAAAACCAACTAGTGGAGTACTGGACAGCGCTGGTTGTTTCGGCCTAGTTTGGGTTTCATCAACAGGTAGAATCGCGCTAAAATCATGAATTGGTAAAAAGTTAGAATTCATGGAGTCATTTAGTGAAGTCTCAGTGACTGAATCGTTTATAAGCTTGACTTAGAACTGGAAGGTTCTGGGTTTGAACCCCCATGGTGGGGGTGGGTGTGTGCCATTGATAGGTCCCAAAGTAGGATAAAGCAGCCAGCTGTCCAGGACTTCTTGTCTTTTTTTTTCTCAGCAATCTTAGTATTGCACTAATATGAGAAGTAGTCTTTTTTCCCGTATTTTGATTATTCTTGTGAATTTATTTCATATATGTGCATTTTTAAAAATTTATTGCTAATATTTACTTTTAAAAAAATCTAATTGTGATCAAATCCACCAACAACATTGAGACAGGTTGACAAGAAATCTATTGAATATAGCGTTCATTTGTGTGATAATGACCCGGTCGTTGATGACGTTACTGTACATATATCTTTTAACACTGAGAGTTAAGACACTTTTTCTGAGTAGACATTGAATAAGAATTAAACTTTGTTGCAGGTTGACTAAATTGAGAAAATATTGACATTTGAAGCTTCGACGTGATAGTTGGAGAAACCAGTAGATTCTGCAGTCGAATTACATATTTTCATTTGGATTTTTTGAATTTCCCCCTGGACTGATTGGGCACTGGATTCGAGCCTTGGTGGAGACATCATCACTCATTGGGGAATGCAGGTGCATCCAGATGACGCGAGTCCCGAATAGGACGAAATGCGCGTTGTCTTGGATTTCACTGCTAGTCGCGATTCACCAATCAAATTCAAATTACATATCTGATAGCTTTTAAGGCATCAGAAAAGGAACATGAACAACTTTTCAAAATTTTTTTAGCTTTTATTTCAGATCCCTTCCACTTAACTTTCAGCAACCCCTAGGAGGAATAAAGATTTACTAACATAAGGAGGGAGTAATTTTCTTTCCTTTTGACTTGAATCTTGTTGTTATGGTAGCTTTCAATGTTGTTGATGACAGATATCATGTTAGCTACACTTCCAGGGTGCTTGTGCCGTGGTTATTATCTGGATGATCAGAGGAGATTATTAACTGTCTGCAGTTAACAATTTTGAAGAGTCTGCTTCCATTTCATCTATTCGCACAGATTCTTCATACTACTATACCACATCTTTACATATCTTTTGCAATTTGAGCAGCTGTTTGCATCCTTAATCCATCATGATGTCGTGGATATTTCATGTCCCTATGAATAATTTTACTTTACTTATTTACTGTCTGACTGACTGGCTTGCCGAAGGCTATCATCAGTCGGTGTCGTCCATCCTTGAACTGAAGATTCTTCCTTAATCCTTCGAAGAATAAACTTATTTCGTGTGTTCTCTGAGATCTCTACCCTAGCCCTACACCTTGTCTCTCCTGTACAAAGTAAAAGACACCTTTGAATTCATTGAAAGGATAAAAGATTTAAATATTAACAACAAATTCATGATATCATTTGGCGTATCTTCTTTATTGAATAGTGTTCCACTGATAGAAACAGTAGACTTATTATTTACGAAGAATTGATTAGACGGCACATCGATACTAGCATTCCTATATATGTTTTATGGAACAACTTCTTTTGCGATGTACAATGAATGTTCATTTTTTATTTAATGAGGAATAATGCAGATTAAGTGATGCTGTGACAATAGGGGTCACCACTAGAACCGATTCTAGCTTGCATTTTCCTTGCAAAACTGGACAAATAAGGCCTTTGAAAGATGTAATTGGTGAACTAGAATTTAACTATCGTTATATCGAGGACACATTTTTAATTATGAAGACTGGGAATGAAACAAAGTGCATCCTTGACAAAATTAACTGTATGCATCCTTCAATAAATTCTTACATCGTGAAAGAAAACAACTCCAGTATTTCACTCCTAGACGTTCTGATGACTAGAAAAGAGGTCGGTAAAATAAGAAGAAGTGAATATAGAAAACCTACATCAACTGGTCGGCTTCGTGTCGTTGAAATACTAACATGATCTAATAAAGTGCTTGGTCCACAGAGCTTGAAAAGTCTGTTCTGATGAATGTCTTTATGAAGAATTCAATAATTACTAAACAGTTACTGAGTGAGAACGATGACCAGGAGAAATTTATCGATAAGAATATGAATCAAAAGTCAAGGCAGACCAAAGTATCAGCAGTTCCGAAAAAGGAAGGCCTTATTCTTACAACTTCAGTTCCTCAGGGATAATATCAGTGAGGTAAGAATACAGCGGTAAAAATAGCATTCAGTACTGCTGCATGAAGTATGCTGTGTTTTCAAAACCACCACTTTTTCGTGTTCGGGAGTTAAAGATAAACTGCCTAATTTCGCGTCTTCTATGTGTATGTATCATTTTGACTGCTCCTGTGGAGCCAGTTAGCTGCTTAGGCCGAACAATTAGGCGTGTTTCTCGTCGGATTTCTGAATGTCACCCTGTATAGTGATTAAGTAAAGGACAGACAGAGTCCATTCATAGGGCTATTCTGTTTCATCTCGTGGATACAGATGACAAGATTGATGTAGAAAAGGCGGCTATCAATGTTATCTACCGTATACCAATTAATCCTAATTCTACCTTAAGAGTTCGACTTCTACATATTACTGAGGCTGGCTGTTGGGAACTACATTAAGAAACCTAACTAATGTGTCCAGAACAAGTTGGTTGGTTCAGACACTGTCCTCACCTTGGTCATCAAGGTTTTGATGATCCTGAATTAGTTGTGGAAATTTCCTTAATTTTAGTTGATATTCTGTTTACCATTACATTTTTATACTTACTATAATTTATGCGTCTCTCTTGATTTGTAATTTCATTGATCTCAACAAATCTATATTATATGAAAAATACATCGATATTGTTAATTACGATTATTCTAGAATATTCTGTGTACATATATATAAAAAATTGTAGAGCTAGAAGAGGAATTTATCGAAAAGTATATTCTTTGCTAGAACTTTCTGTTGTCCTTTAAATATTTGTTCGTGAGGCTATCTAAGGTAGTCTTGGGTGTTGGTAGACTCTTATTGACGTGTAATAGTAGGTGATGATTAAGACGGTAAAATAAGAACCTAGGTTGTGGTGGTAGGACTCGAACCATTCACCTCCGAATTACTGCTAGTTTCCACGCTCTACTAGTTGAGCAACGAAGCCCATTCTATTAATAGCACACTGTGTCAACCCAAAATGATCACAGATAGAGTTCCCCCCTTATTCAATGGGATTTACATATGATAAATGAGAAGAACTTGGTGGGCTTTTGCGTCAGCGGTTCAACGGTAGGAACTCTCGTCAACTACCCATGGTGTCCGGGGTTCGATCCCCAGCCGACGCCACTCCTAAACCTTACTAAGCTGGTAGTAAGGCTGGTAAAGAGTGAAGGTTGATGGCATGAGGCTAGCGCGAACCCCATCCCGTGAAAATAAAACCCCTTTGCTACCGAGACTTCAAAGCTCTAGCTTGAAGCCCTATGTTCCACTCGGAACTTAATACATTAGATATATTTTATCTTAAGGTGGGCTTTTACAACAGAAAGATCAATTAAAAGACAAGTATTCACATTCACCAAATAAAAGACATCACCTTTATAGTGTAGATTTAATACACTACTGTTGAATTTCATACAACCGTTTCCCTGTATTCGTTTAAACCAAGAAAGAACGAACATATTTCCAGGTACACGGTAGTACAAGCTTGTTTTTTTATGATTTCGCGAAATTCTCTTCAACTGCATACATCCTAAACAAAAATCAAATTAAAAGTTGGCATAATTTGCTGATTGAACATACATTTATCACAGTGGCGTCAAGTTATAGATAAAAGATATAAGCGCAGCATAAACCCCAAGAAAAATGATGTTACTAGACAAATTATTCATTGTGTTAAAAGGCCAACTATTTATAGTATCATTAGATAGGAGTTGTGGGGGTGGGTGGGTAGGTGGGTGGTTAGAGTTCAGATTTGACTTGGAAACAAAGATTAACTAGACACAAAATACAAGGTGGAGCAAGTGAGTGAGTTTATACGTATTATAATGAAGAGTTTAAGAGGAAGGATGGATGGGGTGAGGGAGTGAATAGTAAAGTAAAATTATGACATAGACAAACAATGTAATAAATTTGGGACTTCGATAATGAGTTCAACGCAGTGAAGTGAAAATCAAACATAAGGAGAAGAAATGATGGAGTGATTGAAAATTCTGTCCATAGAAAAGGAACGTGTGCTGGTCAGTAATATTTAAATTATGACAACTTTTAGTATACGATTGGTGGATGGTGGCTAGCAGTGAAATCCAGGATAAAGCGCATTTCGTCCTATTTGGGACTCGTCAGCTGGATGTACCTGCATTTCTCAGTGAGTGATGATGTTTCCACCAAGGCTCATACCCAGTGCCCATAGTTTCAAACGCCAAAGCGTTATCCACTAGACCACTTGGGCCACGAGAGCCACCTCTTGTGCAACGGGTCATATTAATTATTGAATTGAATTTTTGATTTTCCCGTCGATTGATTGAACCGAAGTGCTCGGTCTCAGGTTAACATGTCGGCTTCTTGTGCAGATGCTTCGACGATGTCTGGGCATTTAATTTAAGCATCTGCACAAGAAGCCGACATGTCAACCTGAGACCGAGCACTTCGGTTCAATCAATCGACGGGAAAATCAAAAATTCAATTCAATAATTAATATGACCCGTTGCACAAGAGGTGGCTCTCGTGGCCCAAGTGGTCTAGTGGATAACGCTTTGGCGTTTGAAACTATGGGCACTGGGTATGAGCCTTGGTGGAAACATCATCACTCACTGAGAAATGCAGGTACATCCAGCTGACGAGTCCCAAATAGGACGAAATGCGCTTTATCCTGGATTTCACTGCTAGCCACCATCCACCAATTGTATACTAATTAAATGCCCAGACATCGTCGAAGCATCTGCACAAGAAGCCGACATGTCAACCTGAGACCGAGCACTTCGGTCCAATCAATCGACGGGAAAATCAAAAGTTCAATTCAACATCACAACTTTTGCCTAGTCGACTATAAACGGAGCCTGAAAAAAGCACTCTTTTTGTGACAGAGCTGGAGCGTTATGTTCAGAAGATAAGATTGCCGAGGAACTCACAGTTATCGAAAAAAACAAACAAAACTTTATCACAAATGGATATGCCCGGAAGTTCATATCAAAATATGGGGAAGAGAAATCACCTAGACTGAAACTCGAAATAGTTGAAAAGAAACCAGTTTCTACCTGTCTAGTGTACAAAAGCGAAGAAGCATCCATAAGAACGGAAAACAGAGTTAACGGTACATTGGTGCACCACCAGACTCATTCCACTTTATACTCGTTAACTCAGTCAAAACTAGATAATTATTATTCTACTCATGTCACCTCCCACACCATTTACCAATACACCTGCAATCGGAGCAACATGTACATAGGAGGCACTGAGAGGAGAGCGTCTACTAGATTCTTCGAGCATATCCCTAAATGTCTCCGTGCGAAAGGCAGCAAAGGGTTCTTAACTAGGATTGTCAGACACCTAACTGACACACACACAACATACAGTGGGAATTAGTTGCGCTTTCAAAATAATCATAGTCCCTTCGGTTCGCAGAAGCCGCCATTGCCATCAAAAGACTTTGAAACCACTTCTGTATACAGAAAGATAGTGTGACTAATCTCTCACTACCCTGATAACTCAATGTCACACTGTGAATAAAGTGTGTTCCACAAAGAAAAAAATATTTGTTTTAGGATGTGTACGCAGTGGAAGATCAGATGTCCAGAGAAGGTCAGCAACAGGGATCTCGGACAATGAGCGAACCAACACAAGAGGAACCGATTGTTAAACAATTAGATAGGAAGAAATGCAGTTGGTGGATTGACTGGCCATACACTGAGGAAACAAACCATCAAGTGACATCACTAGACAAGCCATTGCTCGAGTGGAACCCGACGGTATGGAAAGCGGCGAGTTGGTCGTCAGTCCGAGGATGGGGTGACTTGGAGGAGGTCATGTGAGGAGGAGGAGATGAAAGCATGTGGGCAGACTTGGGGTGGGTTGAAAAAGTTGACAGAAAGCAGAAGGCAATGGAGACGTGCAGCTGAAGTCCTATGTTCCTCTAGGAATTAAAGGATATAATAATAATAATAATACGCAATTGAAGAGAATTTTACAAAACGAAGCGATGTCATATTATCTATCCTGTCTGGAAATATGTTCATTCTTTAATTTGTTCAAACTGTTGAATTAGTTCATAGATTGTATATCCTCGACTAAGATGTACTATGCGACAATCATGTCATCTGTTATCATTTCAGCAAGTATGTAACAAGTTTCCTGTGTGTTTCAGTACCGAGTGAATTAATTAACACCAACTCTTTATTAATTCAATACACGCATACTTTCGCTACCGTCAGCTTTGGTCAGATTTTAAACTAAAATGTTAGAGAGGAAAGAAATATTTTTTTCGAAAATAAAAATCATACTCTTCCTTCTCTTTGCTCGTTAATTATATCATCTGTAGGCAATCGAAAATCTCTGCATGATATTCCAAATCAGAATGGTACTGATATCTATACACTTTTAAGTAAGCATAGAAAAACGGCGTATTCTGCTGATCGTATGACGCTGGCTGTACAATCTAAGCGTAAGTTAAACATTTTGTCTTATAAATAGAGCTAGTTTATTTATTTGTTTGTTTGTTTATTAAGAATGATTTTAGGAAAGTTGTGTGTGTTGCATGGCTTATGAAAGGGTGGTTTGTATGCCAGTTCAGTAGCGAACTGTTCAAGGCCGATTAACCTCCCTCCCCCCTTCACACACATTGTTTGAAATGTGTTGTGTGAAAAGCGCTATGTCTGTGATGATCTTGTTACCGGTCATGCAAAACCGTAAGGAGAATTTGGTGTACAATTTTCTTTCGGTATTGACCTTTCCTACACTTCCCCCACCCCCACCCCCCGCGTTCTCACAGGGAAAAAGCAATGTAGCCGTCTTGCTGTTCTGCCTAGGGAAACACCTTACTGGTGTTGAATCGCTATTTTATAGAACACCATTTAAGTAGGCAAATACGTGTTTTTGCGTAAATCCTCATCAGGCTCACTACATGAATTACATAATAAAATATCAGTCGTCAACATTTGGAAGAATGTCGATCAATAGAATCAAATATAACCGAAGGGTGTGTGTGTGAGTAGAATAATAATAGTTATTATTTATTATTGTTCCCTTGGATTCCTTCACGTCTCTACTTACTTATGTCTTCTGCTGTACTTTTCACCTGCATCCATGTTTAGTCCATACTGTTTAAACTCCTCTTCACACGATCTCCTCCATGTCACCCTTGCACTGACGTCCCACTCGCCTCTTCCCTTTCGGGTTCCACTCGAGCAATGGCCTTACGCGCGATATGACCCAGCGGCCTCCTCGAGTAGGTAAGACTAGGCAACTCTTTAGACTCATCAGGGAAACGGGCGGGAGAAGGTAAATCATAAGTGAAACTATTTCTAAGAAAAATGGCTCCTTAATTAGCTCTCAGGATAGACGCCTTGAACTCTGGAAAAAACAATTTGAGGGACAATTTAACTTGCCTACAGCCACACTGAACCTCCCCGACACCCAGCACACACCCGAATGGGATACAGACACTGGTCCACCGTCTGTAAGTGAGGTCACAAAATCTATCTGTAATTTGAAACGAGGCAAAGCGGCAGGACCCGACGGAATTATTCCGGAGGTGTTTAAATATGGGGGTGACATACTAGTTTGTAGATTAACTGAGGTACTAGGCAAAGTGTGGGAATCAGAGACAGTTCCATCAGACTGGGGTAAGTCACTTATTATACCGATATTCAAGAAGGGAAACAAGTCCTCGTGTGATAATCATAGGGGGATCAGCCTAACGAACATAGTCTCTAAAATCCTAGGCTCAGTAATCATGCATAGACTAAGCAGAACTCGGGAGGAACAGACAAGGGAAAATCAAGGAGGCTTTAGACCAGGTAGAGGGTGCATAGATCATATCTTCACTCTTCGACAGATTCTAGGACATAGACACACTTTTCGGCGTCCAACAATTGTCATATTTCTTGACTTGAAGGCGGCCTTCGACTCCGTGGATCGAAAGGTACTATGGCAATGTCTGACTGTGAAGGGAGTGCCATGAAAGTACATTGCACTAATCAAGGCACTCTATTCAAACTCACGTAGTCGTGTAAGGGCTTATGGGGAATTGTCATCTGAATTGATAACAACCAGTGGTATCCGACAGGGATGTCCACTTTCCCCATTTCTGTTTAACTTCATTATAGATATGCTGATGGAAGCATCCTTAACTGAATGTAATGACTTAGGAATCGACTTGTTACCAAGAAATAGTCTTATGGACTTAGAATATGCAGATGACATAGTCCTGTTAGGGGAGGATGCTGACAAAATGCAGAGTCTTCTGAACACCTTGAGAAGCAATCTTCGTATGTTTGGCTTGCGATCCGCCCCTGCAAAATGTAAAATGGTGCTACAGGACTGGACTACGTCAACTCCTAGCTTAGTGATAGGGAGTGAAGTGATAGAACATGTTGACCACTTCACCTATTTGGGAAGTTGTATTAGCACCAACGGACTGATTGGCGACGAAATCTCAGCACGGATCCGAAAAGCTCGAGCTGCTTTTGCTGACTTACACCATCTCTGGCGTAGGCGTGACATCCGGCTATCAACCAAGGGACGTGTGTACTGCTCAACAGTTCGCTCCGTCCTTCTCTATGACTCTGAAACATGGCCAATACGCGTTGAAGACATGAAAAGGTTGACTGCTTTCGATCATAGATGTCTGCGATCTCTGTCTCACGTTAGGTGGTTTCACAAGGTAAGTAATGTTGACGTTAGGCGTAGAGTGTTAGGCAAAGAGGGATAATCAATCGACGAAGCTATAAAGTTACATAGATTGAGAGATGGCTAGGTCACGTGGTGCGCATGCCTAACCATCGCCTCCCCCGACGGGCATTGCTAGCTGATATAGGTTCAGGTTGGAAAAGAGCCAGTGGTGGCCAAACAAAAACATGGCATCAATCCATGAAATCCTTGACAGTTAAACTGAGTCAGGTAGGTAGGGAGATGCAGACTCCCGGGTTGGGGCCCTTGGGACTCTAGGAATCAATGGCTGGAGACAATAGGTGACATGGCTCAAAATCGTTGTCAATGGCTAGCGCAGATGTATTCAGTCTCTGAAATCTTTCATATTCCTTTCTACCATTACGCATTCTGTTTCACTCTTATACTTGTCAGACTGTATTGATTCTCTTCACTCATCTTCTTGTCTACCTCTGTGTGCTATTTGAAAGGTGGCAACTCGAACTGCTGCACTTCGGTGCCAAGTTCTGTGTTGAATCCAGACAGACAGACCTCGAGTAGAATAATGATAATAATAAATTGTTCAACTAAGATTAAAATATCCGACTATAACATACAGTATGATATTGGTAGCGAAGTTGGCAATACAAATAAAAACAAAAATATTATTTATATTTATCCGGTGTCACTGGGAGAAATAACTATTGTAGGCTGGAGTTGAAGGTCATGTGAGGGAAAGGGGACTGGACAAACTTTTTCTGAAGACAAAGTTTGGACTGGAAACTTTTTTTATGGCAACTGATTCGGTTATGCCTAGTAATCGAAGGCGTACACACTTAGTGAATTGAGGTGGCACCTTGTATAGGTAGAATTGTAAAGGCCCACAACATTCCCTTCTTGAGCACTGTCTAACGTGGTTAGGTAAAGGAGATGTAAAGTCAATTGGTAGTTCCATATCGGTACACCTTGTTGATACGGATCACAAGACTGATAAAAATTTAGTCGCATTATCCAGATTGCAATAGACTGGATAATGCGACAGACAACGGGCAAAAAGGAAACAGGCTTAAAATGGACTCACACAAGAAACTTGGAGGATCTGGACTTTGGCGATGATATATATCTGATTTCCCACAAACTGGAAGATATGCAAGTGAAAAGCGACAAGCTGGTAGAAGAAGCATCAAAGATAGGACTTCCTTCAGGTGAAGATAAATAAAACAGAGGTGGTGAAGATTCCTGGCAGACACCACCAACAACAGACAACAATCAGCCAGAATAAATGGGAGGAACCTGAAAGAAACAACCTCCTTCACCTACCTACCTAACTGGGAAGCATCGTTTTAACTACAGGCGGAATTGACGAGGATATCAAAGCCAGAATCGGGAAAGCAAGGCAAGCTTTCATTACTCTTAAGTCTGTGTGGAGGTCAACAGCCCCACTCAGCATGAAAATGAAAATAACATCCGGATTTTCAACTCCTATGTGAAGTCAGTGCTACTCACTATACGGATCCGACACTTGGCGCGTCATAAAGAGCATCTCAAACAAACTTCAGACCTTCATTAACAGTTGTCTTTGCTCAATACCACTCAAGATCAGATGGCCGGCCAGAAAAGATCAGTAACAAGGGGGGATCTCTGGGAGCGAACCAACACAGCAGGAAGCGATCGTGAAACAAATAGGCAGGAAGAAATGCAGTTGGTAGATTGACTGGCCATACACTGAGGAAACAAACCATCAAGTGACATCACTAGACAAGCCATTGCTCGAGTGGAACCCGACGGTATGGAAAGCGGCGAGTTGGTCGTCAGTCCGAGGATGGGGTGACTTGGAGGAGGTCATGTGAGGAGGAGGAGATGAAAGCATGTGGGCAGACTTGGGGTGGGTTGAAAAAGTTGACAGAAAGCAGAAGGCAATGGAGACGTGCAGCTGAAGCCCTATATTCCCCTAGGAATTAAAGGATATAATAATAATAATTTTTGTTTTTATTTGTACTGTCAACTTCACTACCAATATCATACTGTATGTTATATAGTCGGATATTCTAATCTTAGTTAAAGAATTTATTTCGATAAAGAAAGGAAGACGAAATTTGCAGTATAAAATGATATCATTCTATTTCACAGGTTCTCATCAGCTGCAGACTACCTGAAATTACAATGGTTATATAGGTGATAATAACATACTTTAATGTTCGAGTGGTGGTAGCAGTATATAGTATAGTATAGTAGCTCTTTTCTACCACCACTCTAACATTAAAGTATGTTATTATCATCTATATAACCATTGTAATTTCAGGTAGTCTGCAGCTGATGAGAACCTGTGAAATAGAATGATATCATTTTATACTGCAAATTTCGTCTTCCTTTCTTTATCGAAATTTATCAATGGAACCAAATGTATGAAAGAATTTATTATTATCATTATTCTACTCACACTGCCCCCTCCCCTTTCGGTTAATATTTGATTCCATTGATCGACATTGTTGCAAATGTTGATGACTGATATTTTATTATGTGTTATATTTATGTAGTGAGGCTGATGAGAATTTACGCAAAAACACGTGTTCTAAAGTGATCCTTATGGGGGGGGGATTTTCAAGTTACTAATTTACTCATAACTGTAACTTCATTCTTACACCCTGAATAGTTATAGCCTGACCCAGCTTGCATTATAATGGCAACTTCTAACTACTATCCAAATGACATATTTCTAGGAATGCTGTGAGACCTGGAGGATCATTTATTCCTGCTAGTATAGTAGCTGATTGGGTTATTGTTGTGATATGCGCGAGCCTGACAACTATGTCAAGGTTAACAGTTATCGGTGAGCAATTTATTGTGAAAAATTGATATCAGTTTTAGTTATAAGTAAGTCATTAAGTAAGCCAATCTGTCATTTTACTTTTTGCAAGATCGCTAGTAGATAATATATTCCAAGAGAAATTACTGCTACCAAATACATTCACTGTATTGTAAAATGCACAAACCCTTCCCTATCTGTCGGTAATTCACTGTTAGCTGATAGATTACAGTATGCCAGGTCCAATTATTACTATTATTATTATTATTATTGTTCCCTCGGGTTCCGAGTCGAGCGTAGGGCTTCAGCAACACATCTCTACTTTGTTCTATTTGGTGCTGTCCTCTTTAGTTGGCTAACTCCACGGTTGCTCATAATGTCTTATCTCCTCATCCTCCTCCTTTCTACACCATCTTCTGCATGTCACCATCACACCAGCGACCCACTCGTCGCTTCCCGTTGAGCTTCTACTGGAGCGATGGCCTGGTTGGCGCGCGATATCATTCGACGGCCTCCTCAGTGGCGTGTGCCCGATCCATTTTCATTTTCTCCTACATATTTGTTGAATAGTCGGCTCTCGCCTGTTGGTTTGTCGCTTGTGTAATTATTTCCCAGTCAGAAGTTTATCCGGATAAATTGGTGGAGTGACCGAAATACCTTTAGAGATAAAGATTTGAATGAGACATGCTCTTAGCTCAGCGTGAGCATTTACTTCCTCAAGGTGGCACATACACACACACACACGCCTTCTTCATGAACCGCAGTGGCTAAAGACAACCATAGGCTGGGTAAAACTTCTTGCCAACTAACTAACGTCTGTCTTACCGTGACTGACTGGTTTCAGCATAGAACTTTGTATAGAAGTGCACCAGTTGGAGTTCCCACACACTATACAAAAGAAGGCAAAGATAGGGAAAAAATAAAGAGATTTGAAATGGCGATAATCAACAGAAATGTAGGGAATAAAGAATAATAACATGGAGAAGCAATAGGGTTTCGACGCATAGAGAGCGATGATTTTGAGCCGTATCAATAATTGTTTGCAGCTATTGATTGATTGGTCATGAGAATCGCACAGACGTCAACCAATCAGTCCTATGTGTGGCTAGCTAAAACCAACTGTCGAAGATTTCATTAACTGATTCCAGATTTTGGTTCCATTACCATTAGCTCTTTTCCAGCCTAAGCCTATGTCAGCTAACACACTAGTTGTTGTGGTAGGCGGTGCCTTTGGATGCGTAAGCCAGACATGTTCTAGCCATCTGACAATCGATGTAGCCCCTCTTTGTCTAACACACTCGATGCATAATCTCAATTGCCTTACCATGTCTCCTAGCTTGGTGGTCTTCATTGTAGATTTGTCTGATAAACATCTGCTAACTAACAACTGGAGCTGAGTTCTTACGACTGGTGATCAATTGGCGAGCATAAGACAAAACAAGCATCAGCACAATACCATCAAAGTTTTCATTTCAAATCTTATCAACTGGTTATTATAATAATTATCATTAAAGCTGTAAAAGAATGTGCTTCAGTGTATGAATTTTACCACTGCCTGAGTTCCAGGTGGAAGTTAAGACTTCAAACTGTGAAGTTTCAGTAGCGTCGGTGTTGTTCTTCTTATGGGTTGAAGTTGCTAGTCTGACTCCCGATCTTACGTCTTTTCTGAGTTTACTACCGTTTTAGTAAACCAGGTGAGGCTTATGAGTGCTTCCATGGTCGGGAATCGAACTCGAATTTCCTCCGTGTGTGTGTGTGTGTGGCTCATGAGCATTCTACCACAGTGGACCACCAACTCATAATGTATGAATTACTTTGACACAACACTGGATACTTCTTGTTGTAATTCCTAATAAAAATGCTTTCTGGATCATGTTAAAGCTGATTAATCTTTTCTTTTTTTATTTATTCAAATATTTTCCAAACAGACACTTTAGATGATTTGGAGACATTAGTACGTGAAATTTTCTCTGATATACCAGTAAGGTAAGTCATCTATCTATCTATCTTTCTAGTCATATGATAAGAATCTCGTTTTATGTCCCCTTTTTATTCATTTGTCTTATCGGTTAGTATTCATGACATTTCGACTGATTTTTGTTCCAAGTTTGACCACGGATTGATTGATATCAGTTAAAGAATCTTTGAGAACCAGTCAGGGTGTACTAGACAACTGTCTGTGTCGTCCTACTTTGGGGCTCCTCAGCAGTACACACACTCTCTGGGGTTTGAACTCTTAGGACCTTCCCAGCCTACAAGTCAGGCTTGTAGAGAGCATTCAGCCACTGAGAACCGACTCAATGGCTAGCCCAGGAATTCTGACTGCCCACTTATTAGTGATTTCAACGTGACCACCTGCAAATGTCATCCACAGCGAGTATTTGTTCCCACTCCTGATTGGATACTTACTTTTTACTTTACTTCGGCTATCTCCTACGGGAGGATGAGCCGGCTTCATGAACATCTCGAATCATCGCTGCCCAGGCGCGGCGATCTGATGCAAGGTTTTGCGACAGAGTTATCCAGTTCTTGTTTTGTTCCACAGACGGAGTCCGTAGACGGTCTGTAGCCCCAGCCAAGGCACTCCATATCAGCCTTGACTGTACCAAGCCATGTTTTCATCTGTCCACCTCAGCGACATCGCCAAGATGGAAATGGTGAGGGGTTTAGAATTGATTTGACCAGATCGTCATCTGGTCGGCGCAGAACATGGCCAAACCACTGAAGGCGACGTTGTTGGACCAGTACTATAATTTGGTTGATGTTGTAGAGAGTTCATGAAGTTTCATGGGAATTAGGTACGAGTGATGTCCCCAGGATCGCTCGGCCCTTTGTTTGAGAGTGCAGCTCTAGCCTTTACACAACCAAGTGTGACCTACAAGGCAGTAGGGGTGGAGTAGGGAGTCCACTATCCATTGGCAGCCGGTGACCGGAGTCCGGTTGATACGCCTTTTTGAATGGGGCGGGCCAGACATCCAGGGCCTCCAATAAGCCCTTTGTCCATACGTCTGCCGGTGAGCTCCTGATTGGATAGAATCTCACTGGTCACGATTTCTCACTAGAACTCCCCAGGCATACAAAGGACTATAATATAAGCAGAAAACTGAAGGATAAAGAATAATAGTTGGAGGATTTCATCATGAACTGACACTAGTAAGAGAACTATTGCAAAACCATCACAAGGTGAACTAGCTCGTAGACTATTCAGCCAATGGGACACGACCCAGTGGCCAGCTCATGAATTCTAACTTCTGCCAATTCATGACCTAGCGTGACCACTTCACAATGACTTCTTCGATGAGTTACTGCCTCACCTTCAACTTGCTGCACCCTACTGGTCACGACTTCCCACTAGAACCAGGTTAACCGCCTGAATAAGGCCAGTTACCAGTGAGCGTCAGATGAATTTTCAGGTAGGGATTTTGTTTGTTTGGTTGGTTGGAGGACTTCATTATGAACTGATATTGGTTAGATAACCATTGCAAAACCATCTTGGAGTACTGATGAGCCGTTTCGTCCTAGTTCAGGACTCTTCAAAGAAAACTGCAAAACCAGTACTTGAAAAAAGAAAGAATACTAACTTGAAAATGGTGAGAGTGGTGTAATGGATAATATAGGTAATTATCAATAGTGATGTCATTCTTCTTAGAATTTTGACGACTGTCAGTAGGCCTAGTAGTGGTGGTATCCCATTGGGTGGGCCATATCGTTGACTCAGTCATTGATGGGCACTTGATGTCATGCAACAAATTTACTAAAGGAATTTTGTTAGACTATGAGCATCCACTTTATCTGTGGCTCTCCAACCTTGTGTCTCCTCAGGTATAACAAAAGTCATTCTAAAAGACCTTATGCTCGCACGTCTAAGTATAAAAATTCCACTGTATCCTATTTGGCTCGTACTTTATGTGATGAATACAATGTCGGGGACGAACTAACTAACTAATCTTCTTTGCACTATTAAATAAACCATTTTCTTCACCCTTACAACATCAACCTTTATTGTTTGTTATTGTACTTCTTTTATATTCATAATCCTCTCAATTACTTGCTTTTTTATTTCCTCATAAGTGTCAACATCGTTTAAGCCTTTTAATAAATGTTATTTTTGTTTTCCCCGTCACGATGCAGTATCAAGATTCAATAATCTATAACGTACTGAAGTTTCCATACTGTATCGACAATACTGTTTGAGACAAACTCACTGTTGTTATTTATTATTATTGAGTTATTATTCTTATTTTGTGCTTTGCACATTTCTGACATTATCGCCTACTGCAAATGTAGACAGATTTCTCTGGTTAATTTTGTTTTAATTTTATTTATATTTTGAGTAAATCAGATGCATAATATTGTGACAAATGCTGAGAATTCCATTCTGTATAATAAGTGTACTGTCTGTTTTGAAATAAAGTAGATTATTATTGTTATTGTTTTTACGAGTTGATCACGGATTGATATCAGTTAGAGGACCATTGAAAACCAGGGAGTACTGGACAGCTGCTGTTTCATCCTAGTTTGGGAATCATCGGCAGTGCACACCCACTGGGATTCGAACCCGGGACCTTCCGGTTACAAGGCAAGCTCGTTTCTGAGTTCTAGTGAGAAGTCGTGACCAGTAAGGTCCAATTAGATGTCACGTGTGTGGATGTATGTCCCACCAACGACAATGGTTGGGGTCGCGCTAAATCACGAATTGGTTGAAGTTAGAATTCATGAACCATTGAATCAGGTGCCGCCAGTGGCTGAATGGTATGCGAGCTTGCCTTGTAATCGGAAGGCCCTGGGTTCGAACCCTGGCTGTGGGTGGGCACTTCCGATGATTCCCAAACTAGGATGAAACAGCAGCTGTCCAGTACTCCCTGGTTTTCAATGGTTCTCTAACTGATATCAATCCGTGATCAACTCGTAAAAACATAACAAACCCTTACAAACCAAACTATAGAAAATAGTTATTGTTATTATTATTATTGTTTTACTTTAGTTCATAAGTTTCTAGGTGAATTCGTTTTCCACAAACTTTCTGCATCCTCCCACCCATCTGTCTAGTTGGTTGACTGGTTGTCGACATTGTTATCAATATTTCCAATTTTCAGTGTACTTTTTATGGTTTTTTTGTTTCTCGTCTACTTACAGTGGAGTACCTGCACCGAACTTTTTATCGGCCAAAAGCTTTGATGTTGATTCATTTGCTGGACTTTATAAAGGTGATTATTATTATTATTAATATTGATATTATTTTCACTCTTATTAATGGCATTACTAATACGCCAGAGTTAGTATGTGTTTTCAAGCAAATAATAAACATAATGTGACTTTCCAGTATTGGTTTGTGGGGATTTGATTGGTTGGTTACAGGATTTTATCATGAGTTGACAGTAGTTAGAGAACCATTGGAAAAATATCACTGGAGTACTATGTAGCTGGCGGTTTCATCCCAGTATAGGACTCTTCATTAGTACGCACCCACACTGTGGGGTCGGAACCTAGGACCTTCAGGTTACACTTCGCAGTGGCTTAGTGGTCTACGAGCTAGCTCGCCTTGTAACCAGAAGGTTCTTGGTTCGAATCCCGCAGTGTGATTGCATGCTGTTGAAGGGTCCTGCGCTAGGACAAAATAGGCAGCTAGCTGTCCAGTACTCCCATGTTTTCCGATGGTTCTCTAATTGATGTCAGCTCATGATGAAATCCTGTAATGTGATTTCCCTGATTTCAAAATGTTATTATAACTTGCTGTAATTCCTAGAGGAACATAGGAAGAACTTCAACAGTGCTCATCTCCATTTCATCATATGTTCTCTTCAGTCCTCTTTTAACCTGGCTCTATGATTCACTATAAGCTCTTATCTCCACTGCACACGATCTCCTCTATGTCAGCCATCGAAGCCCCCTTACCTAACTCATCGTTTCCTATTACTCGGATTCTACTCGAGGGTTTGCCTAACTGGCGCGTTATGTCACTCACCAGTCGCCTTATTGTTGGATTTTTGTCAATCCGATGTCCACTTTCTTGACATCTTCATTGGGCAATATGTTTGGGTTTATTCAATGCACAGCAGAGCTAAATTAACGGATTTTGTTTAATTTTCTTTAGTTGGTTTGTAAGGACTAGTTTCGTTTTCACGAGTTTGATCACGGATTGATATCAGTTAGAGAACCATTGAGAACCAGCACGGAGTACTGCCAGACTGCTGTTTCACTAGCCTAGTTTGGGAATCACCAGCAGTACGAACCCACACCATGGGGTTCGAAACTAGGACCTTCCGGTTATGACGAAAGCTAGCTCGTATACCATTCAGTCACTGTGACGTGATTCAGTGACCAGTCTATGAATTCTATCTCCTGCCAGTTCGTGATTTAGTGCGACAGGCACCAACCAATGTCATCGGTGGAACATCCATCCTCACAGTTGACTGGATGGACCTTACTGTAGTCACGACTTCTCAGTAGAACTCCAGGAAACTTTGTCCTGTAGCAAGTCACTAGCGAGCATAAGATTAATTTTCTATAATTGGTTTGTTTATGCATATATTTCATATATACTGACTCTATTTTGATGATATTCTCTAATTTTCTTCTACTTTACTGCTCTTTTCTTTTTGAAATTTCAGTGTGTCCTTTAAGTGCAAAAGAAAAGCTACGCATTATCTGGATTTTACCTTCACAGCTTGCGAATTATGAGTAAGTGATGATGATTTATTCAATGTTGTTATTGAAGAGAGAGAGAGAGGTGACAAAAAATTGAGGCTGGTTTTAGGATTTATTCTAGGCACTTAAACAGGGTTGCTGACCCACTCAGTTTTCGACAGAGCTAGCCACTGACCAGATGTGTTCATTCCTTTTCGCAACTGCTACTGCTGTTACTGATGGCGGTGTCTTTTAATTCATAAATCAGGGTTCTTTCCGTCTAAATCATTATGGATCTGCTCTGCAAGCTTATCGTTCTCGTGAAGCTTCTTTTTAACTTTGTAGATACCATTGAATAAATTCTCCTTGTGTACATTGAATGACCAGTGTTGAATATATACGTTCAATTACAGCACTCTTTATTGATCCATTGTTACCTTTTATTTTGTAATCAAACGGGGTAAAGTTCTTTGACTCTTCTAAACACAACACAGATCGAACGTCCCCTATATATCTCACTCCACACGAGCAGATAAATTGGTTGATACACATAGAAGTGGTTAAATGCGATAGTTTATCTTTAGAGTTGTTGAGGAGTAAAGAACCCTGGGTGGCAAGAGAATCTTGTTCGTTATGAAGCAGCGAAGAACGTTCTTTTCCAAGGTCTTAGACATTCTCTTCTTTAGGGTGTTCGCCACTGAAAGCAACATTCATGCATAGTATTTTCTTTGGCATATATAGGTGGTGTGTTCTTTGTTGGTTTTTTAGTTTTATGTTTATCTGTGAAGCGTGGGTAGTGGGGTACGACCAGTTTTGCAAGTAGTGTCTTCCTGGAAAGGGTGGTCTCTTCTTTGAATTTTTCGGATCCTAGTCGCAAGATATATTATCAGATTCCATTTTCGATTAATTGGGGGGGGGTATCCAACTGTCAATTTGCCTTTCCACATAGGCTTTCTATATTACTGACCCTGTTCAGAGTCCAGTCAGATTTCTTGGTTAGTCTAGTGTCCAGAAAGAAGATTGTTTGTCAGGTTTCTACTTTAATAGTAGTAAACTTGATGGCTAGGCGAGAGCTGTTAAAAAGTGTTTAGGACATTGCTTAGGCCACAATTGTTATATATATATATATATATATATATGTATTCGTTCTAATTTTACTCTCTTTAGATCAACTCCGATGGTGTTCTATCTTCTCTTATTGGTCATGAAGGTAGAGGAAGTATACTGGCATTACTTAAAGAAGAGTAAGTATCCCCTTTTCGTGTTGTGTGTTAAGCAATGTATCTGCATAGTTGTTTTTTATAGCTCATGTGTTATGATATTGATTCCTTCGCGTTCCAAGAGGAGTATTGGTCTTCAGACATGAGCTTTGACCATTCAGTAGTTGTACTTCTTGCTTTTACGCGGTGAGGAGGTTGCTAGCCCCGCGTCTAATCTTCCTTTTTTTTCTAACCAGGCTCACTATCAACCAGTCAAGGTTCAGAAGTATGTCTGTTGGCCGAGAATAGAATCCCGGACCACATCAGGGTTAGTCGGTAGACGCTTAACCATTGCACTACCGATACAACACTAGTTATAGCACAATTTGCAAATTGTGAATTTTGATTTATGGATTATCACCAGCTCGACCACGTGGCTTTCCAGACAGAAATCAGGTGGTTTCAACTGACTGGGCTCTCAGAGGTCTAAGTCAAACTGGATACATCGCTGATGAGGCCGTCCGGTGGTCACCTCAATCTGGCTATCAAGCACTACTGGTTGATATGAGTGGCTTACTACTGCTCATCTCAGTCAGTGAGTAGTATATATTTGTGCGACTGATTTCAACCAGAATCGGTTGCTAATGGATCATATTTAGTCAGTAATTTAATTGGTCAGTCTTCGATGCTTTAACTTTATGCAAGCAATCAAATCAGTTATTGGTAGTGTATATATTTATATGTGTTGATGTTTGTCTAATCTAATAAAGTTGTTCTTTCTCATCGACACTAACCCCATCTTATCCTCTAATTCTCCTTTGGGCTAAGTGCCAACAGAAGATATTTGAGGGAGAACAGTTGTGTGCCACCTGCAGTCGTATTGGCCATTGTATTTCAACATCTTAGCTAAATCCTGGTATCATTATCCTTGGTTACATTGCAAACTTCAACCTGAGGCTAGCCATTCCACCCTGTAAAAAGAAACTCGGGACTGAAATATTCAAACTTTAAAGCTCTATATTCATTCCACTTGTAACTCAAGCGTTTTATCAATGTTTCATTTGTAGTTTGTAAGAGAGTGTCGATTTCACTGGAAGTCACCTGTTAACATTCAGGAGTTCGTTATTCTAGTACTGTATTGCTCCAAGTTATAAATCAATATAAATCTTCAAGTATTGATTTACAGAGATTTGACTGATCGCTAACACTTTCGATAATGAATTGACTTCAGTTAGAGAAATTAATGGACAGATGTTTCCACCTTGTTTGGAACTCCTCATCAGTACACACATACATGATCCCACCCACATTCGACCCTACCGATGACCTTCTCGTCACGAGGCGAACTCGTTAAGCATTTAGCCAATGGGAGGGAATCCAATGGCCGCCGGTGCATGAAATCTGCAAATTCACAATATGCAGCTCGACTGCTAGCTAATGCCATCGGTGAGTTTCTGTTCACATGCTCGACTTATTGCACTCCGTGACCGATCACGACTTCCCACAAGAGAACTTCAGGCAACGTTAGATAAATTTTCAAATGTTAGTCTGCTGAGATTGGCTTGTCTACAGTTTTGAATAATGCACGAGCTCATCACCTTGTAACCTGAAGGTCCTGGGTTCAATTACCAGTGGAGTCATGGCTGCGTACTGTTAAAGAGAGTCTCAAACAAGGGCGAAACAGCTATTTAGTAATCTCTAGTTTTCAATGATTCCCCAGATCTCAATTCGAATACCTTGCTCTAAAATCATGAATTGTGGAAAGTTAGAATTCATAGGCTAGTCACAGAGTCGGGTCGTGGGGGATAAAAATAGTCCACTAGTGGGACTTGTAGGCAACACTAGGCAGCTCTTTAGACTCATCAGGGAAACGGGTGGGAGAAGACAAATCATAAGTGAAACAATCTCGGAAAAAAATGGCACTATAATTAGCTCCAAGGATAGACGACTGGATCGTTGGAAAGAGCATTATGAGGAGCAGTTTAATGGGCCTACAGCCACGCTCAACCTTCCGAACATCCAACACCTCCCTGAATGGGATATAGACACAGGTCCTCCATCCTTAACTGGGGTTACTAAAGCTGTTACTAGTTAGAAACAAGGCAAAGCAGCGGGACCTGATGGAATGACTCCAGAGGTATTTAAGTACGGTGGAGACAGTTTACTGTCTGCATTAACTGAGGTACTAGGCAGCGTCTGGGAATCAGAGGAAGTCCCATCGGGTCGCTGCAATTCACTGATTATCCCCATATACAAGAAGGGAGACAAATCTTCCTGTGATAATCACAGAGGGATTAGCTTGACTAATATAGTATCTAAAGTTTTAGGCTCAATAATCATGCGTAGACTGAGTGGTGCTCGGGAGGAACAAACACGAGAGAGCCAGGCAGGCTTTAGACCAGGAAGAGGGTGTATTGATCATATCTTCACCCTCCGACAGATTCTAGAACATAGGGATTCCTACCGGCATCCCACAGTCATTATATTTCTTGACCTAAAGGCAGCATTCAACTCTGTCGACCGAGAAGTTCTCTGGAGATGCTTGGCTGTAAAGGGGATTCCGAGAAAATACATTGCACTGTTTAGGGCACTCTACTCGTACTCATACAGCTAGGTGAGGGCTTATGGCGAGTTGTCATCTGAACTGGTGACGACTAGTGGTGTCCGTCAAGGACGCCCATTATCCCCATTTCTGTTCAACTTCATCATAGATGTACTAATGGACTTAACCCTAAGTGACTTCAGCGACTCAGGGATTGACTTGCTACAATCAGGGAATAATCTCGTTGACTTGGAATATGTAGATGATATAGTCCTTCTAGGCGAAGACGCTGACAAAATGCAGAGTCTTGTAAACACCTTGAGCAGAAATCTACGAATGTTTGGCATGCGATTCGCTCCCCTCGTTAAATGTCAGATGGTGTTACAGGACTGGACTACACTGACTCCTAGTTTAGAAATCTGGAGTGAAGTGGTAGAGCACGTTGACCGCCTCACTTATTTGGGAAGTACCATGAGCCAATGCCAACGGGTTGATCGCTGACGAAATCTCATCACGAATACAGGGGGCTCGTTTCGGATTTGCCAGTTTACGCCGACTCTGGCGTAGATGTGATATCCGACCGGCTGTCAACCAAAGGGCATGTGTACTGCTCAGAAGTCCGCTCCGTCCTTCTTTTTGGCTGTGAGAAAGACCTGGCCATTGAGAGTGGAAGACATGAAAAGGCCAGCTAGCTGTCTTTGATCATAGATGCCTGCGTTCTATCTCCCGTGTGAAGTGGTATAATAAGGTGAGCAATATTAGGGTAGGAGTTAGAATTCATGCACTGGTCATTGAATTTAGTCCCGGTGGCGGAATAGTACACGAGCTAGCTTACCTTGTAACCTGAAGGTCCTCGGTTCCAACCCCATGGTGTGGGTCCCCACTGCCGATAATTCCCAAACGAGGATAAAATAATTGTCTGGCAGTACTCCCTGGTCTGTTTTCGACATGGAACTTTGCACGGATGTGCAGAATTCAAATCGCTACACTCCATGTAGCACACAAAGCAAGAGAAGAAAGTAGAAGAAATGCATAATAGAGACAGTAAAGGTTGATAGACAAAAAGACTAGTAATATCGAAGAACAATATAGTTTCATTGAAAATTATAAGTCACAATGAGTCTATACATCTGAGCCATTGAGAACGAGCCATATCACGAATTGTCTTCAGCTGCTATTGGTTTTCACGTCTCGAGGACCCCAAACACAAAGTCTACACCTTCCTACGTGGCTTACACAAACTGTTTTGGATTTCTTCGACTGATGAAGCCATGTTTCGAATTGACCACCACTGCCTCTTTTCCAAACATCCATTCTATGTCAGTTAACATTGCCCATTGAGGAAGGCGATGACTAAACATGCATAACACATGTCCTAACCATCTCAGTCTATGTAATCAAACAACCATGTCGATTGATTTCCCCTCCTTACCTAGCACTCGACGCCTAACCTGAATATTGGTCACCTTATTATACCACTTCACACGGGAGATAGAACGCAGACATCTATGATCAAAGACAGCTAGCTGGCCTTTTCATGTCTTCCACTCTCAATGGCGATGTCTTTCTCACAGCCAAAAAAAAGGACGGAGCGGACTTCTGAGCAGTACACATGCCCTTTGGTTGACAGCCGGTCGGATATCACATCTACGCCAGAGTCGGCGTAAACTGGCAAATCCGAAACGAGCCCCCTGTATTCGTGATGAGATTTCGTCAGCGATCAACCCGTTGGCATTGGCTCATGGTACTTCCCAAATAAGTGAGGCGGTCAACGTGCTCTACCACTTCACTCCAGATTTCTAAACTAGGAGTCAGTGTAGTCCAGTCCTGTAACATCATCTGACATTTAACGAGGGGAGCGAATCGCATGCCAAACATTCGTAGATTTCTGCTCAAGGTGTTTAGAAGACTCTGCATTTTGTCAGCGTCTTCGCCTAGAAGGACTATATCATCTACATATTCCAAGTCAACGAGATTATTCCCTGATGGTAGCAAGTCAATCCCTGAGTCGCTGAAGTCACTTAGGGTTAAGTCCATTAGTACATCTATGATGAAATGGAATAGAAAGGGGGATAGTCAGTATCTCTGATGGACACACGTACTCCCTGGCTGGTTTTTAATGGTTCTATCCGTGGTAAAACTCGTCAGAACAAATCTAATCCTTAGAAACCAACTATTGAAAAATAATAATAATCACGTCTAAAGACTGTATTAAATCACAGCCTTTTCCTAAAAAGCTTTTCGAAGTTGATTAAGCTCTTCTCTAAGTGATTTATTATATGCATACATATGTATCTTCTTTGTTAAATAATGTATGAAGATATTTTGTTTTAAGATGTACATACCTCCTTGTTCATCTAATGGTTGTCATATAATGATGTTGATGATGATGAGAGCTGATCGTTATTCTATGAATTTCGTTAGTTTACTTTATGATATCAACACAGTGTGATGTATACTATATTTATATATCTTCGTGTTACTCACACACCAATCATCCTGTCATATACGATCCTTTTTTGTTTCATAAAAATTTAAATTAAAAAAAATAATAAATAATTCATTTATGTAAAATGTACTCACATTTCAAGAGATATGTATGTTATGTATGTTATTTGGTTTTGAATGAAGTGTGCATTTCGTCATTAATACTCAACTTTTTGTTACATATGCATGCACATAAGCACACACACACACACACAAACGTGCATTCAATATACTTTTTGTCGCACACCTAAAAGTTAAATGTGTATATTACCCTTCAGTTAGATATAAATAATAGATAACGAAAAACTAAAATATCTCTCACGTCATTTTCAAAATTCAAACATGAGTTCATATTTTATCTTAATTGAATTTTAAATTTTCCCGTCGATTGACAGGATCGAAGTAGTCGGTTTCAGGTTGACATGTCGGCGGCTCCTTGTGCAGATACTTCGATGATGTCTGGGCATTTAATATAGAATTTAATTTGTGGATGTTGACTAGCAGTGGAATCCAGGAGAACATGCATTTCGTCCTATTTGGGACTCGTCAGCTAGCTGGATGTAACTGTGTTTCCCAGTGAGTGATGATGTTCCCATCACCGAGGCTTGAACCCAGTGCTCTTTAGTTTCAAACGCTAATGAAATTAATATGACCCGTTGCACAGAGGTAGTTCTCGTGGCCCAAGTGGTCTAGTGGATAACGCTTTGGCGTTTGAAACTAGACGGCACTGGGTTCGAGCCTCGGTGGGAAATGCAGGTACATCTAGATGACAAGTCCCGAATAGGACGCAATACACGTTGTCCTGGATTCCACTGCTAGTCACCATCCACGAATTAAATGAGTTCATATCAGTAAGAGAACGCACTGGGTGCGTTGGTGGCACAGGGGTAGAGTGCTTATCGACCACGTAGGTAGTCTGGGGGTTCGATTCCCGGCCGACGACGCACTCCTTTATCTCGATAAGCCAGTAATAAAACTGGTAAAGAGGGAAGGTTGGGCATGAGGTGGCTAGCAACCCCAACCGTGTAAAAATAATCACCACTGCTGCCGGAACTTCAAGCCTCTAGCTTGAAGCCCAATGTTCCACTGGGAACGTAAAGGAACAAACAAAAAGGTGCACTGGGCGGGTCTTTGGTCCTGGTTTGAGACTCTTCAGTAAACATTATATTGTTGTTATCATTTCTTTGGGTTCTAAGTGAAACATAGGGCTTCAAAAACACGCATCCAGCTTGTTTGTAGTCCTCCTTATCTGATTCCGTGATTGTTCGTAATTTGTCATCTCCTCCTCTCACCATCTTCTCCATGTCACTATTGAACCCCAGGTTTGAGTCGTTGTTTCTCATTCTCAATCCACTTGAGCGTTTTCCTGACTGGTGCTTGATATCCCTGAACAGTCTTCTTAGTGTGTGCGCGTGTCATCGATCTGTCTACATTTTCTTTGACATACTTGTTAAGCAATAAGTTCTTGGTAGGTTACGTAGGTGTTACGTATGCCTAGTCATCGCCTTCCTCGACGAGCAATGTTATCGGATATAGGGTCAGGCTGGAAAAGAGCTGGCGGAGGTCAAACAAACATGGCACCAGTCAATCAAATCCACAACAGTTAGTTTAAGCCAGCCAGCCAGCCACACAGGAAGGTGTAGACTTCCTGACCGGTTGGGGTCCTCGGGACGGTAAAAACCAATGAAGGTTGGAAACAATTGGTGACATGGCTCAAAATCGTTCTCAATGGTTGGTTGACTTATGATTTCGAATGAAATTGTTTTGTTCTTCGTTACTACTATTTATTTGTCTCACACGTCTGTTTACCGTCTCTATTATGCATTTCTTGTACTTTCTTCTCTTGATTTGTGTGCTACAAGGAGGGAGTGTGGCGACTTGAACTTCCGCACATTTGTGCAAAGTTCTATGTCAAAAACAGACAGACAGGTTTCATCTCAAAGTTTTTTGTTGCTAATTCTTTCTGGCCAGTCGTCCATTTGGTCTTCAGTATAGAGGCAGTGAAGTGTTCAGCTTTTGATAAAATTCTACATCAGACTATTGGAAATGTATTCCGCGACGGGAACACCTGTATATAACTGCATTGACTGGCTCAACTGACTGACTGACTGACTGAGTTCAGAAGATTTCCAAGGTGATTTGAGAATGATCAATATTTGATATACCTTTCACAGTTTTGGTTTTTTACGTCGTCATTTATGGGGTGGCCTGTATTTGTAAAAGGATTCTGACTTGACTGCCAGGCTACATGAATGAAGCAGCAGCAGCTGCAGCAAGAAAGTGACCTCTTTCAAATTCTCCTCGTTGATGCAGTGATTAGTGTTTTTTTTTTTGGTTGGTTGGTTACACTTTCATCACCATTTCCATCTTCTCTATGGTTCGCTTGAGGTTCTGTTTCCAATGCTTACTTCTTATGCCGACTTGTTGGTTTCGCCTGTAAGTCTGTAACAACAGAATCGCAACAGATCGTTTTATTACGGAAATCAGCACGTATTTATGTATATATTTTATGTACATTATTAGAGCTTATTCAAGTAGACAAACGCAGTCTTCTGATTGGTTGTTTTCAAATTCCCCGTAAAGTGGAGCCATCTATCTGCGAAGCATATTTGCCCACGCTTAAGTCTGCTGTGATTGGTTGTTGAATCAGCCTTGTCAATATTTTCTCACGGCCAATATTAGTGACCTAGACATTGACGTAGATTAATGTCGACCAATCGGCTAGCAGCCTGCTCTCACCAAAGTCTATATATATATATATATATATATATATATATATATAAACTAATTACTATTTGTACTGAGCTATAAATTGAGTGTTTGCATATAGCACTGCTACGCTAAGCTTATGTTTGATTTGATATGATAACCTGTTTAAAATTAATCTCCCTGATTTGTTTTAATTAGGAATTTAGCTGTTCATCTTGGCGCTGGAATTAGTTGTACATCAGATTTTGATAATTCTAGTCTATGTGCAATTTTTTGGTGAGTATTGAACTCACAGATTACGGTCGAGATCATATTTTTCGAGTAAGTTTTGTCTTTTTGTCTTTCTTTATTGCTATATTATAATAATAATAATAATTATTTTTTATTTGATTACAGCTTGATTCCACACTGTATTTTTGGTACAAGTATGGAATTTTCAGCATATGATACCGGTAGCCCATATTTTCAGGCTGACCATAGATATCAGGTGTGCATCGGCGGGGGATCGAACCTCGGACTATATGCATGGTCGGCGGGAGTCCTAACCACTGTGCCACCGACGCACACAGTCTAGTCTTAAAATGAGAGCGTATTTAGTGTTTTAATGATTATTTTTTAGATCGTATTCATTGAAGGAGAAGATGATATCATATTAGTGTCTAGTATGTATGTCTATGATTCAATGATAGACATGCTAGCCATGCCAGTACACTCCGAAGCTCCACCTAGGTTAGTAGGCGAATATTGTAAGCTTCGAAGAGAAAGAGGGGATGGTTTAGAGTTGTTACACGATAGGAGCCCCGTACTCGTAGAAGGAATCATCCTTACCACTACTGAAGCGATGTAGTGAAGCTTTGACACTGTATTTTATTTGTTATTTCCCTGGGTTCTGAGTGGAACATCTCCACTTTGTCGTATCCTCTGTAGTCCTATTTAGCTGGTCCATGAATGCCTATATCCTCTGACCTCATTGTCACACGATCTCCTTCATGTCGCACCTTCGAAGTGTCGCCGGATTCGGCACTCTCCATTTGGGTGGTTACACACTAGCGATCTGTCTTTTTTCGACATAACGATGGCCTGATATTATTATTTCCTTAGTTCCTAGAGGAACATAGGGGTTCAGCCGCGTTTGGTTCTCTGCAAACGTTTTCATCACTTTGCTCCACTTCTGCTACATGCTTTCATCTCCTCTTCACGTTTACTCATCCTCCGAATCACCCTTGGATGACCAACTCGCCGCTTCCCGCTCGTGTTCCACTGGAGCAACGGCTTGGCGTGTGATGTCACTCACTTGATGGTTTGTTTTCTCAGAGTATGGCCAATCCACATCCATTTCTTCCTGCATGTTTGTTGCAAATTTGGTTCCTCCTGGGTTGGTTCGTTGGTTCATTGTCAGAGATCCCAGTTGCTGATCTTTTCTGGCCGGCCATCTGATGTTGAGTGGCATTGAGCGAAGATAGCTGTTGATGATGAAGGTGTGTAGTTTGTTCAGAGTGCCTTCGTGATGCGGTTCGTCTCCAAGTCCCTGATCCGTGCAGTAGCACTGACTGACTTCACATTCGAGTTGAAAATCCTCATCTATTTTTCATACTGAGTGCTGAGTGTTGATCTCCCACAGACTTAAGAGTAATGAAAGCTTGTCTTGCTTTCCCGATCCTCGCTTTGATATCTCTGTCACTTCCGTTCGCTTGTAGTTGAAACGATGCTTCTTTCAGATTCCTCCCATTTGTGTTGGCTGATTGTTGTCTGCTGTTGTTACTGCTGCTGTTGGCCAGGATTCGTCACCACCTCTGTTTTCTCTATGTTCATCTGAAGTTCTATATTTGATGCTTCTTCTACCAACTTGTTGCTTTTCGCTTGCATATCTTCTAGTTTGTGAGAAATCAGACATATATCATCGGCAAAGTCCAGATCCTCCAAGTTTTGAGTGTGTCCAATTTAGTTAGGCCTGTTTACTCTCTGTCCGCTGTCTATCACATCATCCATCCTACCTCAGTCAGAAAAATCATTGGCAATAGCAGGCAGCCTTGTCTTACTCCCTTCTTCACTTCAAAGGATTCCATAAGTTTCCTGTTGTGGGTTACTTGCCAGGCGATGGCCTGGTGTGCAGTGATAACCGACGGTCTCTTCAGTGGCGTGTGTGTCTGGTCCATCTCCTTTTCATTCGGAATATTTGTTGAACAATCAGTTCTTGCCTGGTGGTTTGTTATCCGTCAGAGTTTCTTACTACTAATTCTCTTTAGCCTTCTGATCTTCAGTGTGTGTGGGGTCAGGGAAGGTGGTGGAGGCTGTTGATAAAAGTCTACGATGGCGTCTTAGAAATGCTTTACCTGGTGCACATTGCCAGGTTACTGACTCATATAGAAAAACTAACTAACTCACTTGGCATTTTTTGGTTCGGTTTTGCAGTAGATTTCTAAACTGTTTTCTTATCGATAGAGGTCTGTCTGTCTGTCTTACATTCCCGGTTCTGGATGTTTTTGACATCGTCATCCGTGTAGGCGGGGCGGGGGGGGGAGCAGCCTGTAGTTGACAGGATGCTGGCAATCCAGATAAATGAAGGAAGGAAGCGTGATCTCTTTCAAATTTAATCCGTTGACAGTGATTGGTGCTTGTTGTTATTGTTGTTGGTTAGTTGGTTGACTATCTTCTCTATGTTTATTTGAAGTCCTCTCTTCCTTGCCTGCTTCTTCCGTCGTTCGTCTTTTGTTTTCGCTTGTAGACCTTCGAATTTGTGTGATGAATCGTCCGTGAAATCCGAATCTTCTAGAGTCGTTTCATCGGTTGGATAAGAAAAAAACACACACCTTTTGGCATTATTTACAAGCTTACATCATCACTTGTGCACAGAGCTTTTGATATCCAACTATCGATCAAACGTTGGGCGTACTGCACACACTGATTTTCTGCGTCTATATTTTTCAGGTGTGAAATATGCAAAGGCTAGCTATCTCTGTGTTGTATCTCTTGTGCTGCTGTAGATGGTGTATAATTTGGTCGAGTAATTGTGAATGTTAGGTAAGGAGTGACAGTCAGTCGTCAGTGAGGTAGCTGGTGAGGCTGTGAATTTCCACTGATTAGCATGCCTACAGAACACACGTTCCAACCTACGATGATGTTCCTCTTGGAACGATGCTGTTGACATAGCAAGTAGGGTAAGATTGAAAATAATTCACTGGGAACGGGGTGGGGGTGGCGGTGGTCATATAAAAGTATAGCATCAGTTCGCTAAGTCTTTGACCACTGTTCATATTGTCCTATTGTGGGAGCTGTAGACTGTCTGACTGGACTTGTTGACTCAAAATCGTTCTCAATAACACAGATATATATATATATATTCACTGTTTGTAATCTCTAATAGATCCACTAAGCGATTCTTCTTGTAGAGTGGGGTTATTCTTTCTCTTACGATAATTTTTGGTTCGGTTTATTACTCATGATCGAAACGTAAGACAAATCGAATCCCTACAAACAAACTCCTGAAAATTTATCTGATACTCGCTAGTGACTACAGGACGAAGTGGGTTGTAGTGGGTTATGTTGGTCGTGAGGACAAATACTGAGCAATAACATTAGCTCTAGTTGTGGTCCCGCTAAACAAGTCACTAAATGGTCAAAGTTGGAATTCATCAACCAGCCTTTGACACTGATGCTACAGGACTGAACTACATTGATTCACTGCTAGCTTTTTAAAATAGGAAGTGGAATGGTAGAGCGTGTTGATGACCACTTCACTTATTTTGTGGGAAGTTGCATCAACCAGCCCCAATGGGTTGATGGCTGACAAAATCACAGCACGGATATAGAGAGATCGTTTGGAATATGGCTAATTACGCCGTCTCTGGCTTAGTAGACATGATATCCGGCTGACTTTCAACTGAAGCGGGGGGAGTGTACTGCACAGAAGTCCGCTCCTTTCTCCTTTACGGCTAACAGCAAGACATGACCATTGAGAGTGGAAGATATGAAAAGGCCGGTCAGCTGTCTCTGATTACAGGTGTCTGCGTTCTATCTCCCGTGTAAAGTGGTACAATAAGGTGAGCAATATTGAGGTTGGGAGTCTAGTGAGTGCTAGGTAAAGAGGGGAAATCAATATACGTGACTGTGAAGTTACATCAATTGAGATGGTTAGGACATGTGTTACGCATCCTCAGCCATCAATCGCCTTCCTCGATGGGCAATGTTAGCTGACATAGGGTCAGGTTGGAAAAGAGTTAACCATTGGTGGTCAAGCAAGAACATGGTTTCATCAGTCAGTGCAATCCATAACAGTTACTTTAAACCATCCACTTTAGGAGGTGTAAAATGCCTTCCTGGTTTGGGTTCTGGAGATTTTAAGAACCAATGGCAGCTGGAGACAATTGGTGATATGACTGAAAATCTTTTTCAATGTCTGGTGCCGATGCATTCACTTTTTGTGACTTATCCAATAAAACTATATGGTTCTTCCATATTACTGTTCTTTTCGCCTCAAACTTCTGTTTGTTATCTTTGTGTACTCTGTGTGCTCCATGGAGGGAGGAAGAGTGAGGCAACTCATACTGCTGCATATCTGTGCCAAATTCTATTTTGAAACTAGTCAGTCAGTCAGTCAGCAGTTGAATCGGATTCGTTGGCTGAGAATAGTCTAGGGGCTTGCAACTCCTGGGTTCGAATCCTTGAGTATGAATATTGCTGAAGAGTAAGAGAAGACAGTCAACTGTGAAGTACTCTCAGCTGCCGTGTCCAATAGTTCTCTAATTAATGTCCGCTAGTCGTCATTCTTGATATAAATCAAATCCTCTGTAAACTAACCCATTTAAATTCTTACTTATTTGGTTACAGGATTTCATCATGAGCTGACATTGGTTAGAAGACCATTGGAAAACCCGGGAGTACTGGACAGCTTCATCATCAGTACACGACCACCAGGGTTCGAACCCAGGACCTTCTGGTTACAAGGCGAGCTAGCTCGTAGACCACTAAGCCACTGGGGTCTGAACTAATGGTCAGTCCATGAATTCCAACTTCTGCCAATTCACGACCACTAGCCAGTGTCATCGGTGGCGAGTATTTGTCCTCACACCCGACCTGCTGCACCCTACTGGTCACGACTTGTTAATTGTTATTGTTTCTGATATGGTTGTTTTATTATATTTGAGAGTTGTGGCTTTCACAAATCAATCGCTGATCAGAATTAGGTGATTTGTTCTTTAAGCATTAGTGGATTAGGTGTTATAGTTTTAAAATACCCGGTAATTTACGACTTTCTTGTTGTATTCCATCTTTGTTATTTATCTCTCCTGTTTTTATATCCTCTTTAGGTTTGTAGTATACTATTTGATTATATCAAAATTCTATTACATTCTGCTACCTCATCATTATCATCATCATCATCGTCGGGCAGTAATGCTAATTCGTCTGACGTCAACAACTTACCAGAGATGCATACATTTGCCACCTATCTACCAGAATATCAGTTAACTAGAGAAGCAAGCTTTTTATATAAGGAGCCTAGTGATGCTGAAGATACTGTTGTTACACTGGCGAATAAATTACACCTTGTTAAGCCAGAACATGTTTACTCTGGTTATCAATTGCTTAAAAAGCCAAATATGCAAGTAAGTTGATTTTGCTTATGCTTGGTGTTTCATTATTATATATATATATATATATATACATGATTATTATTCCCTTGGGTTCCGAGGTTCTCGTTGAGGTTCCACTGGAGCGGTGACCTGGTTAGCGCGCGATGTCATCTAACGGCTCCCTCAACGTATGCCCGATCAATCCATCTCCATTTTTCTCCTACAAGTTTGTTGAGCGATCGGCTCTCGCCTGTTGGTTGGTTTGTTTTCAGTCAGAGATTTTTTTGTTATCAATTCTTTCTGGCCAGTCTGTCGGTCATTTGATCTTCAATAGTTTTGGACTCATTGGCGGTACGCACCCACCGGCCTTTCTGGTTACAAGACAAGCTCACTAGTGACTCTGACTGCATGATGGAGTTTCCCTGGGTTCCTTGTGAGAAGTCGTGAACAGTTGGCGCATCCTGTCGAGAGTGAGGATAAATGCTCACTGATGACATTAGCTGGTGTGTCAGTCGAGCTAAAATCACGAATTGTTAGAAGTAAGAATTCATAGGCCAGCCATTGAATTGGTTCGTAGTGGCTGAATGGTCAATGAGTTCGCCTAGTAACCAGAAGCGCCTGGGTTCGAAACTCGGTGGGTACGTACTACTGATGAGTTCCTAAACAAGATGAAAGAGCCGTGCAGTACTCTCAACTGGTTTTCAATAGTTCTCTAACTGATATCAATCAGTGGTCAAACTTGAAAAATAAATCAAATCCTTGCATATCAACTATTGTGGATAGACTTTAACAACGTTTTGATTCAACACTATTCAGTAACTAATGTGATATTTCTAGTCCTTACTTTGGTGCAGACTGAATTCTATCAGTCAGGTTTGTAATGTGGCCACCATTCTACTAGGTAGCTTGCCTTCACGGTGCACATTGATTCGATGATATTAGATAGTTGGAGGCAATCGGTCACAGGAAGCATTGGACCTAGGTTTCGTGCTAGTTGGCACTGATCAGCGAGGTGTATTCGCAACCTTGAAGGAACTCGTATCCTTCTGAATGTCTCTAACCATCTAATATCATCAAATCAATGTGCACCGTGATGGCGAGCTACCTAGAATGGTGGCCACATTGTGAACCTGACTGATAGAATTCAGTCTGCAGCAAATAAAGGACTAGACACGTCACACTAGTTACTGACTAGTATCCAACCAAAGCGTCTTTTATAGTCCTACAGAAGGTCAATCGTAAGCCCGAACAGTTCAGTGGTAACGTCTCTGACTGCAGGTGGCACTGGTTGACGCTGGTTCGAATCCCCGAAGGGACATGAGTTCCTTCAAGGTTTCAGATACGCTTTGTTGATTGGTGAGGGCCAACTAGCACGAAACCTAGGTTCAGGGCTTTCTGTGGCCAATTGCCTCCAACCATCTAATATCATCAGAATTCAACATGATACAAAAATGTTTTAATTTAGAATGACATATGGGACAAGTGAAATAATGCCGGAAACATATGAAAGTAAGAATAATAGTAATAATCGACGTATTAAGGGTAGGATATATACAAATTGAATAGACAAGACGAAAATAAGTAGGAACCCAAAATATGAATGGAGATTATCATACTTTAGCGCAGACAGCGTAAGACCATGGTAGGTGGTGGAAGGGGTTGAACAAACAGGCATCTGGCTTCCCTATTTCGATGGCCAAAGCTTTAACAGTACAGATGAGTTGGATATGTAATGATTTAGTCAGGTTGTTGTTTTCCGCTTTGTAGATGACTTTAAAGGCGAAGGTGCTGAAGATAAAGTTGTGGTAAGAGCTGGCTGCTAACCAAATTGGTAGACAATAATTTACGTCAATGTTTATGTCTCAAATATTGGTCGTGAGAAAAATAAGAACAAAGGATCTGTGTAGGTGGATACAGTTAGCATAGAGATGATCTGACATTCAAGAAACAGTCACAAAGAGATGAAAGATTAACTTTCAGTGAGAAACAACCACCAATCAGAAGACTGTGTTTTTCTGCTAACAATAATCTATAATAATGCATATGAAAATCTATAAATATGTGTTGATTTCCTCAATCAACGACCTTTTGCCTGGCCATTGTCTTCTGTTGTGTTACAAAGTGACCAGTGTATCGACTAGATAATCAATTGTTGAGCTTCTTATAGCCCCACTTCCACTTCGTCATGGTAATACTGTCCCTTCATAAATCATTTTACCAACTAAACTATTCCTGCTACCAAGTACTAATACTACCGTACTACCGTGTTGTGGTGGCGTTACATTTATTGTCACCTCTAGGATTCAATCTTGGGGTGAATGCTGAAATTATCTTCAGTCTATGCTTCTTTCTCTTCTTTTCATAAGTAATAAAACAACGTTTTCATTGTTTTTTGTTTTCCCATCTCCTGTTTGTTTTTCCCTGTAGTTGTATATTGACCTACTTAAACTGATGACACCTGAGAGAGCTGCAATCTTCTTTTTATCGTCTTCATTTGCAGCATCAGTTAGTGATGAGTCAAAACTAGATCATGAACCATGGTTCAATGTAGCCTATCGAAAAGAGAGTAAGTCTTTTTCAGTGTCTGTGTGTGTATGTGTGCGTTTACTCCTGTTTCTCTTCTCTTTTTTCTATGTTTAATACAAGTTTTACTTCTATGCCAATCACGTTTCCAAGAGTGGATTCATAAATACCATCCTTTGAAAAGTACTCATTGGGTGGCTGTTTCGTTCTAGTTTTAGCATCATTCCATTCCTATGGAGACCTTCAGGTTATTCGGCGAACTAGTTAACCACTCAGCCACTTGTTACGGTTCTAGCTTCTGCAGATTCGTGATGTGTACATATGTCCAGTAGGAGGAGAGCTTCGGTTGCTTTTTAAGGTGTGTGTGGGGGGGGAAGAGGGGGCGGTTGTTATTTTCCAGCTGCTCACACAGTTTTTTCTTTGGGTGTACCTACAACACAAAGATAATTATTGTTGTATGGTCGCAGAGTCCAGGGGATAAATGCTTGGGGCCTGTCGCATATGTGAACAGTTTGGATTAGTTTTTTAAGTTGTTTCCGCAATAGGAGCTTACCGCCGACTACGGACAGCCGTAGCGAAAGTCGGGACGTACAATACGTAGAACCCTCCCTCGCTATCCAGACTGGAGATGCAGCGCGCAGCTGGCATGTTGGTCAATTGTAGGAAATAATTGACTTCTGTTACATCCCTGTTTCCCAGTATTAGACCTGCAGGGACATTAGTTCCAGCCAGTCTAGCTTGTTTGGTCATTGTGATATGCAAGCCCAACCACCACGATCGTCGATGTCGTCCCCATGTATCTCTCCTTCGTTCATTCACTTAAAAGAGGTAATCTATGAAATCTCTGTAGACGTTTTCCCCCACATTCTTCAATGGAAAAGGAAATTTGTATAAACTATGTATGATGCTAAAGTGTGTTTTTAAACCAATTTCGTCATCGGTTGAGGTCTTCGATAATCCCGCTTGTGTGTTTAAGTTATGATACGTCCTGTTACGTTTGTATAGTGAATTCTGTGTTTGTAAGCGTTTTTGATGTATACAGATATAATTTTCAATGTGTCAATTTTACATGTCCGTTTGTATTTGTCTCACATCATTTAACGACTTATGACGTGACTTCCTCTCTCCCTACTTATCACCTTTGGAATCCTATTGGTTGTTCTCTGTCTTAATTTATTAATGACATTAGTGCCTCTCAAGGTCATTTTAAACATAAATATATGCGAACTCTGTCAACGTTTCTTGACTGTTGTTTTGAGACAGTAAAGCTCTCTCATTAACGTCCGGTCTTTTCCCCTGTCTTTGCGGCCTGGCTGTGTTACTGACGTGCGATTCGGACAGATTTGCCAGCTCATTGAGTTAGTATTTGCTCATAGTTCACTAGGTCGTAGCTCCGGTCCCAACAGTTTTTCATTACTTCCGATTTTCGTATTTTATTACGTGATCATATCAGGTCGAAAAAATGTGCACACTTTAGTTATACTCAGTAGAATAATGGATTATTTTCACCCGGATTTGCTTCTTTGACCATTTACGGGTACTAATAGAGTTCAGGATGCCCATTGCATCCTGTTCTGAGACTTATGTCAACTAGAGAAGCACTTGTTCCTCCTCAGTCAGTGGAAACACTGTACCCTGTATCTAAAGTCCTAGGCTCAATAATCATGCGTAGACTAAGTGGTGCTCGGGAGGAACAAACACGAGAGAGCCAGGCAGGCTTTAGACCAGGAAGAGGGTGTATTGATCATATCTTCACCCTCCGACAGATTCTAGAACATAAGGATTCCTACCGGCGCCCAAAAATCACTATATTCCCTGACCTAAAGGCGGAATTCGATTCTGTCGACCGAGAAGTTTTTGATGTGGTTTTGTTCTCTGAGCTGGATGGTTAAATCATCCACCTGAGCTACAAATCTTCTCTATCAGACCGAGAAGTTCTCTGGATATGCTTGGCTGTAAAGGGGATTCCGAGAAAATACATTGCACTGTTTAGGGCACTCTACTCGTACTCATACAGCTAGGTGAGTGCTTATGGCGAGTTGTCATCTGAACTGGTGACGACTAGTGGTGTCCGTCAAGGACGCCCATTATCCCCATTTCTGTTCAACTTCATCATAGATGTACTAATGGACTTAACCCTAAGTAACTTCAGCGACTCAGGGATTGACTTGCTACAATCAGGGAATAACCTCGTTGACTTAGAGTATGCAGATGATATAGTCCTTCTACGTGAGGACGCTGACAAAATCCACCAGAGTCTTGTAAACACCTTGAGGTGCAATCTACGAATGTTTGGCATGCGATTCGCTCCCCTCGTTAAATGTCAGATGGTGTTACAGGACTGGACTACACTGACTCCTAGTTTAGAAATCTGGAGTGAAGTGGTAGAGCACGTTGACCGCCTCACTTATTTGGGAAGTACCATGAGCCAATGCCAACGGGTTGATCGCTGACGAAATCTCATCACGAATACAGGGGGCTCGTTTCGGATTTGCCAGTTTACGCCGACTCTGGCGTAGATGTGATATCCGACCGGCTGTCAACCAAAGGGCATGTGTACTGCTCAGAAGTCCGCTCCGCCCTCCTTTATGGCTGTGAGTGAGACCTGGCCATTGAGAGTGGAAGACATGGAAAGGCCAGCTAGCTGTCTTTGATTATAGGTGCCTGCGTTCTATCTCCCGTGTGAAGTGGTATAATAAGGTGACCAATATTGAGTTTAGGCGTCGAGTTCTAGGTAAGGAGGGGAAATCAATCGACGTGGTTGTGAAATTACATGAACTGAGATGGTTAAGACGTGTTTTACGCATACATGTCTAGTCATCGCCTTCCTTGACTGACGGTCAATGTTATCGGATGTATGGTCAGGCTGGAAAAGAGCTAGCTAGCGGCGGTCAAACCAAAACATGGCTTCACCTGTCAAGGAAATCCACAACAGTGAGTTTAAGCCAGCCACGTAGGAAGGTGTAGACCTCCTGACTGGTTGGGGTCCTCGGGACGGTAAAAACCAATGGTTGGAAACAATTGATGATATGGCTCAAAATCGTTCTCAATGGCTGGTTGGCGCGGATGCATCCATTCCTTGTGACTTATGATTTCGAATGAAACTGTTTGGTTCTTCGTTACTACTATTCCTTTTGCTCACACGTCTGTTTACTGTCTCTATTATACATTTCTTGTAGTTTCTTCTGTTGCTTTGTGTGATACAAGGAGGGAGTGTGGCGACTTGAACTTCCGCATATATGTGCAAAGTTCTATGTCGGAAATAGACAGACAGATTGATCCATCGCTACAAACATATCAAAAGCACTCTCCATCTTAACCAGGAGCTCATTCACTCGAAATAAAGGCGATCAGTGTTGGCATGTCAATGCGTAATCGCAAACATGTATTCGGAAGTTACATCATCACTAAATTATCTATCTGTTTGTTGTGGATTATACTGTAGCCGAGCTTTCATTTAGTTATGAATTGTGATGAAAGTATCTTTGCTATTCTCTTTTTTCCCTTTGTACTATAAAAAAAATCAGTTTCCTAAACCACCACCGTAATGAAGAGATGAATACTGTCTTCGGAGTGCAGATTGAAATCTTTCAGCCTCAGCAAGTGCAAGACAGATGTCAAATCTAATTACCTATTATATTCCCTACTTGAAGTTGATCGTGAGTTCGAACAGCTCAGTGTTAGGATTTCTGACTGTAACGCAGGGCAACCAGGGTTCGACTCTTAGGGGGTGCATGAGTTACTTCAAGATTGTAGATAGGCTTTAGTGATTAATGAGAGTGCCAACAAGTACGAAACCTAGTTACGAGGCTATCTGCCGATTTCATCTTAAGAACAATTCAGAGTTCACCATGATGTCGAGCCACCTAACATGGTGACCACATATGCAAACGTGACTGACAATAGAATTCAGTGTACAGCAAACAATGGAGTAGACGGATGGTGACACTGGTTGCTGCCCGATTTCCAAACAACATATGCACAGTATTTTTTGAAGTACTTAAGATGATCTAGCTTTCATGTTATACGTGACTCTTAGCCTGAGGAGTTCCTGATCTTGTGTGATTATTCATTAAGCTGACTGACCGATTCATTGCCTCAAAAAATGGTACTTGTTTTGTTTGATGCAGTAATTATTCTGAAACCCTCCAGTTTCCAGGGATTTTCCAGCTGTGAATATGATTCCTGTCAGGTATTTCAGGTCGTATTGAATGGCGGTGTATCGTAGGAGTTGGAAAATCTTAAGGTGTTAGGATCTGTTACTCAGGCTGAATAACAATAATAGTAATAGTAATAATGTGTATGCTTATCACATAACCTAACTGTCCTCTAGACGGGTTAGAAACACGCATTGTTACAACCGAGTGGAACACCTGTCAAGTACTGCTTCGTCATTTTTCTCCAGCAGTTAATCCAACTCACCTCTTTTCTTGAAGAAAAAAACAACCTTCAGAATTTAAAAAATATATTTCATCATATTGCAATCATTTGGCCTGAAATAGATTAACAGTAAATTTAGAATGGATTAAGTTGACATTTGATCTCGTCTGTATTTATATACCTGTAACAAGGAACTTTGACAGTATACACAAGCCGAAAACCTATCACCGATGAGAGTAGAGGTGGATTCAATATAGTCTACGGCGGTCTTAAAATGACGTCGCACACCAAGCGTCAGGGTGAATGGGCAGTTGTGGAACTAACTGAAAGTGATGACGAAGAAATGAGTCCACCGCTGCTAAAGCCATATATTCTATTGAGAACATATGCAATGTGCGATAATAACAATAATGTAATGTAGATGCATTACAGTCCTACAGGAGGTCAATCGCGAGCCTAAATAGCTCAGTGGTAACGTACGTCTCTGACTGCAGTACTCACTGGGTGACGCAGGTTCGAATCTCCTCAGAAGGGACATGAATTCCTTTGAGGTAGTTGCAAATACACCATGGTGACTGGTGAGTGTCAACTAGCACGAAATCTAGGTGGTGTCCAAGGCTTCCTGTGGCTGATTGCCTCCAACTATCTAATATCATCAGATGTAGATACAGTTAGACATCTCACTGGTAAGAAGGTTTTGTCTGAAGATTGGTGCAAATTTTCAGTTGTCTAATTAGACGGACATCAGATTTCATTTTTTATCAGCAGTCGAAGTCAAGTTTTCCCTTAATTTTGACGATAACTGTCTTTTATGAACCTGTAAACATGTATATATGTTTATACATTGTGTTTATAGAGGCCTACCGAAACATTTCTTCAATATATTCAGTGGATGCCTTGACGAAAAATTGATATCGAAAAATATTTGGTTTCTTTCACTCATATCATAAAAAGTAGAGTGGTTACGTTATTGTTATTAGTGTTATTCTCTTGCCTTCCAACTGCAACATAGGCCTTTTACAGAACATCGACATTCCATCCTGTTTTCAAGTATTGATTTTGTAAGGATTTTGTTTGATTTGTTGGAGGATTTCATCATGAGCCGAGATCATTGGAAGTCAGAACCTTCTGGTAACAAGGGGACTTAGCTCGTAGACGGTTAAGCCACAGATATCTTATTCAATCGCCAGTCAATGAATTCTATCTTCTGCCAATTCATGACATAGCGTGACCACTTTGCAATGTCTTCTCTCCTCCTGTTCTCTACAGACCTGTTTATGAGGCTCCACGATAACGCATAAACTTTCATTCCCTCCATAGATGATCCCCTTGATGTCACTGTGGAAGTGACGTCCAACTCATTGTTCTTCCTCGTTCGGATACAAATCGAGTGATGATCTTCGCACGTGATGTCACTCAGTGGTCTTCTATAGTGTGTTTGTCCTATCCACCCTCACCCCTATTACCTTCTGTATGTTTGTTTACCAGTAGGTTCTTGGTTGGTTCATTGTCTTATCTGATCTTCATTTGAATATCATCACAGTGAATTTTCAATTAGTAGTGTTCTCTCTGAGCTGGTTGGTTTTAGTTGCGGAGCTTTCGTCGTCCTTTTGGACAACTAGACCAACGAGCTCAGTGAGAACACTACTAAATTGCAAATCATCCAACTGAGCTACAAATCTTCTCAATTATAGTGAATTTTCATTGGTTTTAATTATATTGATTGATGAATATGTGGGTAAGCGCTATATGTGTCAAGCCTTTTTTGATCCAATAAGTAACTGAGTACCTACTGTCCTTTGTTTTATTTAATTAACTTTGTGTGTGTGTATTTCGAATTTTTTAAAAATAATTTTTTCTCCTTTTTTCAATCAAGCTATTCCTGACAATATCATGAATGATTGGAAGACTTCAAAGCCTAGTGGAAAATTACATCTTCCATACAAAAATAATTTTATCAGTAAGTACTTTTGTATGCATCATCACACTGTTTGCCAAATGTGAGGTCATCACATGATTATGTATTACCCTTTGGGAGTCTTATTTCCATTGATTTTACACTGACACAATTGTCTCATCATCTAGGGATTGGTTACTCATTAGTCTAAACGTTAGAATTCCAAATGCGCTGCGCCATAGGTTCGATTCCCACTTCATGTGCACTGAGCAGGTCGGGCAGATAGTTAATATCACTAGTCTTCTTGAAGTAGTTTAGATTCACTGTCAACTGTATGACAATGCGTGTTTGTGGAGTAGAGTAACCTTATCTTTTCTTATATCGTTACGTAATACATCAAGGTTAGTAGTCAACTCTGTTGGTCAGTTTACTCACTAATTCCTATAATGTTCCCCTAGTATATTGTTCTGTGTTTTAAATGGCAGTTTTATACTTTTGCGCAATGTTTGATTGAACAGGGATGTCCGAACAAGTACACAGACGTGGCGATCATTCATTTATCGCTTGTCCTACGCCAACAATGTTATACTACGACAGCTACCTGATTTCCCAACCCACTACTTAGGTGAGAACACACCACCAGGTGACATATATATATTATTGTTGTTTCTTAGGGTTCGAAGTGGAACAGGGCTGCGACGGCACATCTCCACTCTGTCCTATTCTCTGCGTTCCTCTTTAGTTGGTCCTACGGTTTCTCGTAATCTCTGACCTCCCAATCGCACAATCTCTTTCACATCACCCTCGTACACTCAACTCGTTGCTTCTTATTCAGCAATATTTGCTGAGCATATGGTTCGTTCCCAGAGTTTCTATCTGATCTTTAGGATGAAACTAACGCAAACACCTGTTGATAAAAGTCTGAGACCAGTAAGAAATGACTCTTTGTGACGCCGGAGCCAAGTTTCTGACGCATATAAAAGAAGTGACTGAATTAACATTCAAGTGTTTGTTTGCAGGGATTTGATTTGATTGGTTACATGATTTCATCTTGAGCTTACATTGGTTAGAGAACCATTGGGAAACCTGAGAGTGCTAGTTGTCTGTTTCGTCCTAGTTTGGGACTCTTCATCAGTACACGCACGCACACTGAGGGGTTAGAACGCGGCACCCAAGACTTAACATTGGTGTTAAATATCCGAATTTCGCAGAAAAAAATGATTTCAGTGTGATGGAAGTCTGTTTTGTCTTTCCAATGTTCTGGCTTTACCATAATCATCGTTGTCAGTTGGCTGTAAGTCAAACGACTCCTTTTAGAAAAATGAAGTGACCTCTTTCAAACTTGTTTCGTTGATAGTGATAGGTGTTTGTTGTTGTTGGTGGTGGTGAGCGGGTATCTTCATCTCTTCCGTCTTCTTTATGTTCACTTGAAGTGCTATCTTCGCTGCCCACTTTCTTTGCAAGTTTGTTGGTTTTCATCTGCCTGCAAATCTTCGATTTTGTGTGACATTACACAAAAATCGTCCACGCGCGATATCCAGATCTTCTAGAATCTTCTTGTTGGTCCAACGCATCCCTGTCTTCTGTCTCCCCATGGTCTGCTGTATAATCCAGTCCATCACAGTTAGGATTATTACCGGTGATAGTGTGCGTCGGTGGTGCTGCGGTAGAGTGCTCGCCGCCCACGCAGTTAGTCCAGGGTTCGATCCCCGGCCGGCGCACTCCAAAACCTCGCTGTGCGTCGGTGGCACAGTGGTTAGGACTCTCGCCGACCATGCACATGGTACGGGATTCGAGCCCTCGCCGACGAACACCTTATATCTATGGTCGCCCTGCGAAATTTGGGCTACCGGTATCACATGCTGAAAACTTCATACTTGTACTAAAAATACAGTGTGGAATCAAGCTGTAATCAAAAATAAAAATAAGATAAATAATAAAGAGGGTAGGTTGGGTATGAGGCTAGCAACCTCATTCTGTAAATATAATGACTACTGCTGCCGAAACTTCAAACCTCTAGCTTGAAGCCCTATGTTCCACTGGAAACGTAAAGGAATAAAAGTGGAAAATCGGTGATAGTGTGTCTGCAGCCTTATCTTACTCCTGTCTTCACTCGAAAAGCTTCACTGAGTTTTCTCTTGTGATTCACTTGACATGTGGTATTGTTATATAACCAGCTGTTGAATAATGAGGTTGACTTAGATTTGATGTACTCCGTAATGTTGAAGCAGCTTCCAACGCCAGCTTAGACTATTATTATTATTTTTTAACTAGTTAGTAGTATTTTCAAATCTAACCGTTTTGGAGAATTGAGTAGCAGTTCATTTACTCACAATAATATATTTTTATCTTTGGCAACGCCCTGTACGTCGGTGGCACAGCGGTTAGGATTCTCGCCGACCATGCACATAGTCCGGAGTTCGACCTCCTGCCCACGTACACTTGATATCTATGGTCGTCCTGCAAAATTTGGCCTACCGGTATCACATGCTGAAAACTTCATACTTGTACTAAAAATACAGTGTGGAATCAAACTGTAATCAAAATAAAAAAAAAATAAATAGTCTCTATCTCAACTTCATCGACTTTGAAAAGGCCTTCGACAGCGTCGACCGAGAGGTCATTTGGCAACTACTTCGCTACTACGGGGTCCCATCGACAATTATACACCTCATCCAACAGTTATACGACAATGCTGCATGCCAAGTAATCCACAACGGGAAACTTACGGAAGCCTTCGAAGTGAGGACGGGAGTGAGGCAAGGCTGTCTACTATCACCAATGATCTTCCTGATTGCAATTGATTGGATAATGTGACAGACAACGGCAACCAACGAGGGAACAGGCATAAAATGGACTGACACAAAAGACTTGGAGGATCTGGATTTCGCCGATGATATATGTCTGATTTCCCATAAACTGGAAGATATGCAAGTGAAAAGTAACAAGTTGGCAGAAGAAGCATCAAAGATAGGACTTCACGTGAACATAGATAAAACAGAGGTGATGAAGATTCCTAGCCAACATCAACAACACCAACAGACCACAATAAGCATAAATGGGAAGAACCTGAAAGAAACAACCTCCTTCACCTACCTGGGAAGCATCGTCTCAACTACAGGCGGAACTGACGAGGACATCAAAGCCAGAATCGGAAAAGCAAGACAAGCTTTCATTACTCTCAAATCTGTGTGGAGGTCAACAGCACTCAGCATCAAAAATAAGATCCGGATTTTCAACTCCAATGTGAAGTCAATCAGTGCTACTATACGCGTGTATCAGAGACTTGCACTGCGCGTCATAAAGTGCATCTCAAACAAACGTCAGACCTTCATTAACAGCTGTCTCCGCTCAATACTCAAGATCAGATGGCCAGAAAAGATCAGCAACAGGGATCTCTGGGAGCGAAGCAATCAGGAACCGATTGTGAAACAAATAGGCAGAAAGAAATGGAGATGGATTGGCCATACGCTGAGGAAACCATCAAGTGACATCACTAGACAAGCCATTGCTCGAGTGGAACCCGACGGTATGGAAAGCGGCGAGTTGGTTTTCAGTGCAAGGGTGACTTGGAGGAGGTCATTTGAGGAGGAGGAGGAGGAGATGAAAGCATGTGGACAGACCTGGAGCGGGGTGAAAAAGTTGTCAGAAAACCGAAGGCAATGGAGGTGCGCAGCTGAAGCCCTATGTTCCTCTAGGAACTAAAGGATACAATAATAATAATATAATAGTCTAATGCAACTCTGAAGTTGATGTTCGCCAGTGCATACTCTAAACGCGTAATCTATTATATCTTAAATACTGTAAATCCTACAAAGTGAATTAAGCGTGATAATTTTCTTTTTCTTTTATTCCTTCACATAGTAGCGAGGGCTTCAAGCTAGAGTCTTGAAGTTTCTTTAGCAGTGGTGATTATTTTTACAGGTTGTGGTTGCTAGTCTCATGCCTAACCTTTCCTCCTTACCAGCTTTTTTGTTATTACTGGCATAGCGAGGTAAAGGAGTGTGTTGGCCGGGTGGGGATTGAACCCCGAACCATGTGCATGGTCGGCGAGCGTCCTAACTGCTGTGCTATCGACATGTGATAATTATAGATATTCATTTGAGTAACGATTTCTATCGATTATACAATTGTTAAAAGACTGATTAGTAGTCAATAAAGAATATTCACATTTTCAATAACTTTAATATGTTTTATGTGTATATGTGTCTGTAATAATGAAGGGTCGATTGTTGTTAACAAAAAAAAATTTTTTTTAAAAATAATATTGAATGGATAGGATCAGCCCATTACAGTTCAAAAGCATCGATCCCTCGTCAACTTACACCTGTGAAATCAGTTGGGTGGCCTCAAAAATTTAGGCTACCGATATCACATACTTGTACCAAAAGTGCGGTGTGGAATCAAGCTAAAATAAAATAACCATATGGATATTTTAAAAAGAAAAGAACACGAAGTTCAGCATTTGTCAGTAGACGTCGGGTTTGAGTTTGATTACAGCAATCGAAGATTGTTGACTTAAAGTGTAGGAAATCTGCATCGAAGACTGGAATAATAATATCATGAGTTTGGCTTATTAGGTTCTCGAATTGAATACACGTATGAAGTCTGTTGCTGTTATGATTAACATCACAGAATTTTAGTCCGAAAGAGATAAAGCTTCTAGTTGTACCGTTGGTAACGGAACTGAAAAAATGATTGAAAAAAAATTTATTAGGACTTCCACGAGCTTCAAGCTTTTGTTTAGATCTGATTTAACATATTCCACATACATGTATGCATCCATCCATAATAGTGAATGAAAGAATGTCTGTCTCGTTTCAACAGAAAAACTTTGCACCGATGTGCAGAAGCAGTTCCAGCCACCAAACTCCCTGCATGTAGCACACAAAGTCAGAGAAGAGGCAGAAAGTAAAAAGAAACGCAAAATAGAGACAGTAAACAGAGATATAAGGCGAAAAGAATAGCAATATCGAAGAACAACATAGTTTCATTGGAAATTATAAGTCACACGGAGTGGATGCATCTCCGCCAGCCATCGAGAACGAGGATTCTGAACCATATCAACACTTGTCTCCAGCCTTCATTGGTTTTTACCGTCATCAGGACCCACAACCAGGAAGTCTACATCTTCCTACATAGCTGGCTGGCTTAGACGAACTGTTGTGGACTTCATTGACTGATGAAGCCACCATGTTTTCGTTTGACCACCACTGACTCTTTTCCAACCTGACCCTATGTCAACTAATAATAAAGGAATGACTTCTGTTGACAACATTAGTGGTTTTTGTTTTTTAAAAAAAGAGAGAGTAACATCGAATCCTTTAGGAGAGAATTCCAAATGTTGCTTACAATTAGATTGTTCTAATAGATTATAATCCAAAATATATGTTTGTATGTGGTATTATGTATAAATGTAATCCTAAATTGAACATCAATATTACAAAGTAAGTGATTATGAGTGACAATGAATGTACTGAATGAATGAGTGTTGTTCATAACAAGTTCCATTCATTATTGATCACTCATTCATGTGAAGTTTATAATCAACATGAAAGGAGCCTATTAAGAACGTGACTCATGACAATTTATTACTCTACATTCGTTTTCATTCATAATCATTTAGTTTGTTATATTGGTGTTCTTTTTAGTATTATGCGTACAATTATACATTTTACCACATACGCACATATTTTAGACTACAGCAAATTAGAACAACCTAATTGGATGGAAATAACATCTGAAATTCTCACCTAAATGATTCGATTGTAATAACAGAAGACAAGGGCCAGGCAAAAGATCGTTTATTAAGGAAATCAACACATATTTATAGATTTTCATATACATTATCATAGATTATTGTTAACAGAAAAACACAGTCTTCTCATTGGTGGTTGTTTCTCACTGAAAGTTAATCTTTCATCTCTTTTGGCTGTTTCTTGAATGTGTCAGATCATCTTTATGCTAACTGTATCCGCCTACGCAAATTCTTTGTTCTTATTTTTCTCACGACCAATATTTGGGACATAAACATTGACGTAAATTATTGTCCACCAATTTTGGCTAACAACCAGCTCTCACCACAGATGTTACTCTTTCTTTTTTTTAAAAAACAAAAACCACTAATGTTGTCAACAGAAGTCATTCCTTTATTATTAGTTGACATAGGGTCAGGTTGGAAAAGAGTCAGTGGTGGTCAAACGAAAACATGGTGGCTTCATCAGTCAATGAAGTCCACAACAGTTCGTCTAAGCCAGCCAGCTATGTAGGAAGATGTAGACTTCCTGGTTGTGGGTCCTGATGACGGTAAAAACCAATGAAGGCTGGAGACAAGTGTGATATGGTTCAGAATCCTCGTTCTCGATGGCTGGCGGAGATGCATCCACTCCGTGTGACTTATAATTTCCAATGAAACTATATTGTTCTTCGATATTGCTATTCTTTTCGCCTTATATCTCTGTTTACTGTCTCTATTTTGCGTTTCTTTTTACTTTCTGCCTCTTCTCTGACTTTGTGTGCTACATGCAGGGAGTTTGGTGGCTGGAACTGCTCGCACATCGGTGCAAAGTTTTTCTGTTGAAACGAGACAGACATTCTTTCATTCACTATTATGGATGGATGCATACATGTAATTGTAGAACCTGATGAAGAAGGGGGTTATCGAAAGGATGAATATTTCTTTGTTCTAACAATCAATCTTTTGAAATCATGTTTTCAATAGTACACTTATACACATTAAGTGTTACACAAATATAACAATTAACTCTGATAAAGTGAAGTTATCGGAAGTGTGAACGAATGTATAGTTTTGTTCACTGTTTATCTATAAATGTCTTGTAAATTTAATTGGTGAGTGGTGACTAGCCGTGGAATTCAGGACAACTCTCATTTTTTCCTGTTTGGGATTCGTCAACTCGATGTACCTGCATTCCGAAGTGAGTAGGGATGATGTTCCCACCGGCGCTTGAACCCACTGCCCATAGTTTCAAACGCCAAAGCGTTATGCACTAGACCACTTGGGCCACGAGAGCCACCTCTTGGTTTCCACTGCTGGTCACCATCCACCAATTAAATTCTAATACATGCCAATACATCGTTCAAGCATCTGTACAAGAAGCCGACAGACATGTCAACCTGAGATCGAGCACTTCGGTCAATCAGTCGACGGGAAATCTAAAATTCAATTGAATTTCTTATAAAAATGTTTGTGATTATGTATATAATTGCTGTCCCCAATATACTCGTGTGTAAATGATAATTTATATTATTTCTTTTCTTTTTCTTTTCGTTTACCATCCCATTTATTTTAGCTACGGATTTCAGTCTGTTGGATCCGGCAAATGATATGAAAGTAGGCCTCGTTTATTTTGTATATTCACAAACAGGAATCTATTACTTCTTCTTCCTCTTCTTGTTCTTCGCCTTTTTTAATACTCGAATCAGAATTCTGCGCCGACTCCTTGTTGTTTAAAGATGATCCGGAGTGTATAGGTAGTTGAGCTTGTGGGGCACACGTCATTTATTTGAGGTGGGCGGCTGAGGGGGGAGGAGGATTTCGCATCAGCCTAAATGGTATTGATTACCTATCAAATGTAAACACGGATACAAGAGGATTGTGTGGCATTTACTAACCTTCTTGTCTGCCTTCTCGTATAGGTGATATCCAGCTGTCGATTAATAGGCTGTGTGCACTACACAGTAGTTCTCTTTGTCTTTACTAATACTTATGTGGAGATATGACCGCTGAAAGTATAAGGTAAGGTGAGGAAGTCAATTGATTAGGTTGTGAGGGTGCATCTATTGATATATCTAGGCAAATGTTACAGATTGCAACTCGTGTCCTTCCTCGTCTGACGTATGATGAGTTGGAATGCAGGAGAATGCATGCACATCCACTGACGAGTCCCAAACATGACGAAGTGCTCGTTTTCCTGTATTCCACTGCTAGTCACCATCAACTGTAATAACTTCTAATTACAAGCCTAGGCATAGTCGAAGCATCTGCACAAGAAGCCAACATGTCAAGCTGAGACTGAGCACTTCGCTCCAACCAATCGACGGGAAAATCTAAAATTCAATTAAATAGTTAATATGACCCGTTGCACAAGAGGTGGTTCTCGTGGCCCAAGTGGTCTTGTGGATAACGCTTTGGCGTTTTAAACTATGGGTACTGGGTATGAGCCTTGGTGGAAACATCATCACTCACCGGGGAATGCAGGTATATCCAAATGACGAGTCCCAAATGGGACGAAATGCGCATTGTCATGGATCCTACCTCTAGTCACCATACACCAATTTAAGTTGGAAAAGAGTTGAGCTACGTTGGGAGGTGTGAACTGTCTGTCTGGAGTCATCGAAGATCCATTGGTAGAAATAGCCAGTATATATATATAACATTTAGTGCTGCGAGTTCTTTGTTACCATTGCAACTAACTTTTGCATAAATAAAATTCACTTGAGAGAACGCTCTACAGGCACTCAGTTACAAGACATATTATCAGTCCGTGAAGTTATATGCTCCCGATAAAAGTTATCTACATAGTAGGTGGAATGTTGGTTTCCTGGTTGGGATACATTGAGACACTGAACGTCAATTGTCAAAAGCTTTTGGTGAGGTGATCCAATAGGTGGTAGATCTATCAGCCAACTCCTTAACATATACACTCTGTAGAGCTTTACTAACCCTCATTTGAATTTACCTAACGTGTTGTGTCTGTCTGTCTGTTTTCGACATAGAACTTTGCACAAATGTGCGGAAGTTCAAGTCGCCACACTCCCTGTAGCACGCGAATCAAGAGAAGAAAGTACAAGAAAAGCATAATAGAAACAGTGAGCAGAGGTGTGAGACAAAGGAGTAATAAAGAAAAACAAAACAGTTTCATTGGAGATCATAAGTCACAAGGAGTGGATGCATCTGCGCCAACCAGCCACTGAGAACGATTTTGAACCATGTCACCAATTGTTTCCAACCATAGAGTTTTACCGTCCCGAGGACCCCAGCTTGGAAGTCTACACCTTCCTACATGGCTTAGACCAACTGTTGTGGATTTCATTGACTGGTGCCATTTTTTTGTTTGACCGCCACTAGCTTTTTTCCAGCCTGACCCTATATCCGCTAACATTGCCCGACCGAAAGCTGCTACCTTGACGTGGTGGTCGGGCTTGAACACCGCAGCGACCTAATCAAACTATACTGGCTGAGACTTATGTCTCTTGAGGTCCTGCCATGCCAGGCAGGTTGTTTGAATAGCGGTTAAACAAAAAGCAGCTACCCAATCCAACATCATGACCAATAGAAAATCACAAAATTTCATGCCGGATCGGCCGTGACCTGGATTAACAACGACCGCGCTTCCTGCTGCCGTGTCACAGGGCAGGAGTGATAAGTATGGTACTGAGACACACCAAACAAAAGAGAACGAACAAAAACAGGACGCGTGTGACCGGCCTCAAGCAGTTGTCCCCTGGGCTCTGCGGTCACGCAACCAACTTCCACGGTGTGGGCAGCCGGGAAGTAACAATCGCCCTGACAATCCGAAACGTACGCGAAACCTTTCTATTACTCACTCATCTTTGTTTTCTATTGCTCACGTGTTGTGTAGTATCATTTTATTTCTATTCTGGTTTTTCGTGTTGTTTTACATACAGTGTGAGGCAACTCGGATTGATAGACTTTCTATGCTAAGTTTAGTTTGTCAGATATACAATACCAACTACAAAGCATCAGGCAAATAACAAACTATGAGTGTAAATCATTGTCTGTGTACAGACTGCGCACTGTTCCTCTCTCTCTCTCTCTCCTTATTTCTCTCTTTGTTGTTTATATGATTTTCAGCAGCCGAAAGATCTAAACTTAGAACCTGGCGGAGAATCTCGTTTACAATATGGTCATTTATGGTTTCAACAAAGTACACGTTTCAAATGTCCTAAAGGTGAGTCAGTTAGTCAGTCAGTGAGCGAATGACTCAGTTTATGTTGCATTTTGTTTTTTCAGCTTTCCAATTTTTTTAATAGTGTGAAATATTTCCATATCATGATGAATTAAAAGTCAATCTGAAAGATGAATATTATTCTCAATAATTTCTTCTCTTCAGGTTCTTATACAATTATAAAAATATAATATTTGTGTGAAACACTTAGTTCCCTTTATAAATTTAGACAAAGCAATAAGAAGACGAAATTCGTTGGAATCGTGTAATACATTTGCGCAACACATTTCGAACAGTCGGATCCATCAGGCACACCACACTTGTCATAGGAATATATATAAGATTAATATTGATTAAAAATTAATTCTAATATAGCAAAAATATTCATTCAGATATCTATAAAACACAAAATAATCGAGCAAAGAATATTCTTTTCGATAAATTTCTCTTCTGGCTCTACAATTATATATATATATATATATATATATATATATATATATATATATATATATATATATATATGTTTATACACACAGAATATTCAAGAATAGCAGTCATTACCAATATTAGTGTTTTTTAAATAATATCGATTTGTTAAGTAAGATCACAATGGAATTACGGTTCATTAAAGATGCTTAAATAATAATAAAGATATAATAACAAATAGAATATCAACTAAAATTAGGAAATTTCCACAAAAATTGAGAATCATTCAAACCTAGATAGCCAAGGTAAGGACAGCGTCTGAAATAACTTCTTTTGGACGCACAAATTAGGCTTTTTAATGTGGATCCTAACTGCCTCAGCAATATTTAGTAGTCGAACTCTTAAGGCGGAGTTGAGATTTGTTGGTATCCGGTAAATAACTCTAAAAGCCTGGTTAACATCAATCTTATGTTCTGTATCCACAAGATGAGCCATAATAGCGCTACGAATAGATTTTGTTTGGCCTTTGCTTAACCACACAGGGTGATGTTCGGAAATTCGACGAGAAACACGCCTAATTGTATGGCCTATGTAACTGGCTCCACAGGAGCAGTTAAATTCTAATATAATATATAATATAATTCTAATATATTGATTAATTAATTAATTAAGAGGTGAGAAAATCAACTTGGGTCAAAATAACAATGAAGTTCACTAAACTCGAATACGAGAGATATTAGTATGTCTGCTGTGGTATGAAAACAAAGTTTACCAACAAGGAAGGTTTAGTTAATGTGATGACAAAGTGTTGCTTTCAACGCGTAAATATAGTTTACACTTGGATAGTGTGTTATTAGGAGACGAAGATTATCTGAAAAATGGGATGTATTCACGCTGAACATTTCAAACAATATGAGACTGAGCACTTCGGTCCAGTCAATCAACGGGAAAATCTAAAATTGAATTCAATAATCTGATCACACATTTATCTGACAAGCTTAGACTTCCTGATTTCTAGAACTTCCGCAAACGGTGGGATACGCCCCAAACACGTTTTATAGGTAGGTTTAAAAGATGTGTTAACGTCAATTCTATGTCCTGTCTCTGTAATATGTTTCGCAATAGAATAGCTGGGTCTTCTGTTATCACCAATAAAGGGTTCTGAGGATTCTATTTGCTTCTGGAGCCATTTAGGATGTGTGCCACAAATACATTACACGATTCAGATAAATTACGTCTTCTTATTGCTTTGTCTAAATAATATTTGTTGTTGTTACAATAATGATCTGTCTGTCTGTCTGGATTCAACATAGAACTTGGCACCGAAGTGCAACAGTTCGAGTTGCCACCTTCCAAATAGCACACAAAGGTAGACAAGAAGATGAGTGAAGAGAATCAATAGAGTTTGACAGGTATGAGAGCGAAACAGAATGGGTAATGGTAGAAAGAAATATGAAAGATTACTGAGACTGAATACATCTGCGCTAGCCATTGACAACGATTTTGAGCCGTGTCACCTATTGTCTCCAGCCATTGATTCCTAGAGTCCCAAGGGCCCCAACCCGGGAGTCTGCATCTCCCTACCTACCTGACTCAGTTTAACTGTCAAGGATTTCATGGATTGATGAGGCCATGTTTTTGTTTGGCCACCACTGGCTCTTTTCCAACCTGCACCTATATCAGCTAGTTATGCCCGTCGGGGAGGCGATGGTTAGGCATGCGCAGCACGTGAACTAGCCATCTCAATCTGTGTGTGTAATGATAGCCAATTATGCGGCGGATACATTGTTTTTACATAGAATAACAGATTACCAGTTATGGGGTGTCAAAATAAATAGTCGTATTTGTGTGACAAACGTTCTCTGGGCTGAAATCGATTATAAAATATTGTAAAATGGGTGACATTGATGGTGACTAGTCATAATAGATTCGTAGAATGTCAGTTCATGGCTATAAAAGGTGTCAGGTGAGTGAGTGAGTGGCTAGTCCAAAGTGGTATGTATTAAAGAGGAGATAGATAATAAGTCTGCAATGGGAGGTTCATAATGAAATAAAGAATGTGTGAAATGAAACAGGTAGACGCGTATATTGAGAAAACAGATAATATCACTAGTGTAATAATAAGTTCGGATAGTATGAATGGAAACTTCGATAGTATTGAGAGAATGTTTGCATGAAAGGCATAAATTATGACGAATAATAATAATAATAATTGTAATAATAAGCAAAGGAAAAGAAAACCAAGAGGGTTAAGGGGAAGTAGCACTCCGAGTGAGAAGAAGAGGAATCATCAATCCAAGTTTCGCCACGGTTGGAACAGCGTCTGAACGTGTTCTTTTTAGATACAAATTTCCTGTGTCGTTGATCTTATTGCAACAGCTTCAGTTATATATGTGTAGGAGACGTAAGTGAACTGTGCGTGATACCGACTTTGGAATTTGGTGTATAACCAACCCTGAAGGCTGTGTTTTGGTGTGGCGTCGATGTGATGTCCAGTATCAACTAATTGTGGCAGAATCGAGAGTTTTATGCAGTTTAATTTCCCTCTCGCTGAACCAAGCTGGTTAATGTTCTCAAACCTCTTAGACAAACCTGCCTAATCGTACACCCTTTCAGATTGACTTTTAATGTCCTATTTTTTAATGTTAATTGGAATTATTCGATTAGAATTGTCTTACTTGAAAGAGTCATGTTAAGTTAGAGATAAAGTTGTGAGAAAAATAATTGGGTACTCGGAAAAGTAAAAGACCGATGGGACAAAATACTGTGAACCCTTCTTGGATTATCCTCTGTTAAAATACTGTGTGAATCTGTGGTCGATATGATTGGTTTTTTTCCATAGTACTCAGTCGGTTTAAAAGAAATCCTTACGACGAAGTTTCAACTGAAAATTTCCCTCAGTTGTAGCCATATCCCGTATTATTTACCTGATATATCCAAACCTAACTCTATACATGTCATTTTTATACGGCTGTTTGCACCCCACACTTATTGTTTTATGGTTAAATTTCCTCTCACGATACTTATGACTTTTGAAATCTTATTGGTTGTGCAATGTCTTAATTTATCAATGACATTAGTGCTTCTCAAGGTCATTTTAAACATAAATATTACTCTTTTCTGATAGCTGTCGTTTTGAAACGCTTAAAACGCCCTTATCAACATTCAGTCTTTTCTTCTGTTTGTGACCCGGAGGTGTTGTCATTGTTGTTGTTGTTTGTGTCGTGCTATTAGGGGAGATTAACCAGCACATTAAAGTTAGTATTCGCTCGTAGTCTATTAGGCCGTAGTTCCGGTCATAACATTAACAAGAATTTGTGTCACTGAATTTTATTATTATTATTATCATTTTTTCTGATCCAACACCTTCCGATCCCTTTTGTTTTGAATTTTTTCACCCCTCTTGGAATACTTGAAGAGTCTTCACTGATTGATGATCACCAAAAAGTGGTTATGACTAAATGTCAACTTAAAATCTTCCTAAGTTAAGTTGTGTTCACTTAGCTGACTAGCTAGCTAACTAACTAATTAACAAAAGGCAGTAACACGGAATACTTTTTTTTAATTACAATTATTACTGTTATTATTACTGTTTATGATGACCCCATGGCAAATTACGAGGCCTGGGCTTCGACTTTTGGATCGCTAGTGGCTCAGCTATATATGCCCAGATGATTTGATCTGACTCCCTTTACTGATTGGTTCGATTGATTCTTGTATAGAATTTTGAGGGACTTTTAAAATGGAGATGAATGTCCCGAGTGCCCACCAGATTTTGTGTCACCATGCTACACAAACGCACACACACATACAAACACCTGCCTATATTCTTTCTTTGCTAGCCAGGCTGAATAGAGCGTTCATTGTCGCCTCAGCTTATAAAACGCGCTCGGGAACACTGTCCAACGAGAGTCTCAGATCAAGGCATCTGAGCATAATATAGCTTGAGGCTTAACGTTTCGAATGATGAAGAGAAATGGACCCAACCTTGGACTACTGCACCATGGTCATTATGAGCAGCTGTTTATTTATCACAGTAATAACACTATCCTATTACAATTATTATTGTTAGTACCCTTATTTATTGTATCAATAAATTCTTAAATCTATTTCATGCTTTATTTGATTTCCGATACATTTCGAGTTTTTTATTTTTATTTCACTTCACCTCAAATCACAATACTAATAACTGTATGAAATTATTCCTATAAACAAATTTAATATTAATAATAATAATTCTTTATTCAATATCCATTGAATTTCAGTCAATAGGTGTTTATTTTGACGATTAATTCCAGAGTAAATGTATTAAAGAGTTTTGATAACTGAACTGAATTTACGAAATGTTAAATAAGAGAAGGAGGACGATAGCTTAAAGATAAGTATATATATATATATATCCTAATTGTGGTGCTTTGATTTATGCGAAAGACGGTGCATGTGGAGCAAGAAGACAGGAATATGTTGAACCACCGGTAAGAATACTCTAGGCGATATCTGGATTATCTCGGAAGACTTATGTCTAGTGTCACAGGAACTCGAAGAATTACAGGCGAAAACCAACAAGCAAGGTAGAATGGGTAGGTACCGAAGACAGGACTTCAAGTGGACACAGAGGTTATGGCGTCGATGAACATAATCAGCCAACCAACCACACGAGATCCTTCCAAATACAGACAACAGTCTGGATGAGGATTTCAAAGCCAGAGTCGGAAGGTAAAGTGAATCTTCATCACTCTCAAATCAATTTTTACAATCTTCTGAATCCAGTAGCATAAAACAACAAATTTCGGATTTTCAACACTAATCTTAAGTCAGTCACTCCTTTTATTTTATCAAGGAATTTGGCGTAGGTGTCAGGAAAAGCATAAACAACAGGCTTCTGAAAACTTTTATCAACAACTGCTCATTACACTATCTCCTTACTGAGGATCAGATCACCGATCATAAAGAATTAGTGACAAGGTACTCTGGCGGGTATTGGACCAATCACGAACCTACTGGTCAGCAAATATTCTGAACAAGGTGGAGATGGATGTGATGCACACCGCAGAGATTGTTGAGTAGCATTACGTTGGCCATTGAGCTGAATCGGAGTGGGAAACAACAAGTTAGGCGTCTGAAAGTGACATGGAGGACACCGTGTGAGGAGGAGATCAGAGCCTACGAGCAACTGTGAGTCCAGCTGGAGAGGACTGCAAAGAACATGACAAAGTGTAGATTGCTGTTGAAGGCTGTTGAACCTAAAGGAATAATAAACATACATTTGTGACATGAGCTGACTGCTAGCCAGATTGAAGACAACAATTTACGTCAATGTTTCGTCTCATATCTTGGTCATGAGAACAAAACAAGAACAAAGACTAACTCAACAACCAATCACATCAGACCTTGTGTTGGAGGTTACGTTTAGCAGATATATCAACGGACTGTCTAAAAATAGCCGCGAAGAGATGACAGAATAACTTCCAGCGAGAAAACAATCAATCAGAAGACGCTGTTTCTCTGCTGACAATAATGCTAATAATAATGTACATATATATATATCTATAAATATCTGTTGATTTTGTCAATAAACGATCTGTTACCTGGCCCTTGTCTTCTGTCGTTACATAGACATTTTTGTTGTTTATGTATATATAACCTATTTAATATACATACTAAACATTTATTCTTCTTTAACTTAGAAATGATGTAATAATAATGAACTGAATTGGAATTTCTCAACGTTGATCTCTGCACAGATATGCATAGTACTTCAAGTTGTTATTCGTGACAGAAAACACACAGACAGCTTTAGAGAATGATTTTAATAGGCTATTATTCTTGGCGTATCAATATGGAAGTTAGAATTCATGTACCGTCAAGTTGGCTCCCAGTGGCTAAATGGTCTGTTAGCTTTTCTTGTAAGTGGTATGGTGTAGTAGATGCGTTCTGCTGACGAGTCCCAAACTAAGACAACACAGATGTTCGGCGTTCCTCGCCGGTTTTCACCGGTCTCCTAAGTGATATCGATCCGTGGTCAAACAGGCGTCATAGTATTTTAATTTATCAGAATTTCGGTATGATAAACATTACTAAGATGGTGTACATCCTCAGTGGTGAGTATTCAACACTATATGATCACATATTATCTCAAAGTGTTTATTTTCACTATTGTAATTTTCGTCTCATATTTATAATTTGCAGCCAATGTAGCAGTTCATCTATGGTCTGGTCTTGTAACAAAGACAAAAGAAAAGTAAGTTGGATAAATGTTTATTTGCTTGCCATCACCATATATGTAAATATATGATGTCATCCCACCAACTAACTAGTTGCTCCTCTCATTCGTGTTCCACTCGAGGACCTGTCTGGCGTGTCATGGCATCCAACGATCTCCCCAGCTTGTATCCGATCCATCTCCATACTCTCCGACATATTTGTTGGTTAGGCAATGGCTTCTTGGCGTATTCTTCGCTTGACAGCGTATTTTCTTCTTTATTGCTCATGATTTCCAGCCAACCGATTGGCCATCTGATCTTCAGTTCACAGAGAAGGTGACAGACAACTCTTGTTGAAAGTATGCAGTAGTCCGTTGGAAATGCTTTTACTGATGCACGCGAACATCAAGTCTCTGGACCGTATAGTCGAAGCATTAACTGACTTGATATTAGTTTTGAAGATCTAAATACTGTCGTTTCTGCTGAACACAGTAGACTTCGACAGTGATTTCTGATCAATAAAGATCTGTCATGCTCCTGTGAACCCATCCCGTAGTTGGCTTTGATATCCTCATTTGTTCCATCTGTCTGTTATTGAAGTTATGCTGCTTAGATAAATGAAAAAAGGTGTGATCTCCTTAACATTTCTCCTGTCGATGCTAACCTTCACTCAATAGACTGATTTTCTATTGAAAACGTATGAACATAATATATCGGTTATCCTCACTACCGTTATAAAATGTTTGGGTAGCATTTATATCATAGAAATTGTAAGTTGAGTTTGCTCACTGATGGAGGTGATTGCAAAGCAATAACCCCTCATATGGGAAGTTATATTAATTCATGGTGTTTCATTCTGATTAAGGCATATTTAGCGAAATCTTATGATGCCTTTTGAGTATGACATGGAGATGTTTGGCTAAAATACATGGGTTCAATTCCCTGTCCGCCTACTTCAACTTGAAGTGTCACCAGCTCTTAGGCAATAATTGTATGATTGCTACTCCTCCTGACCGATTGCTGTTACCTTGATGTAGTTGTCGGGCTTGCATAATCGCAATGACCTGACGAGCTACACTGACTGGAACTATTGTTCCTGCAGATCCTACCATGCCAGGAAGGTTGTTAGTAGAGCGATTTAACTAAAAGTAGTTACTGGTTCAGTGTAAGAAATTTTCTCACACTATGCTAGGGGTCTGTGGGTGAAGTCGTACTGATGGAGAATAGGGTGTAGCAGCAGTGAGGTGTTTCTCTTAGATGATCAGCATGTCAGCTATGCTGTGTTTCCATTCTGGACAGAGAGGGGGTTAGAAAAGGTCGACCGCAACAATTGTACATCCCGACTCACTCCACCGATGGTGGTTTGTAACTGGCGGTGAATTTACTAATACGGAACCAAAACAAGAAATCATTTCATACAGGCCGTGTGTGACCGGCCTCAAGCAGTTCTCCGGTGGGCTCTACGGTCACGCAACACTAACCGTCTTTCTGTTTCAGGTACCTGAAGAATCAACCTACTTTCACGGTGTGGGCAACCGGAAAGTAGCAACCGCCCACATACTTCAAATAGCTCACAGAGAGGCAATTGCTACCCCTGGATACATGTAAGATCTGTTCTGGGTTGAAGCTTCGTCTCATAAGTCAGTTTATTGTGACAGTATAAATAATCTGTCAATTCGTCCTCTCAACATGTTCATCATATGGATACAGCATTACCTTCTAGCACGATGAGAGTTTTTACGAATAGTTCAGTTCACATGATTATTGAATATATCTGTTATAGAATAATTGCAAACCAACCAGATGGTACTGGACACCCCTTTGTCCTACTTTGGCATTCATTGTCAGTACGTATCAATCCACTGTGGTTCGAACCCATAACCTTCCGGTTACATTGACTATTCAACCACTGGGACCCGACTCAATGACTAGCCCATGAATTCTAACTTCTATCAATCCGAGAATTCTTTTTCAACACGACCAGCAGTCAAGATTTGTTAAAAAGAAAACCATTGTAAGTGTCTCTAATAGACAATGGGGATCTGCAACACTGCTGCCCACCCGACTGAGAATCAAGACAATAGATAAAAACTTCCAAGTAGTTTGATAGTCTAATTCGATTCGATACCCGTTCGTCATGTGAATTGTTGGAGATTCTAAGGTAGTTTAACATTACATAAAATGTCCTGTTTTTTCAAATAATAAATGGTGGGACAGACAAGCACAATAATTACAATAAAAAAAAACTGTTCAAACCGAAAGACACAAAGATAATAACAATTATAATAACGGAAATACTGCATAGGTAAAATAAACAAGACATAGGTGGGGCAGTAACTCATCGGAGAAGACATTGCGAAGTGGTCGCACTATGTTATGAATTGGCAGGTCCCAGTGAGTGGCTTAGTGGTCTACGAGCTAGCCGCCTTGTCACCAGAAGGTCTTGGGTTTGACCTCCACGATGTGGGTGCGTACTGATGAAGAGCCAGTACTCCAGTGATGGTTTTCCAATAGTTCTTTAACTGATGTCAGCTCATAATGAAATCCTTCAACCAATCAAATAAATATATGTTTATTCCCCTGCTGTGAAGGGGCTGCACGTACTTCTTTTGTGTATATAAACGTCTGAGTTGAATTCATGGATAGCTGCTACCTCTGCTGTCTTCGGATGTTTGTAATGCGGTAAAACGCGTCAAGTTAGCACGAATTCCACAGATAATCTTAAAATCATGGTCAGGGTTGATAGAGTAACACAAATCGATCAAGTGTATTATAGGACAGCCCTCTTTGACAGCCTTCCTTTCTCTCTCTCTCTCTTGCTGGAATACACCCTTGTGTCCGGGTGGAATGCAATCTTTGACTAAGATCGATGTACCTTGTTCCATATAAGCAGGCGAATTGTTAGATGCACATGGATGTGATTAAATAAGGCAGGCAGCTTTTGTTTCTATATTAGAGACAAAGAACAACTTAAGGCTGGTCAAGGTGATTTGAAGTTTCATTGCAATGAAAGTCTTACTAACTGATCTGAAGTTTGAACTTGAGTTGCTGGCGAGACTGTTGGTATTGGACACGGACGGACATGGCTGTAAATCGCTTTCAATGCCTTAGATGTATTCACTCTTTATGTGATTCTCCGTGTAGATTCATTAAATCTTTATTATTCTCTGTGTAATTATTTTTCCACTTTTACATGTTCACTTTTATTATAGTGTCTTTGTCTGTTTTCAATATACAGCGTAGCACTGCATGGACTAATGGTCTTCGGTTTTAATCACTCTCTAAGCACAATAACTTATGAAGCTAGTGAAGCAGGATTAGAGTGAGTTTGATTCAACTGAATATATATATATATATATATATATATATATATATATATATATGTTTAAATACTTTTTTTCTTGGGGGTGACCCAACGACGTAGTCGATAATCTTTTCACCTATTAAACGATGGGTGTCACTGATCGCGAGTCTGAAGAAAAAAATTCCTTTGCGTTCCCAGTGGAACATAAGGCTTCAAGCTAGAGCTTTTTTGAAGTTTTGGTAGCAGTGGTATTTACTTATTTTTCCGGGATGAGGTTGCTAACCTCATGCCCAACTTTCCCTCCTTACCAGTCTTATTACTGCTGGCTTAGCGAGGTAAAGGCGTGCGTTGTCGGCCGGCGATCGAACCTCGGACCGCCTGCGTAGTTAGCGAGCATTTTATCACTGTGCCACTGGCGCACAGGACTTGAATCTCAGTCAGGGAATATTACCACTCACTAAAGATGCACTGTATGTAGCCATCTGGTGGTGAGTCCCAAGTGGGATGATGCTACATACACAACCGCTGAATTTCACTTCTTACCACCATGTAACAAACAATTTTTAGTGGTTAGTCCTTGTGGTTATCTAGACAGTCCGTTCACAAGGAGGAGACCATGATGCACCCGACTGAAGCTGATCAGTTTCGGTCACACACACACACACACACAGAGGAAATTACAGACACGAATGCAAATAGCGTTTCCACTTATAGTGTACAGCTTTGTACGATATTTGCGTTATAAGTGGCTGACTGACTGGTCAACCGGTTTCTATATAGAGCTGTACTCACAAAGACAATTTCACTTGCCAAACTTCATGTACCACAAAAAGAAGACGAGAGAGAGAGAGGGAGAAAGGGAAATAGATTCGAAGGGACGATGATAAGCAGAAATGTGAGGGAAAACGAAGAGTAACATGAGAAAGACAATAGGATTTTATTGGATATAGGAGAGATCAAAGAGAGAACGTTTTTTAGCCATATCTGTCTGGATTCAACGTAGAACTTGGCACCGAAGTGCAACAGTTCGAGTTGCCACCTTCCAAATAGCACACAAAGGTAGACAAGAAGATGAGTGAAGAGAATCAATAGAGTTTGACAGGTATGAGAGCGAAACAGAATGGGTAATGGTAGAAAGAAATATGAAAGATTACTGAGACTGAATACATCTGCGCTAGCCATTGACAACGATTTTGAGCCGTGTCACCTATTGTCTCCAGCCATTGATTCCTAGAGTCCCGAGGGCCCAACTCGGAAGTCTGCATCTCCCCACCTACCTGACTTAGTTTAACTGTCAAGGATTTCATGGATTTCTACGCCTAACCTCAAAATTATTCACCCTGTTGTACTACATAACATGTGAAACAGGATGCAAACACGTGTGGTCAAAGACACACACACACACACAGCTAGCTAGTCTTTTCATATCTTCCACTTTCAGCGACCACATCTTTTAGCCATGAAGGAGGATGAAGAGCACTGGTGATGTGCAGTACACATGCCCTATGATCGATACATAACTGGATATATATCACGTCAACGCCAGGGATAGTGCAATTTGAAAAATCCATAAAAAAAACCTTTTCAATTCGAGCTAAAATTGCGTCAGTATTAATCACCCCTTTGGCGCTGCTGGTACAACTTCCTAAATTAATGAAATGGTCAACACGCTCTACCATTTCACTTCTTATCTTTAAGCTACGAGTCAATAATATCCAATCCTGTAGCTACCATCATTTTACATTCGACACGAGGTGATCGCATGGCAAGCATTCGAAGGTTGCTGCTTCTCAAGGTGTGTTCACAAGACTCCGCATTTTATCAGCGTCCTCACCTAGAATGACTGTATCATCCTCAAATTCCAAGTTGAAAGACTAGTATTCTCAGATAACAAGTCAATCCCTAAATCACTGAAGTCAGTTGGGCCTATTTCCATTAGTACATCTATGCTGAAATTCTACAGGATTTAGTGTAGGCAATGGTGGTTGCGTATGGTTATTTTTTCATTGAAAATAGACATTGTGTTCACTAGTGATTGACTACTAGATGAACTACCTAGTGTTCTACTCAGAAGTTGTAACTATTGAGGTCATAAAAGTCGGCTGTGTGAACGAATACTCGCAGATGTAGATTGGCTGGCAAGGACGTTGTGTATATATTTCGCAAATAGACATAGAAATTAGGATTTATCGACCAGAAATTGGTCTCCGTCCTTAGTGGCTGAATTTAACGGTCAGCAAGTTCGCTTTATAACCTGAATGTCTTTCGTAAGTTCGATGTCTGATGGATAGATTAGTTGATGGGTGTGCATTGTTGAAGAGTCTCAAACTGGTAAGACTAATCAGTTGTGTCCTGTATTCCCTGCATTTCAGTGGTACTCTGCTTGATGGCAACTTGTGGTTTAACTTTAAAAGTTTGCCATGTTTGTGTTTGATTTGTGAAGTGCACAAAGAAAGAGGGAAACAGCATTATTATTACGGTGATTATCGATCTCGCTTGACAAGGAAAACTGTGCCGACGAGTATGTCAATGCATATTTCTTGTGATCGAAGCTGCACACCTGAATTAAATGTATTTAGTGTAGGTTCGCAAGGAATTAATTGTTTACAGTTTTAATCACTTGCTGACATAAATTAGAGGACCATTAGAAAACAATCTGGGAGTACTGCTGAATAGCTGTTTCGTCCTAGTTTGAAACTCTTCAATGGTACTTATCTACCACCGACTCAGGTAAAGAGAACAGTTACTCCTCTATGGCATTGAGTTAGAAATCGGTAGAATTTTGAACTCACTGTCGATTTGTATCAGGTCCCACCAGCTGAGTCGTCTACGAGCTCAGAGTGTTACCAGAAGGTTCTAGGTGAGAACCCCGGCAGGTTCATATTACCGACGAATCCTAAAATAGAACGAGACGGATGTCCAGTACACTCCCTGCTGGTTTGTGATGTCAACTCATGATAAAATAAGTTACCAATCAACCCCTGCAAAGCAACACTTAATAATTCGTCTTATACTTGCTCACTTGCGACTGGCTTTAATGCAGGAAGTTACCTTGTTTTGTGATAAGAAGTTGTAATCTGTGTAGTTCTCATGAAGTCTCAGGTAGGTAAGAGAGCAATTACTCGCCTTCTTCATAATCTGGCAGTCACGTGCTATGTCGTTAAATATATGTCTGTCTTTTTTCGACATTATTTATTTTCATTCTACTATATTTTGTGACTACTACTACTACTCTTTAATTTTACTTTTTGTTCTATATCTCTGTGTTTTGTAGACAAGATGTTAGATTCGGTGACACTGGTTTATGTATTCATGTCAGTGGTTTTAACGAAAAACTCTTCGTAAGTTTGTGAATTAAAGCCGATATTTATCCTTATTACTCAGGCAGTACTAGGCAGTATCGCCTCCCCCCCTATGCCATCTTGAAGGAATTCATATCCATCCTGGGATTTGGACCCATGTCATCCAGTGCTACAGTCAGAGACTCTACCAGTGAGCTATTCGGCCCCATGATTGACTGCGCCTGTGTTGGCTACTTTGATTGACACTAGGTTATAACTAGTGTAAGGCGTCTAGTCTTTGTTTGGTGCAAACTGCATTTTTTCTCAGCCATGTCAGCAATGTGACCTTCAAGCTAGGTAGGTTGCTGGCCATCAAGGTGCACTCTAAATTCGTGTTTAGGTGGTTGGAGCTTCTTGCTAGTCATCAGCAGCACGATGTATCCTACAGTATCGAAGAAACTCATGCTTCATTTAAGAATCGAACTTGGATCATGCATTATGAACCTCAGCTATAGATCAGTTGTCAATATCTGTCCGTCTACGTTTGGTGTAAGCTCTTGATTATTGACTTTCTGAAGTATGTGTATATTCGGATATATTAATAGATGATAGTATATGGCTGAGTAATGTGGGTGGGTAGGTACCACTCACATATACCAGTAGAGCCTGCTAGCCAGTCAGGCAGAAGTGGTCTAGACATAGTAGATGACAGACTGCCTTTTCGCGACTGGCACTAGCCAATATCATTAACGAATATTTATCCTCACTCCTGACCGATAGACCCCTCACTTGTTCTCCAGTCAACTTCATCATGCTGTCAATCACTAGTTGAATGGCTGAATGATTTACGAGCTTGTCTTGCAATCGGTAGGTCGTGGATTCAAAACCCGGTGAGTGCATAATAGTGCAGCACTGATGAGTCCCATTCTAGGAAGAAACGAGCAACTTTCCAGTATTTGCAGTTGGTTTTGAAACACTTCAGGGATTTCTTCGTTTTCTTGTACAACTTATTGTAGTCTCTAAACCATTCGAGATAGGTTCAACAAATGGATCTGGATAATTGTTGATATTAGATGGTTGGAGGCAATCAGCCGTGGAAAACCTCGTCAGACTAGGTTTCGTGCTAGTTGGCATTCACGCGTCAGTCAACAAGGTCAACCCTGCAACCTTGAAGGAACTTATATCCCTTCTGAGATTCGATCCCGCTCAGCTAAAGAGGAGTGCAGAAAACAAGATCAAATGGGGGTAATGTGCTGTTCAAGCTGTGTGTTCCACTCTGAACCCAAGGGGTAATAATAATTATAATAATAATAAATAATGACAATGCATATCGGCGTAGTATTTCGTCACAATAGTTAGCGAATCTTTGAAACTATGGTACACCGGACTAAATTACGGTCAACATGCCTGCTTCACAACTTAAAGGTGCCAGATTCCATTCCTACTGGTAAGGTCTTGATTTAGGGCAGCGCTATCATTATCATTATTATTATTATTGTTCCCTTGGGTTCCTAATGGAACATAAGGCTTCAACTGCACATCTCCATTGCTTCTGTCTTCTGCTGTACTTTTCACCTGCATCCATGTTAGTCCATACTGTTTCAACTCCTCTTCACACGATCCTCGGGGCTTTTAGCTTCACCTTGAAAGTCCCTTGTACTAGATAGTGGTCTGAACCCACATCTGCTCCTCTCCTCGACTTTGTGTCCAGTAGGCTCCGTATCCACTTTCTTGAAATTGAATGAAGTCTATTTGGTTCTTGGTGTTTCCATCTGGTGAAATCCATGTCGTCTTGTGTATATCCTTGTGTTTGAACACACTACCACCAATCACCAATCATTGAAGGCGCAGAAGTCTGAGAAGAGTTCACCATTGTCGTTCCCTTCGCCGAGGGCCTCACGACCCATGGTGAGTTCTCTTCCTGTGTTGCCTCGTCCCAGCTTCACATTCATGTCGCCCATCAGGATTTTGATATCGCCATTCAGGACGTTGTCCATTACTGTTTGTAGTTGTCTGTAGAACCCTCCTTCTTCTCTTGTTCTGAGACGTTTGTAGCGCATAGCATTGAATGACTGTAACTTTCCTTCCTTTTGAGTTGAACCTGGCTTTCATTATCCTGGAGGAGATTGGTTCCCACTGCATGCGAGCTTTGGCTGCTGTTGGTGACATCATGATGGCCACTCCCTCGGTGTGCTCATGGTTGTCTTCTAGGTGGCCGGAATAGATTACTGTCTCTCTAGTAGGTAGTTGACACCTTCCAGTTCCGTTCCATCTGCTCTCTCAGATTCCCAACACTTCTATTCTGTACCTTCTCATTTCAGCGGCTATCTGGGCAGCCTTTCCAGTTTCGTACATTGTACGAACATTCCAGGTACCCATCCTTATTTTTGCTTTCGTCGAAAGAAGGCACATCGGCTGACTGGCTTCTCGAAAGCTTTCACCAGCCTGCATCATTTCACTTCCCCGATTCCAGTGAAAAATAAGGTTATTGTTTATATTTTTAGAATTTTTAATATATTTGTGCATTGAAGTTTCTGTAGCGATTTGGTTGTTTTGGGGTGTAGTTGCTAGCCCACGCCCCAACCCTCCCTCCTTATCTGGGCTTGGGACGGGCTAGAAAACTAGCAAGTTGGTAATGTAGGCGAGGTTTAGAGCAGCGATACATATCATAAATTCACGCGTCGTTGAATTTCAACCCAACTAGTTGAATCCACAACGTGCCTGGTCTTGTAACCTTGACAGTCTCAGGTTTTACTTTGTGAAAAGACCCTAATTGTAACAGGATAGCTGTCTTGTGTTTGTATATTCTGTCTCTTTGGTAAACTATTAACTAAATTGTCTTAACTTTTTGTTAACTTTTCACAATTAATAGTCTTTCTATTCAACTGTTTTGGATCATATTATGGATCAAACAAATGATTTATCTAAGGAATATTTTGAATCATATCGTGATGCTACTCTTAAGTTATACTATAATCAAGCACTTAAACCAGATGCACTTAACACGTAAGTGAAAAAATATATTTGAAAAAAAAATCTCCTCTTTTGTTTTCTTACTCTTCAATCTTTTTATGTTGTAAATAGTTTGGTTGGGAATCCACATCAACTGACGTGTCTAATCACCATCTGGTTTTAGGAAATAGGGACACTAAGTTGGATAGAGACCTGCTGATCACGACTATCGACTGGCTAAGCCATCACAACATTATATGATGCTACCTGTGTATCCAACTCTCACTGCCTGAAAGAGAGCACACAAATTCGTTAACTTCTGCTGTGTGTGAATCAAAATATCACCAAGGTTACATGAGTTAATCTGTAATCTTGATCAATAAAATAGTGGGCGTTATTTCACGGGGTCCTATTCTGATTGGCTAAATTTCCAGATTGGGTATTGATCATGTGGGCCGAATTCTGATTGGTGTATTTCCAGACTGTCTTTCGACTAACATATGACTGTCATTATAATAAAGGTTTTTGTATTCCCCAATGAATGAAAAACAAAACGATATTGTTGTTTTTACTGACGTCTCGCTATTTAATGCTAATAGCTTTATCAAAGTAGTATTATTAAACCAGAATTTACAAAATCTCAGCATATATATATCACAAAGAGTTAGGGGGTGAGAAAAAATATAGACTTAGTTCAACTTAAAAGGACATATTGAAAGTCAAAATAACAATGAAGATCGTTCAAATTAAATATCAAAGAGAATGGTATATCAAAACAAAGTTTTATAATTTGATCATCGTTCGTCATTCTGGGTCGTTTTTTGTTGTCAAGTTGGCGAATTGGTAAAGATAACAAAATCAAGTGTAGACTGTTGGATTTTATCAGTGTGTAGAATTATGAAAGTAGTGTGTGTTTACATAATGAACTAGCTTATCACATTTGTGTTGATTTTGCGACTTCATGGGGGAGGGGGTGTTGTAACCAGGTCAGATTCTGTTTTAGTCCATCATTCCTATTCGGCTCAGACAATTTGGATTCCACTTGATATGAATTGCTTCTGATATTAGACGTTCTTTGTGGTTTCTGAAGTTTTTCTGGATTATTTCAATATTGTCAAAATCAATTTTGTGGCCTGATTCTATAGCATGTAGACCTATGGCTGATGATTTTTGAAGTTTTTCTAGTTCAATTGGATTTCTTGGTGGTCGAAGAGATGCTCTACGGTGTTCATTTCTTCTGATTTTGATTTCTTGAGATGTTTGTCCGATGTAGATCGCATCACATTCCGAGCATTTTATTTTATAGACACAATCAGATAGAGAATCTTTAGGGATTTGGTCTTTTATGTGGACAAGGTTGTTTTGAAGTGTGTCCGATGTTTTGAAGAAAACTCTAATGTCGAGCTGATTGAGTACTCTTCAGATGTCGTCTGATGTCTCTGCTCTATATGGAATGACGACTGTTGAGGTCCATGTTTTCGGCCATACTTAATGCCTGCGTTGATTTTGTTGATGAAAGTCCTTGGGTATTTGTTTTCCTTGAGTGTTTCAATAATGTTTGATATTTCTTCTTCTTTTTCTTGCTCATCCGTTATCGGAGAGTGTGCTCGTCTAAGAAGACTTGAAACAACTGAAATCTTTGCGCTGATGGGGTGTGATGATTTGAAGTCTAAATATTTATTCAAATCATGTATATATATGCCTTTTCATTTCTAAATTACCATCACTCAGTGTTATGCATTAATTATGTGCTACTAACCCCATTGTTTTGCGTAGACTATACCACTCCCAGTATCTCTGTACTACTGGTACCATTGGGAATTTCATTTTACAAAATTATTTATTATCTTGATTGTTTGGTATTCGCCCTGTTTTTCATTCCTTGAATTCCCAGTGGAAAATATGGCGTTTGGGGCCTCGAGTTATGAAGTTTCAGTAGACTTGGTTGTATTTTTTTTCTTACGTAGCACTGTTTCTAGCCTACCACCTGCTGCTCTACTTTCTCTCATCAGAGATGACTGATCAGTGTGGTTTTGAAGTGAGTGAGTCAGGCAGCAATAAAATCCACATCGATTGGCGTGGTTAGTGAGCATTCTGCTGTACAACTTGGCGAGGCTGTCACTTACTGTCATCGATGGTGTTCCCGATTCCGGTGGATTCGATCATCTTGCACACACCATGAGGAGAGCCAGAAGATGGGTATACTCTGGGTCAAAGGGGGGGGGGGAGAATAAAGAAGATCTGGAATGTGCAGATGATTTACACCTTATGCCACACAAAATCTTGGAGGTGTACAAGTGGAACAAACAAACAAACGGACAAACATAGAAGAAGCAGCGATGGTAGGACTTAAAGTCCAGCAGGGAGAAGTGATCCAAATACCTAACCAACACCATCTTCCAACTATCACCATGAACGGAAGAAATTTAAGGGAAGTTACTTCTTCTACTAGTCTAGGCAGCACTATTCTATCTACAGGCATTGGCACGGATGAGAATGTTAAAGTTCCTCATGCTGGGTGCTGAAATCTCTAACTTCAACACTAATGTATCAAGTCAGCTAGTGTTTTTACATGGTTCAAAGACTTGGCGATTATGTCATTGGAAAATCATTTCCAGTGGTTTCTTGTAAACTTTCATCAACAACACACTAATTTCACTTCATATTGAGAATTTCATTTTCGACGAGAATGGTGAGAAAGTAATAAAGAACCATGTCAGGCAACGAATACTCAGGTAAATAGTGGAGATTGATTTGAACGCACACTAAGGCGACTGTCGACTAGTGACACCATTATACGCCTGACAGACCTTCAATTGAAAGCTGAATGGTAAATAAAGAGTTGTGGCTTCGCTTCAACAGTAATATAGGTATGGAATGGTGTTAAGAGGAAGTGGAAGCCTGTCTGGGGGAACCATCATGAAGTCTGGTTACAAAAAGGCAGCAAAAACACAGAATGCATTGGAGGTGTGCCACTGGAGTCCTGTGTTCTACTCGGAATCCAAGAGAATAAGAATTAGTATAATACATGGTTAAGATACGTTGATGATACTTTTAATGGACGAGATCTACACAATTCATTGTTGCAAAAACTGAACTATTTATCTTACAGCAACCAGTGTACTTCAGAAGCAGAATCGGACTTCGGCGAACTACCATTTCTAGACTGCTTACTTAAGAGGAGGGAAAACGGATATTTTAATATATCTTTTTTAAGGAAGAAAACCCACTCCAACAAATATTTAGACTTTGGGTCATCTCACTGCATCAACGCGAAGATACCTGTTGCTGCTACGTGGAACCCAATTACCAAAGAAGAAAGACAGATTAAACAATGGGCAGATCACTTCAGAGGACTCTTGAACCGACCATTACCTGCAACCCATTCAGAAATACCAACAACAGCACGTACACGACTGCAAGTTGACACCAATCCTCCAACGAAAGCTGAAGTCTTGAATGTAATCAAGCTTCTGAAAGCTGGAAAGGCAGCTGGACCAGATGGAATACCCCCTGAAGCACTGAAAGCGGACTCAGAGACGACACCAAATATGCTGACTCCATTATTGCAAAATGTCTGGGATGAGGGAAAGGTGCCTACTGACTGGAGGAAAGGTTACCTCGTGAAACTACCAAAGAAAGGCAACTTAGGACTCTGCAAGAACTGGCGAGGAATCACGCTCCTGTCGACGCCAAGTAAAATCCTGAGTCGCATCATCCTGGAGAGATTAAAGGACGCACTGGAGACAGAACTCCGACCAGAATAAGCTGGATTCAGGAAAGGCGTATCATGTTCTGACCAAATCGCATCTCCGCATCATTATCGAACAAAGCATGGAATGGCAATCAAACCTCTACCTCAACTTTATAGACTTTGAGAAGGCTTTCGGCAGACAGTGTTGACCGCGAAGTAATTTGGAAACTACTCGAGTACTATGGCGTACCCCAAATATTCATCAAGCTTATTCAACAGCTGTACGACAACGGCACATGTCAAGTGATCCACAACGAAAAACTCAGCGAGGAGTTTGGAGTAAACACAGGAGTCAGAAAAGGGTGCTTATTATCACCAATGATATTCCTAATTGTGGTGGACTGACTGGATTATGCGTCAGACAGTGGGAAACGAGAAGACAGGAATATCCTGGACCGACGCGAAGAACCTAGAAGACCTGGATTTCGCGCGTGGATGATTTATGTTTAATGTCACACAAAATCGAAGAATTACAAGCGAAAACCGACCGACAAACTGGTCGAAGACGCAGTCGGCGAAGACAGGACTCCAGGTGAACATAGACAAGACGGAGGTAATGAAAATAACCAACCAACAACAACAACAGCAGAAACATCCAGCGTCAATCACCATCAACGGGAGGGATTTGTAAGAGGTTACTTCATTCACTTATCTAGGGAGAATTGTCTCAACTACAGGAAGTCGGAACGGACGTGGATGTCAAATCGAGCGAGAATCGGGAAGGCGAGAAACACATTCATCAGCCTGAAATCTATCTGGAAATCTTCGTCACTGAGCATCAGCAACAAAATTCGGATTTTCAATACAAACGTCAAGTCAGTTCTTCTATACGGATCAGAAACTTGGCGGGTGGGTCACAAAGATTATTTCCAACAGCCTGTTGCAGACCAGACCTTTATCAACAACTGTCTTTGCTCTGTACTGAAGATCAGATGGCCGGGCCGAAAAGAATCACCAACAAGGAACTATGGGAACAAACAAACAAAACAAGAAGCAATAGCCTAACAACAGGAAATATGCACGAGAAAGTGGAGATGAATTGGACACTCGCTCGCTGAGGAGGCCGGTTGGTGACATCGCGCGTGCGTCAGGCCATTACTTGAGTGGAACCAGGCCAAAAGGGAAGCGGCGAATGGGACGTCAGTGCGAGGGTGACATGGAGGAGGTCGTTAGAAGAGGAGTTGAAACAGTATGGACTAACATGGATGCAGGTGAAAAGTACAGCAGAAGGAAGACAGAAGCAAATGGAGACGTTGAAGCCCTATGTTCCACTAGGAACCCAAGGAAGCAATAATAAAATAATAATAATCAAATCCAATAATCTACACTTGGTTTTGTTACCTTTACCACTTGGTCAACTTGACAACGTGAAAGTTACCCGATGCAGATGAAGGGTGGTTAAGTTGTTATATATAACCTGAATGGATTTTGTAAATTATGGTCTAATATTACTGCTTTAATAACGCTATTAGCAGCAGCAGCAGGATTAAATAGCGAAACGTTGTGTTTTTTGTTCATTCATTGGGAAATACAAGATCTTTTATAATCGTAATTATAGCGCATATTATTCAAAATAAATAATCGCATGGGAGAAGTTGGGATTCATGGTGCATTGAATCGGATCCCAGTGGCTTGCCTTGTAATCGGTAGGTCCTAGGTTCGAACCCGACGGTTCTAGGTGCATACTCTCGGCGAATCCCAAACTAGGCAGATGATGAAACAGCTTTCCGGTACTCCCAGCTGATTTTCAATAAACTGTTTTCTTTCTTTCTTTTCATCGCTTCTTTTTTCTCTCGTTTTAACAGACATCTTCAATTTTATCTTCTTCGTCGTGAAGTTTTCCTGCTAACAGATTTATTAAATACGTTGAAAGATCTGTCTGTAGCTGATTTAGCAGCCTACAAACAGCAATTCTTCTCAAATCTTCATATAACTGTATATGCATATGGTAATATTAGAAAAGAGGTAAGCCAACAGTCATTGTATTTCCTGATATTATGACGCCGTTAGATTCTTTGGTGAGAACTGCTATCCTGGGACCTAAAAAATACACACCTATTGACTCTTGGTAGGGCACTTTGAGGGAGCAGGTCAACTAACTGGCTAACATAGTCAGCACCGAATATTGTGTTCTCTCTGAATGAAACTGTAAGTAGTGGAACGCTACATGACACCTGCCGCCTAAATAGCCTACACCTGACATTTTTTAAACCTGCCGGTCGCGTCTTACATACTGACAGCTGTCTTGCTTCACAGACTGTGCAAATATGTGAGGAATTGATTTGTGAAGAATGGGCTGGGTTAAGTTCAGGCATTGGATGCTTCGATTATGTGTTCACCTTATGTTAGTTTCTAAAATACCATCACACGTATTACAGATCAACGATTGTTGTGTTTTGTGATATTAAGGCTGCCCTCAATTCGTTGTACAGAACTGCTTCCTAGAAGTGTCTGTTGCAGAGAAAGAGAGAGTGTGAGGCTGTTCCTAAGAAATTTGTTAACCATTTTGAAAGGCCTATACTGAAACATCTCAGAGGGCACACAACTGGCTATGAATGCTGTTCTCGATCAGAAGGATGGTTGACCACCGTGAATGTTCTCCTTTTATTTTGTACCATCCACAACACTACGGAGACAGCTTTGAGGGATTTACATGTGATGGTGGTGTAGACGCATTACTTGCAGAAAGACTCTGACCTCGAGTATGCAGGCGATGTCGCCTAACTGCACGATAGATGACGATCAGTGTATTTGTAAATACTGTATTTGCTTTGACCCCGTCCAAGTGGAAAGTATTGTTGCAAGTTTGGCAGGAGCTTGTACCTGCACACACACTCAAGTAAATCATTAGAAGTGGTCGATATATTAGCCAGACCCTTATTAATATGTGTGTAAAACTTGGGCACTGTGGTGGTAATTAATTCCCTATTAGTTTGTTTATTAAATGTATCACACAGTCTGGGAAACCGTATTGTTCACTGGATGACACAGTTTCGAACAAAATTTATTGTTCATAATCATTTCATCAATTATAGTGACACGACTTTGAAACTTCAGTTTTATAGTTTTCTTTGTTCTCTCGTATTTGTCTTCGTTAGGGTAGTAGAATTTTCCAGATGTTCTGACTGGACAGGCTTTGAATCATTCCTGTTACACGTATTCGGCTCAATTGATTCGACAAACAAAGCCTCAGTCAGCTATCAATCTCTCCCTTCACCCTGTGACATTAGATTTTAAAACTGTCATTCTATCGAATCCTGTTGTATGGTTGTATGTAACTGCATGTGGTGTAGTGCTATAGCTGAGCTATTCTCTAGATATCTTATCTTATTTGGGTCAACCAATCTAGATTTTGCTGCTAGGTTTTTATACTCGGCTAGTCTGACTGCATCTGTTCTACTAGTTTGACCTATGTATTTGACCTGACAGTCATTGCAGGTGGGGTATTAGATAAACTAAATTGTTTTGTTTACTTAGCTTCACAGGATTGATCCGTTAACCCACAAAACTTGTTTCAGTAGTAATTCCATACAAGGAAGGGACCTTGGAAACCTTACTCAGAATTCTTAACAATGTAAGCAGGAATAAAAGTGGCTGGCATTCAAACTACCCACAAACTCAATTATGAGTGGGCCTGCCGACTCGAAATCGAACCCTTAGCACATGTGTGTGGCTGGAGACAATATTCTGTCATGGAACCAACTATGTACATGAATTTACTCATTGAATCTATGCCTAATAATATTAGTAAAGCTTTCCCCAACTGTTGACGGAGATGAACGTTTCATTCCGCACTACTATTGGCGTTGTTCTGTTAGTTAATAATCCCAGGCAAATATGAGCGTGTGAAGTTCAAGATTTCATCGATGGGCCACCTATCTTGTTAATAACTGATTCCCTATCATATTAATATTCTTTGAAGTTATAGTCAAATGAAATCTTACAGTGACTGGGCTTAAAAGTCATTCACTAAAAAAAAAGAAAAATACCCATCCAGTTACACATATAAGAACACAGTTCAATAAAGAGATGCCTGTTCGACGAATTCAGTCAGTTAACTGTGCAATCACCACATGAAGCCTAAAACCCCGCAAAGTATATACCCCCTATCTATATGCCGAAAACAAAATACCTTTATATATATATATATATATATATATATATGAATGCTACGTTCAGTAGCAACCTTCTGGTCGCTGTTCGACTATTTAGTGCATATTTTTTTAATAATTAATAGACTATCATAAAGGCTATTGTTGCTTTCTATTGTTTTATAAATGACTTTTTATTCTCCGCTTTGCTTTTATTCCGTTTCTCTATGCCGTGGTGGTGGCGGTGGTGGTGATGTACATTAGGATGCTATAAATTTCTTTGATTACACTGTCAAGAAAATTAATCCTGTGCCTATTCCAAAACGAAAATTGGTAAGTCAATCCTCTTGACGAATGTATGTATGTATGTGTCATTTCTGTTTGTTAAGTATTTTTCCTTTTTTTTCATGGTGCTGTGTAAATGAATTTATTTCTCTCTGTGTGTGTGTGTGTGTATATCATGGCACCATTTAACAACTATCTATCTAAACCTCGATGTGTATGTGAGTTGTGACGGTGGGGCAGGATTCCAGCCTAAAACCAAGTGATTGTCCGAATTTCAGTAAGTAAGTAAGTAAGCGTAGTGTTCGAACTCGTGACACACACTAAGTTAGAAATTTAGTGCTTAGACCAATGCACTAAGACTCGACTTTGTGTGTGTGTGTGTATGTGTGTAGTCTTGTGTGAAAAAAGAACAAACCAAATGTTGTGCGGGCGGGATGGGGGGGCGTCGGCTTAACGCGTGTATATGCATCAGAAATGTAAAGATTGATTATGAAGGGAAATTTCGAAAAGGTAGTTAGATTGTTATGTACGTCCAGACCAAGTTCACTTTTAACGGTTTGAAAAAATTTGGGCATTGGGTATATGATACTCATAATAATAAAGGTTTTTTTTGTATTCCCCAATGAATGAAAAACAAAACGATATTGTTGCTCTTACTGACGTTTCGCTATTTAATGCTTCTGCTAATAGCTTTATCAAAGCGGTATTATTAAACCGGGATTTACAAAATCCACTCAGCTTATATATAACAAAGAGATGAGGGGTGAGAAAATAGACTACTTAGGTCAAGTCAAAAGGACATATTGGAAGTCAAAATTGCAATGAAGATCACTAAACTAAATAACAAAAGTAATAATGTGGTGAGACCTGGCTGTTAAACAAAATTGGTGGACAGTAATTTACGTCAATGTTTATATCCCCACTATTGGTCGTGAGAAAAATAAGAACAAAGGCTTTGCGTAGGCGGATGCAGTTAACATATAGATGAGCTGACATTCAAGAAACAGCCACAAAGAGATTAACTCTCTGTGAGAAACAAGCAATCAGAAGACTGTGTTTTTCTGTTAACAATAATCTATAATAATGTACATGAAAATCTATAAATGTGTGTTGATTTCCTTAATGAACGATCTGTTGTCTGACTCTTGCCTTCTGTCGTTACAATAGTATGTTTGTTATGGTATCAAAATAAAGTTTACTAACTTGATCATCGTTCGTCTGTCTGGGGGCATTTTCCGTTGTCAAGTTGGTCATTTGGTAAAGATAAAAAAATCAAGTGTAGATTGTTGGATTTTATCAGTGTGTAAAATTATAAAAGCAGTGTGTGTTTACATTTTGATATCATAACAGACGTACTATTACCTTTGTTATTTGGTTTAGTGATCTTCATTGCTATTTTGACTTTCAATATGTCCTTTTGACTTGACCTAAGTAGTCTATTTTCTCACCCCTCAACTCTTTGTTATATATAAGCTGAGTGGATTTTGTAAATCCCGGTTTAATAATACCGCTTTGATAAAGCTATTAGCAGAAGCATTAAATAGCGAAACGTCAGTAAAAGCAACAATATCGTTTTGTTTTTCATTCATTGGGGAATACGAAAAACCTGTATTAGTAGGTAGATTGTATCGTGACATACTCATGAACCTCGCTTACCCGATATATCATCAAGTCCGGAAAAGAAGGAAGGTTTGGTGTGTTAGTCTGGCAACCCCACATCGTTAAAAAAAACGACATCATCACGTGTGGAGTTGGGGCTCATTGAACTGCGCGCCTCCGTATCACCTGTCAGGTCACTGGTTTGAACGCTTTTCCACCCAATAAAGCTTGTGTAGCTCAGACAGTGATAACATCATCAGGCTTGACACAACAGGTGTATAACTACTCATTGTCGAGCTGTATGGATATACAAGTGGTTTCTGAGTACCATTGAGACTCAGAAATACAAGAGTAGTAATGGGAATAATATAAATATATATATATATACATATATAATTAGGATTTTCAATAGTTGGTTTATAATGATTAGGTTTGTTTTTACGAGTTGATCACGCAATGATGTCCGTTGGAGAACCATTTGAAAACCAAGGAGTACTGGACAGCTGCTTCATCCTAGTTTGGAGATCATCGACAGTACGCGCTCACACCATGGGGTTCGAACCCAGCACCTTCTGGTCACAAGGCAAGCTTGTATACCATTCAGCTGAGCTATATAAAGAGAAATTATCGTCAGAGGCCCTTAAAAAATAGGATACTTAATACAATTAGATGGAATTACAGTGACATTCTAGCCAACCGACTTGCTCAGATACAAACTTCATCAGTTTAAAAGCTCGATATTTATCTTTATATATATATATATATATCCAATTCTCAAGTATTGGTTTTGTAGGGATTTTGTTTGATTGCATGGATGATTTCATCAGCGCTAACTGATGTCAGCTCATGATGAAATCCTCCATGCAATATATATATATATCCAATAGGCAAATTTAATACCATGTAATGACTGTGACGTTAACTATACATATGTCAAACTACCAGATTGGGGTCAAATTAAATTATCGGAAAGTAACAATCTACTTAGAATTAGTGAGTGGTTGACCCTGCTAAATTTAATAATTTGGTAAAGCGCCTAGTCGCACACACACACACACACACACACACATTTACTTCTGTGTAATTACATATTCTAAGGTAGGATAAGGTAAAATTAATAAAAGAGTTATGCAATTGTGTAGATATAGAGAAAGAGAGGTTAATCACACAGTCTTTGTCCTTCGAATTAATCAATACCAAACACGTGCAATCAAAATAGCGTAACGCGCCTGCACGGAAAATTGTAACAAAAAAGAGAGTGAATACATTGAGATATATTTAATGACCAACAGTCTGTATTTGAAACACCATCCCTAGTTAACAGCACTTTATCTCACTCCTCATTGTGCGCATTATATCAAATAAACTTATCTAATATGAAAGGAAGGTTATAACGAACTCCAGTGTTGATTAACATTGTAACTGGCTTGTAGTTCGTTCGTTTGCATGATTCTACTATCACATGGATGGCACTCAAGTTATAAACTAAGTCATAGAATTTCATCATGAGCTCACAATGCTTAGAGAATCATTAGGACAGCTGTCAACTTCGTCCTAGTTTGGAACTCTTTATCAGTACGCACCCACACTGCGGGGTTCGAATCTAGGACCTTTTGGTTACAAGGCGAGCTCGTAAACCTGGATTCGAACCCCTGTGAGTGCTTACTGACGAAGAGTTTTAAACTAGGACGACGTAGGCAGCTGTCCAGTACTCCCAGGTTTTTCAATGGTTCTCTCTAACCAATGTGAACTCATGATGAAATCCTGTAGCCAATCAATCAAATCCCTACAAACTAATACTTAAAACTAAGTCAGTTGATTGTTAAGCCCCTAGGAGATTGTGTACTTCTTCTGATTATTTCCTGATCTTCCTGTATCATGTTAGTTCATGTTCTAGAAATATAATTCGTTTAACTTCAATGGTTTTTTTTTAAATTCATGTATTCTACCTACTTGACTGCTCCACCTTAATCTTTTCTGGACTACTTAAGACAGACTTTGTTACACTGCGAAAGGCACTTAAAGCTGTCAGTGTGGCGAACGGGTTGTCGCTAAACCAGATAGCTGAATAACAAACACTGTTGTAAACAGACACACAATGAACTCATGCGAACGAGAAATTAGCAAATATTATCTTGTCACAAGTCCCCTGAGAATCCTTTCGGTGTATACTCAAATCTCTCCTTGAATCTTATCGGATAGAACTAAAAGCAACTGTAGAAGACTACATGATCTGCCGATGAAGTGTATAAAATCTCCACAACCAGGAATCACTGGACAGGCAGCTGTGTTACGTTATATAAATATACGTACAACCCTAAGATCTCTTTGATTTTATTCGTGTTATGATGACATCATTAGTGTACACTTGGGAGAAGTGTGTACATTCTATGGTTAACATTCTATGTATGAAGAAAATCATCACTCATTTGAGGATGATACAGGACGATGCATTCAGCTGATAAATGTGAAGTATGTTAAAAGGTGCGTCGTCGATTGCACTAATAGCTTCGCAGAGGGGAAATCAATTGATGAGGCTGTATAGCTACATCAACTTGAAATGGTTAGGACATGTGTTACGCATGTTTAGCCATTGCCTTCCTCGACTGACGGGCAATGTTAGCTGACATAGGATCGGTAAAATGGAAAAGAACCAGCGGCGGTCAAACAAAAACATCCACAACAGTCAGTTTAAGCCAGCCACGTAGGAAAGTGTAGACTTCCTGACTGGTTGGGGTCCTCGGGACGGTAAACAAGTGATTATATGGCTCAAAATCCTCGTTCAAGATGGCTGCCTCAGGTGTATCCACTCCTTGAAACATATAATTTCCAATGAAGCTATATTGTTCTTCGTTATTACTATTCCTTTTGTCTCATATCCCTGTCTACTGTCTCTGTTATGCAGTTCTTTTTCTTTCTTCTCTTGCTGTGTGTGCTACAAGGAGGAAGTGTGGTGACTCGAACTGCTGCACATCGGTGCAAAGTTCTATGTCGAAAACAGACAGACAGACAGTGTTTTTATGTAAACAGTGAGTCTTCAATTCGAATTGTATAGCGCAATTCAGACATTCTTCTTCTTAACTTGACCTTATCACTTCTCTATGCATATACAGTGGGTCTAGTTTTCACGCATATCCCGAACAGTTTGATTCTTACATATTAATTCTCTCTCTTTCTACTCCACTCGTATGTTTGAAATAAAAACCTGTCCTGTTAAGTTAAGCGGCAGAGGACTAATATCAGGTAGTCGGCTGGTCAGTCACGAAGTCAACAAGCTGAGATCAGATAGACTACTCAGTTGTCTACTGTAGAAATGTGGTGTATAATAGCCAGCAGCAAAATCCATGACTTGTGTTTCCTCTTCTTATTATGGATCATCTGAAGTGATGGCAACCAGTGCAGTGCTGTCACTAAGTGAAGCCCACTGTCTCCCTCTGGACTTCTTTGATTTCAGATTCATATTCTTATCAATAAACTTTTCTGGGTAACCATTTTCACTTAGCGACCGTTTAATATTATTAAGTTTCTCATCAAGACATTTATCCGAGCAAATTGCTCATGCTCTGTGAACCAAGCACATGGTCAGATTGCGTTTGTATTTCAAGGGCACGAAGCTGAGAAAATGAGTATACTGATCCGTTGATGTACGTTCTTCCACATATACTTCTTCTTATTGTGCCATCCTCTTTTCTGGTCATAAAGACGTCTAGAAATGAAATACTAGAGTCTTTTTCTCTCTCTCCCAATAGTCAAATTTATTGGAGGATGAAACTCGTGGAATTCATCCAGGATGTTCTTTGCTTCCTCCTCATTTTTCAAAATCAAAAATGTGTCATCCATGTACCGACAATAGAATTCAAGTTCATCAATAACATCCTTCAAAAGGCCTATTTTCTAGTTTCGTTCACTTTAGGCTGTATCTTCGAAACCACTCCTATTTTGCGTTCGGGTGTAAAAGATAAACTGCATAATTTCGCCTCTTCCATGTGAATCTACAAATTTAACTGCTTCTGTACAGTGGTGAGCCAGTTAGTTGCTTAGGCAGTACAACTGCGCATGTTTCTTTTCGGATTTTCGAACATCACCCTGTGTGGTTGGTTAAGTGTACAGGACAAACAAAATCCGTTCATAGCTCGATTCTCTCTCATATTATAGATACATAACACAAGATTAAAGTTCACCAGGCAGCTTTCAAAGTCGTTTACCGCATACCGATAAATCTTAACTTCGCCTTTAGAATTCGTCTACTGACTGTTGGGATCCACATTAAGAAGCCTAATTTATCCGTCCAAAAGAAGCTAGTTTAGACATTGTCCTTACTTTGACCATCTAGTTTCGAATGATCCTCAATTTTTTTTGTAGAAATTGCCTTAATTTTAGTTGATATTCTATTTGCTATTATATTATTATTATTATTATTATTTAAGCATCTTTAATGAACTGTAATTCCATTGTGATCTTACTTAACAAATCGATATTATTTAAAAAACACTAATATTGGTAATGACTGCTATTCTTGAACATTCTGTGTGTATAAACATATATATATATATATCAATCGACGGAAGAGGAATTTATGGAAAAGAATATTCTTTGCTCAATTATTTTGTTTTTTTTATAAATGTCATAATCGAATTGACCCTGACTGACTTCACTGACTCAGGAGTTGAATTTTTTTACCACGGAATAATAGTCTTGTTGAATTAGATGATGTTGATGATGATATAGTCCCCCTCCTCCTCCTCCTCCTTACAGGTGAAGACGTTGATAAAATCCAGAGTCATCTAAGCAACAATCTGCAAATGTTTGGCATGCCATTCGATCCTGCTGTCAAATGTAAGATTATCCTACAAGAGTGGACTACATTGACTGACTCCTGGCTTAAAGACAGAGACGCGTGAGTGAAGTGGTAGGTCCTGTTGACCACTTCGCTTATTTAAGAAATTGCATCGGCCAACGCCAATAGGTTGATCTCTAACGAAATCTCAGCACGGATACAGAAGGCTAGTTAAACATTTGCCAACTTACTCCAACTGTAGCTTAGAAGACGTGATATCCGGTTGGCTGTCAACCAAAGGGTGTGTGTACTGCTCAGTAGTTCGCCCTGTCCTCCATTATGATTGTGAGACATGGCTGTTGAAAGTGAAAATTAAGAAGAGGTTAGCTAGCTATCTTTAATCATAGGTGTCTGTGTTTTGTCTCCGTTGTTAGTTAGTGGTATAATAAGGTGAGCACTATTGAGATTAGGCTTCCAGTGATTGCTTAGGTAAGGAGGGACAATCAGTCGAGGTGGTTGTGATGGTTAGGACATGTGTTACGCATCCCTATCTCTAGTCATCGTCTTCCTCGACCGACAGGCAATGTTAACTGTCTGGCGTAGGATGGATCAGGTCGGAGAAGAGCTAATGATGGTCAAATTAAAACTTTGAATCAGTCCATGAAATCTTTGGTTTGAACCACTCGGGGGAGATGTCGGCTTCCTGATTGCGGTCCTGAGGATGTTATAAGACCCAATGACTGGAGACTATTAATGATATGTCTCAAAATCCTCGTTCTCAACGTTTTGGCGCGCAGATGCATTCACTGTTAGTGATGTCCAATATCCATCAAATCCTTTCTCTCTAACATTTCAGCTTATTATTGCTGTTTTCTAATGTCTCTCTTTCTTCACGCCTTTTATCAGCCTTTATATATATGGTAGAGGAGAAGTGTGACCCATGGAATTGTTACCATCGTTTTTTTACAAAGCTTTATGTTGAAACCCATCAGTTTGTCAGTCAGCCAGTTCATCCTTTTTTTTCGTATTCACCCAACTGCTGCATATATCTGCAATCCGGTCGTAAATTTGTAGATAAGGTTATGACACTTTTTTTGTGTGTATAAGTGGTGAAAGTTCTTAGAATCTTTTTAAAATTTTTTCTCCGAATAACCTTGTCGCTAATGTTAAATTTTTCCTCTCTCTCTTTGTCCCTCTCATCATCAAATATCTAGGCGGATCCTTCTATTCTCGATCCAGGAACTTATCACTTACGTTTAATGAATTGTAATCCAAGCGATGTAAATATGTGTTTAGCTCGAGTTCATCTACTCGGAGAATCTGATATTAAAAGTCAATGTTATAATAAATTATTAGCAGTAAGTTCTCTGCTTTGTATTTTTGTGTTCTTTTACCGTATTTTAAAGATTCCGTGTAGCGATTGGATTGTGTTTTTTTTCAATTATTGGTTTTTGTAGGGATTTTGTTTGATTGTATAGAGGATTCCACCATGAGATGACATCAGTTAGAGAACCACTGGAAAACCAGTTGGGAGTACTGGACAGCTGCCTACGTCGTCCTAGTTTGGGACTCTTCAGCAGCACGCACACACCGGAGTTCGAACCCAGGACCTTCTGGTTACAAGGCTAGCGAGCTCGTAGACCATTGAGCCACTGGGACCTGATCCAATGGCCAGTTTATGAATTCTAACTTCTGCGCTATGTTTTTTTCTCTCATGGATTCTTATGTAGGCAGGGAGGGTCATTAGTCCACCAGTCAAAATCAATCTCTCTTTCATCTTTCTCTATGCTTTCAGGAGTATTTATTAGTTAAACTCGCAAAATGATTAGTTCATACCTGTGAACTTGTTGATTTCGAAATCTTATAGCAATCGCCAATAGGAACACTGATATCAAGTCATCTGGTGCCTCTAGATAGTTTGGATATTTGGATGCGTCATTAGTAAGAACAGGCTGGAAATTTTCATCAATGACAGACTGACTGGTTGGCTATCCTTCACGCGATAAGCAACTAAAAACTAACACAAACAAGAAAATAACCAAGAATCTATGAAGATGTTGTAAGACCACACACTCTAGGCCCTCAGGTGGCAGTGGTAGAACACCATGAATGGCAAGCCAACAGGTTGTGCATCGCTTTGAGAGTGACAAAGGAGGATATCATGTGCAGACAAGATGAAAGCTTATAATGGACAGTCATGGAGACATGCTACTGATGCTGTATATCACACTCGGTATCTAAGGGATGAATACTACTACTGTGGTGAGAGCAGACTGCTAGCCAAATTGGTAGACATTAATTTACGTCAATGTCTAGGTCGCTAAAGTTGGTCGGGAGAAAATATGAACAGGACTGATTCAACAAGCAATCACAGCAGACTTAACGTGGGCAAATACGATTCGCAGATATATGGCTTAACTTTCTGAGAAACCAGTCACAAGCAGTACAGAATAACCTTGAGCAAGAAACAATCAATCAGAAGACTGTGTTTGTCTACTTGAATAAGCTATAATAATGTACACGAGATATATATAAATACGTGCTGATTTCCTTAATAAACGATCTGTTTCCTAGCCCTTGTCTTCTGTTATTACACTACTACTAATAATAATAATATGTATTCGACAACCAACCATTCAATATGAGTTCTTCTCTATGGGTCTGAAACTTGATGCGCGCGTTATCGAGGGAGTTGGCAGCAACCTTCTTCTCTGTCGGTCGGAGAGATAAGATCAGCAACAAGGGATTCCGAGAACCAACCAATCAAGAACTTATTGTTCAACAAATATTCTGGATTGGATACACGCTGAGGAGACCGTTGATTAACATGGCTCACCATGCTGGCCTTCGAATTTGTAGTCGGAGTGAGAAACGATGAGTTAGTTTTAGATTCTATGGTTACATGGAGGGAATCGTTTGGGGAGGAGTTGAGAACCTCTGGGCAGTGGTTAATGCCAGTTGAAGAGGTTGAGAGAGAACAGGACGAACCTGAGATGTTTTGTTGAAGCCTCATATTCCACTCGTAACCTAAGGGAATAATAAATAAACAATAGTTTGCACCGATATGGCAAGTCACCTCACTTGGTGAGTAAACCTGAATGATATAATTTTAGTTTGAAGCTTTAAATATGTTTCATTTGTGCATTTAATCGGTCAGTGATAAGTGTCTCTAAGCACAGTATGTGCTTTACTCTGTCTATGCGTAAAGTATTGTTGCAAAATTGACAGGAATTTGTACACCAACACTCTCATTCTTGCAAGTGATCTGCTTGCAAGTTGTCGATAAATTGGTGTATCTCGATAGTTGTGTAAGTGCTGATGGACGAGATACCTAGGGCTGATATCCACTAATTTCTAGCGACGTATATTGACGTCGTCATAACATCAGTCTGGCTGTCAAAGGTCGGGATTACAATGTTTCGGTGCGAGCAGTCTTGTAATACGCCAGGGAAACTTAACCTCTTTGACAACTGTGTGTATTCGACCATTCCTAGAATAGCTTGCGTTCGATGACATCATCGTGTAACTGATTCTGAGGTTCGGTAGCATGTGTTCTGACACGCTAGAGGTCAGCATTCATTGAGTGTGGTGGTCACATGAAAACAACCGGCTTTGGTGGTGATGGTGGCGTGGAGATGCACCACACCTATCACTCCCAATGGCTCCTATACTGCGCTCTCTGTGGATAGTAAAAGTGGAGAGGTGGTTAGTCTATGACTTGGCGCTGTGGATTGTTAGTTTGGTAAATTGTGACTCGCCGATTGGGCGGGGCGGGGGGGGTTCCAAGCGGTTGTTCGATTCGATAGCTGTGAGACGTCAAGTTTTCTTTTGCTTACTAATAATAATTCACGTTATCAGACTACTTATTGCACATATCTAGTAAAAATTGATCCCCTTTTTATATCGATACTTTCAGTTTATCCTATCTGAACCAGCCTTCGACTATCTACGTACAAAAGAATCCCTAGGATACACTATATACCTTCAATATTGGCTATCTATGCCTGGGAGTACAAGTCATTCAGGCATAAGTTTAATTGCATGTAGTCCTGCGAGTAAATTTTCAGTGAATTTTGTTGCTGGCCGATTAACTGCTTTCTGGCGTCGTATTGCTCCAAGGATTATTGCTGCTATGCCACCGGAAAATTTTAAAACTTCTGTAAGTAGTTAGCGTTGCTTTTTCTGTTCTGTTTTTTTATTCTATTTCATTCTATAATATTTTTCCTGTTGACAGTATGAAAGTGAAAGGACGTAACGAACCTTCCGATAAGGAAAAAATCACACTATATTTATACATTTCCCTAGCCACATTAGAGTTCGTTTAGGTCAGAGGATAAAAAATTGTTCTGATTGGTTGGCAGTTGACCCAAGGTTTTACAAATTGTCCAATCAGGTTTTTTCATGTCTAAAACGTAAACTTAATCCAGATTTAGGGAAATAGACACTTTTACTTCTGTAACGATTGATTTAAAATGTTGATTTCAATTTTTTGACCATATCCTATCGATCTGCATTACTCTACAATACCTGCTTTGAATAAGGTGAACATTTTGTTTTAGAAACAACTCGAGCGAATTTCAACTTCTGTTTCCTGTGGTTTTTGTGTCGATTGATTTCTAAAGTAAGACAAAGGCTATTGGAAACCCGGGAGTGCCGACTGACAGGTAGCTGTGTTCTCTCCCCTAACATCACAGAGCTCTTCAGCAGTACGCATCCGTAACTTTAATCATCCAGAATCGAACTGAAGACTTTCATGTACTGTTAAGTGAGCTAAATTGAGCATTCAGCTGCTTGCGGTGGAATTCTATAGCCGATGAATTCTACTTTTTGTAGCTACCACTAGCGAAAAAATCACCGGTGAGTATCAAACTTCATGAACCTTAGAACGCACACCCGATATCTATGGTCGGCCTGCAAAATTTGCTCTACCGATATCCATGCTGAAAACTCCATACTTGTACGAAAAATACAGTGTGGAATCAAGCTGTAATCAAAAATAAAAAAAATAAAATAAAACTGCAGGCGACTTCATCCTGTAGTCCAGTTAGTAGTAATCATTATCATTGTCACCTTTAGTTCCTAGAGGGACATATAGCCTCAGCCGCACGTCTCCATTGCCTTTGGTTCTCTGCCAACACTTTCACCTGACTCCATGTATGCCTACATACTTTCATGTCTTCTTCACTTAACCTCCTCCATGTTGTCACCCTCGCACTGATCACCTACTTACCTCTTCCCATTCGGTTGGGTTCCACTCAAGCAATGGCCAAGGATGTGATGTTACTCACTTGATGGTTTGATTTCTCAGACTATGGCTGATCCACATCCATTTCATCCTGCTTATATGTTGCACATTTAGTTTCTTCTGGGTTGGTTCGTTCGTGTCCAGAGATCCCTGTTGCTGATGTTTTCTTGCCGGCTATCTGATCTTGAGTGGTAGTGAGCGAAGACAGTTAGCTTTTGATGAAGGTGTGTAGTTTGTTTGAAATGCCCTTCGTGAGTCGGAGCGGTGCCAAGTCTCTGATCCGTATATTAGCAGTGACTGACCTTACATTGGAGTTGGAAATCCGGATACTTTTCTTCATACTGAGTACTTGAGAGTAATGAAAACTTGCCTTGCTTTCCCGATCCTCGTTGCATTGATATCCTTATCAGTTCTATCCGTCTGTACTTGGAACGATGCTCCCTAGGTCGATAGGTAAAGGAGGTTGCTTCTCTCAGATTTCTCCCACTTATACTGGCTGATTGTTGTCTGTTATTGTTGTTGTCGCTGTTGGCCAGGAATCGTCGCCACCTCTGTTTTCTTCATGTTCACCTGAAGTCCTATCTTTGATGCTTCTTCTGCCAACTTGTTGCTTTTCACTTGCATATCTCCCAGTTTGTGAGACATCAGACATATATCATCAGCGATGTCCAGAACCTCGAAGGTCTTTGTGTGGGTCCATTTTATGTCTGTTTCCTCGCTGCTCACAGTTCGTCTGTCGTATTATCCAGTCTACCGACATCAGTCAGGAAAATCATTGGAGATAGTAGACAGCCTCATTACTAGTAAATACTACATCACTTTTCAAGTGATGGTTTGCAGGTATTAGATTAATTTCAAAATAGATAATGAACTGACTTCAGTTAGTGAGAACCATTGAAACAACAAAGTACTCGTCTCAGTTTGGAACTCTTCAGCAGTGCACACTCATAAGCTAGCTCATTGGTGATTGAACTCCAGGAAATTCAGGCTGCAAAATGAACCTGGTTGATCATAGCGCAGACGTTATAGACAGTGCAAAATCCGTTAGTTTATTTCCTTGATTGATCTCTTGTGCGTCTTTGGCTTTTTTTTCTTTTACAGGTGGAATCACTGATATCCATCTATCAACTAGAAGATCCTAATATGGTCACAGAATTCGATAGGAATTGGGATGAAATTATGCAGACTACAGCGAATTTTAATTACAGAGAAGAATGTGTAAGTGTGTAGCTGACAACTTTATTGTACCGTACTGTACTGTACTCATTGATTGATTGATTGATTTTAGTCACATACAATTTTTTAAAGTTTTATTCTTAATGCTTAATTGATTGCCTATCTTGACGTGTGTCGCACCCACTGGGTTAATATTACTACTATTATTATTCCCTTGGATTCTAATGGGCTAATACAAGACTTCAGCACTACATCTCCATTTTGTACTTTTCCCTGCAGTTCTCATCATCTGTCGCCACAAATACGCATAAGCTTTCATATGCTCCATGTTACCTTTGTAGTTACTCCCGACTCACCGTCTTCCACTCCGATTCCAGTCGAGTAATGACCTGGTGGGCGATATCACTTGACAGTTTTCTCAGTGTGTGTGTGTCTGGTCCATTTGTTGAGGAATAGGTTATTGATTGGTCTATTCTTATAGAATTCCCTGATGCTAATCATTTTCGACCACCAGCTCTCTGGTTTTCAGTACAGAGCGAAAGTAGCGCTGTTGATAAGATTGAAATACTTTCGGTTTCGCGTGCGCCAAGTTTCCGACTTATATGCAGTAGAACTGACTTGACATTGACGTTTCTTTATGCTAACTAAGATTAGTAGATTCCTTAACCGGTTTTTTCGTGTATGACGTCGATACACACTTGAATAACCGAATGTTACGTCCGGTTCTTTTTTTTATAGAAGATTGAATTTCTCCACCTCCTAGATGATTGCTAAAATCCATGAAACCGCTTCTGTGTGAAGCTTCCCGCTGATGAAAGACTTTAATTTTTCAGACATTTACTTATTTTACATTACACTTATGTACCCGTGTCAAAAAATTAAAGAAGACTGTGCATGACTGGTCTGAAACGATGCTTAATTTGAAGATTGACTAATTTGTTTATTTGAGGGTTGGTGACTGTGGGAGTAGGTGAGATGTTACGTTAACACAAATGGACTGATTACTGACAAAGTTTCATCATGGATATAAAAAGCTCGCATGTCATTTACCAACTTGTGTTAGCTCAGAGGAAGTGTACACTGCGCAGAAATTCGTTGTGTCCTTCTTTACGGCCGTGGAAGATATGAGGAGACTAGCTAACTGTCCGTTTTATTCCTTTACGTTCCCACTGGAACATAGGGTTTCAAGTCAGAGGCTTGAAGTTTTGTTAGGAGTAGTGCTTATCTTTACGGGATAGGGTTTCTAGCCTCACATGCCCAACCTTCCCTCTTTACCAGTCTTATTACACGCTTAGCGAGGTAAAAGAGTGCGTCGGCGGCCGGGGATCAAACTCCAAACCACCTGCGTCGTTGCTGAACATCCTACCGCTGTCCCACCGACGCACGCTGTCTTTGGCCACATATTTTAGCGTTCCATCCCCTTCGTTAAATGATCTAATTTCGGGTGAGTAATATCGAGGTTCGACATAGAATGAGTTAGATAAGGAGGGGGTAAGTCAATCGATTAAGACGGCTAGGACACGTGTTATATGCATGTTGAGCGACCACCTTTGTTGTCAAACAATGTTCTTGCTAGGCCGCAAAATGAAAATATGCTATCGATTCATCAAGTTTTTGACAGTTTGTTTGATTCATATTGAGTAACTCAGATTGATTGACTCGGTGCTTCAAGAGGTTAAGAATCAGTGACTGGGAACTGTTGATGATATAGCTGAAATTCGTCTTCAGTAATGCAGGTGCATCTAGTAAGTGCTCGTGATTCTCCGTGAAACTATTTCCGACGCACAACTCATCACTTTCCACTGGGGTTCCACTTCATGGTATGATATCACTTAAATATCTATTTTCTTAGTGTGTGTGGTGAGAGCTGTCTGCAAGGAGAAACTGTAGACAACAATTCACATCAATGTTTACGTCTCGAATTAGGCTCAGGAGGGAAAACAAGAACAAAGCCTAACCTTGAGGAACTCAACAACCAATCACAACAGACTTAACGTAAGCAGATACGATTCGCAGACCAGACTGTCTAAGAAACGGCAACAAAGAGATGACAGGATAACCTTCAGTAAGAAAACAACCAATCAGAAGACGTTGCTTCTTTGCTAACAATAACGAACAGTAATGTACATGAAAATCTATAAATATCTCTTGATTTTCTCGATACACAATCTGCTGTCTGATTCTTGTCTTCTATCGTTACATGTGTATGTCCAGTCTATTCGAATTTCCGTCTGCATATATTTATGTGTTGGGCAGTAGATCGTAGGTCGTTGAACTGCGTACAAGAATGCCTTGTTGCTTTTTCAGTATATATATATATATATATATATATATATATTAACTGTTATATATATATACACATGCTCTACTATTCTTGTTTATATATTTAGGTTAAAATTCTGTCAACAATTACTCAAGAAAGTTTATTAAGTTTCTTTTTAACGGAGTATTTGGATACGAAAAAGCAGCGTTCATTATTTATTCAGGTGAGAGTCTTATTATACACTCAATATATATATGCATGGTTGTTATGGTATTACTTTTTGCTCCACTGATAACGACAAAGTTTCCTGATGTTCTAGTGGGCGAGAAGTTGTGACCAGGGGGTCCACCCGGTCACCAGTGAGGACAGATACTCACTCGTCGATAACACTTTCCAACTGGTGTTCGCTCTAAAGTCACCAGTTGGTAAGAGTTAGGATTCATGAGCCATTAAGTCGATTGGGTCCCAGTGGTTGAATGATCTACGAGTCTAACTCGTAACCAGAAGATCCTGGGTTCAAACCTGGGTGTGTGTACTGTACTGCCAAAGAGTCCCAAAGTAGGACGAAACAGGCCGTATTTGAGTTTCGAATGGAACGTGGGGGCTTCAATCTTTCAGCTTTTGGAGTTTCAGTAGCTGTAATATTTTGTATTTATCGGACAGGGTAGCTATCGTCACGTCTAACTTTCTTTCTTCTCCGAGCTTAACAGCTGCTGGTAAGGTCCATAAGGTTTAGGAGTGTGTTGACTATATGCTGAACCCTTACCACTACCTATGAATGAATCACATCCCTAATGGTATTTTAATGGTAACTGGGTCATTTATGTAATTACCTTTAAGATTTGAGATTCTAGGCCATAAGTAGTGTTAAGCGTCTAGTCATTTTTACCTTCAACGTCCCAGTTACGGTTAACCCAGGTAGGTCAAAGGTTTCCTCTCGATTGCACCCAGCCGTCTAACATCAATTCAGAATACACTTTGTTGGGGATACTCTTAAAATGGTGGTCACATTGCAGACGTGACTGTTAGAATTCAGTCAGCACTGAACAGGGGATTAAATGTATGACACTAGTTACTTTCTAGTTTCCAATACAGTCCTACAGGAGGTCATTCGCGAGTAACTTCTGTGGCTGCAGCACTGAGTGACATGGGTTCTCTCTCATTGGGAATAGAAGTCCCTGCTAGCTTGTAGATACACCTTTTCTGACTGTTGAATGCCAACAAGCAGAAAACCTAGGTCAGACGAGGCTTCTTGCCGATTACCTCCAACTATCTAATAACAATTTCACTCAATTAAATCCCTACATACCAATACTTGAAAACCAATGAGATGTTCACTAGCGACTAGCCTTATTCAGGCAGTTTAACCTAGGGCCTTAGTGGCATGAGGCGACTAGTAGTTCAGTTTCTTGTATGACGTGTTGTGTCTTTGTTTCTGAGTACAGTCGAGCGGTATTCACGATCTCAACACACCTAAGTCCTAGCATCTGGCTGGGAAACACGCCCTCTGCTGTTACATCTCTGTTCCCCAGCAGTACGACTTCGCCCACAGACCCCCAGCATAGTGTAAAAGAGAAATTCTTACACTATGCCGGTAACTGCTTTTTGTCTAAATCGCTATCCTAACAATCTTCCTGGCATGAAAAGACTTGCACAAACAATAGTTCCAGTCAGTGTAGCTTGTTGGATCATTGCGATGTGCGAACCCGTTCGCTTTCTCCACAGGATTGCTTGCGTTTGATGGAATCAGCGCGTGAGTAATTCTGAGGTGTGTTTGAACACAGTGGAGATCACCATTCATTGAGTGTCGTCATCTGGAAACACTAGCTCCGGTGGCTTGGACATGTGCTGCGAATGTCATCCCAGAGGCTTCCGTATAAGTCTCTGTTCGCTAGCCCTGGGACGGGATGGAAAAGGAGGAGAGGTGGTCATTCCATGACGTGGCGTCGTGGGATGAAGGATGTTTGTGCTAGATTAGCATCGGTTGGTGCGTCACGACTCCCTGGTTGGAGTCCACAAGATAGCTCGAAGCGTTATCGGATATGGCTAAGAATCGTAATCAATGGCGAACGTGTTGGAATTTCCTTCTTTCTTCCCTTCCCGATGATAGTTAACGAATACTCTTTGAACTTGTTAAGCATGACTGTTTTCCTGCCAGATGAAGTTCTTTATCCGTTCTCTACTTATAATGTTTACTTCTAATCTATGTTGTTTTATTAGTATTATTGTGTGGCGCATCTTTCTTGGTGCCATATTGTACCAAGTTTTTTCTGCGTTTAAATAAATAATAATAATATTCTGTAAGCCCGATCGCCATATCAAGGTAGCAGCTATCTGCCTGACTGGCTGGTTGGTTGGTTTCAGCATAGAACTTTGCACAGATGTTCAGCAGTTCGAGTCGCATCAGCATCTCTATTCTATTGTTTTTTGTTTTTGTTTTTTTTAAATATAATATTGTTGTTTCTTTTTGTTGTCATTTTCAGATTGATTCAACCGCCACACCAGATATGAATGCTAATACTAACGTATCATCAAATTCGTATCTCTTAAATTTTGATGTTATACAAACTGATGATAAGTCAATTAAAGAAGAGTATACGAGTTATTCAAGTGTTGATGTAACCAGTGCATTAACCACTTGTGGTTATGATGACAAATTAGTCAATCAATTCTTCGATAATCATAAAAGCAACCATGATAATAATAATAATAATCCCTTGGATAAAAGTCTGCTCGACAAGGATGAACCTATCGTTTATATTAATAACTTGTTTAAATTTCGGTCAAATTTACAATTTAAAACTGGTCGAATTGCATAAAAATGCTAGCGAATATTTCGTCGGGGGTGATGATACAAATTAACCCTACTATGTGCTGCTTTGTCTGTTTGCTCTGCTTGCTTGTCTGTCGGCCTGCCTGCCTGCCTTCTTTCTTTCTTCGTTATTCTGATGAATTCTTTTGAATATTTTGAAATTTATATTTTTATACATATCATCGAGCTGATGATTACGATGGGGATGGTGACGATCATGTGTGTGTGTGTTCTTCTGTGTGATTGTACGTGAAAATTACACTGTTCTTTTTATTAACGATACGACGGTTTTCTATGCTGACGAAGTTTTAATTTCAGGATGTATGCCTGTGTGTGTGTGTGCCAGTCTTATTACTGGCTTATCGAGGTAAAGCAGTGATAAAGGAATGCGTCAGCTGAGAATCGAACCCCGAACCACCCACGTGGTCGGCGAGCTCTCTGCCGCTGTGGTGGTAGTTGTTCAGTGTGGTAGAATGCTTGCCAGCCACTCAGAACAGATATTCTGATTCGACTCTTGACCTGGTGCATTCGTAATCCGGACAGTCAACACTCCCTAGTGAAGCTTGGAGAAAGCTTGTGAAGGCCTTCACTCACCCACCCCCAATTAAGGAATTTATGTTTATGAAAAACATATGCTAAGTAATCTCTTGTTACGCAATATGGGGTGGTGTAATTTGATAATAATAATAGTTGAAAACAATTAGTTCCCCTTATGAATTTAGATAAAGCAATAAGAAGACGTAATTTGTCTGAATCGTGTAATGTATTTGCACGCACAACACATTTCGAACAATCTGATCACACACGGACTTGTCATATATGAAATTAATAAAGAGGTAAGAGGTGGGAAAATACACAAGTTAGGTCAAGTTAGAAGGACATATTCAAGGTCAAAATAACAATGAAGACCACTAAACCAAATAGCAGAGGTAATAGTACATCTGCTATGGTATCAAAACAAAATTTACCAAGGAAGGTTTAATGTGATGACAAATTGTTTTTGAACACATAAAGGTGGCTTAAACTTTCTAATTGCCAGCTATGGCTTCCACAAACTTTAAGATACGCCTCAAACACGTTTTATGGATAGTTTTAAAAGATCTGTTAACGTCGACTTTATGCCCTGTCTCTATAATATGTTTCGCAATAGAAGAGCTGGGTCTCCTGTTCTCACCGTTAATACCTTCTGAAGATTCCATTTGTTTCTGGAGCCATTTAGGGATATGTTCTGAAGCCCTTACTTGCAGAGATCGATGAGTCCTCCCTATGTATGTATGTGTGTCCACACGTACATTCAAATTGGTAAATACAGTGGGATGTGACGTCATTTTTCGCATGTTCGAAGGGTTTAGATAGATATAATGGCTTTACATTCTCTTATTATGATATTAGCTGCATAAGACGTCTTTTTAACAACAGCGTTCAGCCTTTGTCTAGTTATCAAGCTGCTTTGATGTCCCATATAGGGTAGCTTGATGTACACATCATCTTTAGGGGCGAGTTGAAGAGTGGATCTTGGAGTTCAATTGACTACTTTATATCTCCTGATGAATTTGTCTGGATAATTGTTATCAAACAGAGTTTGTGTCAATATTCTTTCTTCTTCATCAAGCGTGTCTTCAGTGCATATTCGTCGGGTTCTACTGAAGGGGCGCCTTACTAAGGCTCTTTTGTACCGAACAGACAGAAACTGTAGTAATTAAGATACTGTCCTATCCAAGTACGTTTTCTATAAATACATCTTTTTATCGACCCGCCAAGCCGTCGACTAAGCAATATGTCTGGGAAAGATAAACAGTTATCTTCCTCCACTGGATTACTGGACACCTGCTTCTGTTGTCCTATTTTGGGACTGGCTCTTCATCAGTAAGCACACACACACACACACTGTGGAGTTGGAACTCAGGACCTTCTGGTCACAAAGCAAGCTATCCCTTAGACCATTAAGCCACTCTGACCTGATCCAATAACCAGTCCATGAATTCCAACTTCTCCCAATTCATGATATAGCGTGACAACTTCGCTATGTCTTCTTCGAAATGAGTTACTGCCTCACCTTCGACCTGCTGTACCCTACTAGTCATGGCTCCCCCACTAAATAACCCCGGGTCACTGCCTGAATAGGACCAGTCGCTAATGAGCATCAGATCAATTTCCAAGTATTGATTTTTTGTAGGAATTCTCTTAGTTTGATTGGCTGAAGGATTTCATCATGAGCTGATATCTTTCAATTATAATGAGGAGCACTATTTTTTTTCGGTGAAACCAGTTTCTGTACAATATATTCATCGAGATGACTGAGGATGAATTCGTTCCATGACCCGATTTTCGCTCGGCTGAATAAGTATAAGTTCCAGTAAGCGGGTCGACAACTGTTCACTTAGAAAAATGCGGATAATAAAAATAAAATGATCAAACCCTATCTCAACGGACGGATCATCAACCCATCCATTATCTGAAAGGTACTAAGAAACGATTTCTGGGTGAATTTTGCTCACAGAGTTCTTAGTTGAGCTATATAATCATGGCAGGTCTCGTTATCCAACGACTAGTATGCACTGAAAGTCATTCAGGTGTTCGCTATATTTTAACTTGGTTGTGTTTAGATTTGGACTGGAACCATTCAGCAGTACATATGTATAGCCTAACTTTGAGATATCGCATGGAAGACGGGCACGTCGCTTCCCATTAGTATTCCACTCGAGTGTTGGCCTGCCCTGCGCGCGGTGTCATTCAACAGCCTTCTTAATGTATGTTCGATCCATCCATCTACATTTTTGTTGAGCAATCGGCTCTTGGTTGGTTTCTTGCTGGCCATTTCATCTTCAGTAGGAAGCAAGTAAAGGTGGCTGATGTTGATAAACTTCCTTTCCATCTTCTGTCGCATATCCCGACCACTTCTGTATACCATATCATCTCATTTCTTTGACTACCTGGGCAGTCTTCCCGGCCTGCATCGTAGATTGCACGTTGATTTCAAGTCACCGTTCTTATTCTCGCTTTCATCGAGAAAAGACACATCAAGCTGATTGATCGGCTTCCCGAACGCTGGCTTTCAACCTCCCGCTGTGTCATTTCGCCTCTTCGATTCCAGTGAAGAATAAGTTTTTTTTTGTATTCTCGGTACTCCTATTGTGCGTTGAAGTTTCTGTAGCGGTTTGATTGGTTTCGTATTGTAGGGTCGTAAGCCCCACGCACAACCCTCCCTCTTTGCCTGGGCTTGGAACTGGTTAGAAAAAGATAGCGAGCTATTAAACTAGGCGACGTTGTGTATACAGTGGAGCCTGTCAGACTACTTCAGCATTGATGTTTCAGTGTCCTAAACATAGAAACGATCGTTTAAAGATTATGATACAAGTTTAAAAGGTCACTCATATTTTATAAATTCTAGGTCGATTGCTTTAATTCACTTCATACAAAATTGATTTTTTTTAACTATTCTTCACGAGTTAATGTGATTGCATTCACGCTTCATGTGTGTTATTATTACATAAAACACACACAATGAGTCAGATCAACTAACATGATTTCAATAGTTGGTCTAAAGTCATTAAGTAAAAGAAATGTGTTGTGATCTATAGGTCAGTTGGTCATTTGATCATCGATTGTAATGTTAATTAAACATATCTGGACCTAATTACCAATTAAACATACGGATTTCTGTAGGTATTTAGATTTGATGTCAATATAGATTTAGTCGTCAAAGTGCTTGCGTTCATAGCAGATATTGATTGAGGATAACGTTATATATCACGAATCGACGAAATTAGATCATACGGATCATTGAATTCCGACCTCAGTGGTCGAATGAATCATCAACGGGCCTCGCATCTCGTACATTTAAGTTCCTGATTTCAAACCCTGCTGGAGTCGTGGTCTTGGGTACCACTAACTTGGATGATGCGTCTCAAACTAAGATGAAACAGCTGTTCAGTGCTTCTTGGCTTTCAGTGATCGCACTCTCTCTCTCTCTCGCTGACTGATGTTTACTCTTGATAATACCTAATATTTATGAATTTGCATTGTTTCGATTTTGTACAGGACACATCAGTGGGGCACTCCTGTTCCCAGTGAAATCTTGTTCAAGCCTTACTCTGCTAAAGTGTACACTAAGACAACTTATGAGTAAAGTTACTTATCAGCAGGGAGATAAGGACTGACTCATAGGACTCAACAGTAGAACTTTGCACAGAAATGCAGCTATTCAAGTCGGCAAAGAGATTTCTTCTTTACTTCGAAACTGTACAGTTATTTACAGGGTTAAATATACACTGTTAATTGACAATAAAGGTCAAAGGTTTTTCTCTGTTAGAAACAAAATAAATTAAAGCATATGACTGAAAATAATGTTTGGAAAATTGTGGATATTCCTACATAGTTGTGAAGTCTATGAGTTTGCCTTGTAACCGGAAGGTCCTGGTGTTGAACCCCCAATGAAGTTAGTATTTCCGATGAGTCCCAAACTAGGAGGAAGCAGCTTCCCAGTGTCACCTGGTTTCCAATGGTTCTCTAACCGATATCAATCCTTTATCCAAACTGAAAAGTAATCAGGCTGGTTGACAACTTCAACGGTTAAGTGATGAATAATCATTCAACCTCCCCTAGTTCAATAGCTCTGTAGTTTTCTAATCAGTTCCAAGCCGCGGTAAAGGAGGGAGGTTTGGCCATGGGACTGACTTACGATCCTACACCCACAAAACCAATCAAACTGTTGCAGAAACTTCAATGCATAAGAAAATATTAACAATACAAATCGAATAGGGAAAATGACACAACAGACTGGTGAAGGCCTTCAAGAAGCCAGTCAATCAATCAGCTATTGTGTCTTCTCTCGATGAAGGCGAGAATAAGGATGGTGACTTAGAATGTACGTTACAATGTACGATGTAGGCTGGGAAGGCTGCCCAGGTGTAGCTAAAGAGATGAGAAGTGTTGGGAATCTATGAGAGCTGATGGAATGAACTTTTATCAACAGCTGGTATCATACTGAAGATGAAATGGCTGACT